CCCCGGCTCTTGAGTTACTACCACATCTCAGAGCCCCCTACTCGTCCCGCAGTCGTGGCCGAGTGATTAAGGCGATGGACTAGAAATCCCTTGGGGTCTCCCCGCACAGGTTCAAATCCTGTCCACTGCGCAAACTTTTTTTTTATCATTTTTTATTTATTTCTCGCTCTACACGAGCACGTGAGCACGTGAGCTCACGAGCACGAGCACCAGCAAGATCGATGTGAGCACGGACGCCGGACGGACAAGACTAGACCCTAAGGAGCTTCGCCCCTAAAACTGTAAAGGCGGGGGTATAGTTAAATCATTAACCAGGAATGCACTAGACAGGTACCGTATTTTCCGGTGTATAAGACGCACCTTTGTATAAGACGCACCCACCCTATATGCAGGCTTTCATTGAAAAAGTTGGTATATAAGACGCACCCGTGTATAAGACGCACCCGAATTTATCCACATAGGCTAACGAAACTAATTCAAGTTCAGGCCACCGCGCCTTCTTTCCGCGGTCAGCCTTTTTTCCACTTTTCATCGCCTGTAGTTTGGTGGACGACTGTCGCCATGTGCGAATCATCTTCTCGGTGACGTCGAAACGGCGACCTGCAGCCCGGTTACCGTGTTCGGTAGCGTACTCGACCGCAGATAATTTAAACTTCGCTGTGTAGCTCTTGCGCGACTGCGGTGGCATATTGTAGCAAGACCGGGCAGATGGCAGGAAAACACGACGACGCACGTACGCAGAGCGAACAAAGATGAAAATGGCGACTGAAAAAGAGAGGCGGCTTGTCCTGGCTTGTCTTGGCGAGAAGCGTGATTGTCGCCATCTGTTGGCATTTCACATTACTTACGCCTGGGACCTCCGCATCCGCAACGACCGCATGTTTGCAATCTTGGAGTTCACCTAAAACGTGGCACGCGGTGGTCCCCGTATTGAAGTATCACCGTGTTACGACCGCGTGATCGGTAGCGATATTTTGTTTTTGGTGAAACAAGCTTGAACATCAACCGAGTAAATTTCAAATTTCTGAACTCGCAAAAAAAAAAAATAATTCGCGTATAAGACGCACCGTTGTATAAGACGCACCAGCAAGAACTTTTGAAAAAAGCCGCGTCTTATACACCGGAAAATACGGTATTTTATTCATTTTATGACTCAATCATTGAAAAGACAGTGGAAAAGATTGAAATGCCAGTTATAAAGAGTTAATCAGAAAACAATTATGTTTACGATTTGCAGGCGAAAGTGAAGGAGAAGTGAAGGCGACGCATGTTCCTTCCTTTTCGTCACTCACCCGTGAACAAAGGATCAAAGTGGTCCTGAAACGTCGAGTAAATGTTTATTAAATGTTTGGTTATTGTCCCTATTTTTGGCTTCATGTCTACTCCTAACCAGGCAGAGGGCTACCGAACGTTTATTTTCAAGTTGAGTAGACATCGTTTTCAGTTCAAATTTTCAGTTAAGTAGACTCGCACCATATCAGACAATTTCGAGTGGATGCAAAAAAGCCCGCCCACCATGAGAAATCAGTCGCCTGCGAAAATGGAGTGGTCTATGAGACACCTATGGCTTTTAAGTACGTAGGGCAAACTTCAAGGTGTATTAACGACAGGTTCATGCAACACTAAAGAAACAAAGAATAATGCTGCAGATTTGGTATTAGCTCAGTGCTCAGTGGTCGGGAACAGAAATAGTACACCCAGAGCTAGATAACAAAGACAGTTGTTAGAGAGAAAACCCGGATAAAAACAATAGGAAATAAGTCAGGCCTCTTTTCAAGTTGGTAATACAGTGCAATCCACTTATAAAAATACCGCATTAATAACAATGTACTGCTTATAACAATCACTTTCTAGAATAGAGTGATCAGTTTCTAGTCCAGATACAATGATAACAGGTTTTAACAATTGAATTTTCGCATTTTCTCAGTTGTTATCAACCCGCGGCCATATGCAAGCAAGTAGTCTGGGAAATGGCAGAGAGCAGACGCTGTTCCGGCGAGCGTCTACACACCAGTGCAGATTGCTGCAACAGCCGGTGGAAATGAGCCACTTTTGGAGCTCCGTAGCGGAGAAACAACTTTCTCCTCAGCACTGGATCAAGCACCAGTCTGGTGGGGGATGCAGCGATAAGGGCAACCGTGGCTGGGGGAGCAACACTGTCACGAGCAACGTTGCCTTTGTCTTACCGCCGGGTGGTCTCAGACAACACTTCTGTGCCGCGTGCGTTGGACAGGGGGATCATGCAAGCAACGGTTCCTCCAGGTGCCAGACGTTTGCCGGGACATTGCGCTGGACAGAGACTTTCTTGGCACTAGTGGTATTTCCGTACATGTTGCTAAAAGCTTGGACACTGGGGTGTGAACACCAGAGGCCTTTTGCCAAAGGGCGAAAGCCAGAGAGAAGAGGCCATCCCGTCCACGAATGAAGAGGTGTACAGTTTGTACAGTTTGGAAGATCTGTTTGCCGAGAGCGGAGAAGACAAAAAGACGGAGGAAGGAAAAGCTACAGATGCCCGGTACTTGCAGAAAGACAAGCCAGAGGTTGATGATGCTGAAAATCCAGATGTGGCTTTGCAGGGACGATTTTGCACGATTTTTAAGAAAAGTCTTGGCTGCACCAGATGAATGGAGCAATGCATAAACACTGGGGAGTCCTCTCCAACCCGGTGCAGGCTTCGCCCAGTCAACGCTCAAAAGCGGCAGATCATGGACGACTGCATCGAAGACCTGCTGCGACAGGACCTAATCCAACCAAGTTCCAGCCACTGGTCACGTGCGCTCGTCTTTCGCTCGAGACGCTAAAGAACCTAGGCAAACTTCTGGTGCGTCACCAGAAATGTGAATGCGTAGTACTTCTGCACGACTTCCCCGCCTCCAACATGTAGCAGCAGAGCAGTCCAGGTCGTCTTCCTTGTGGTACTTTGTTGCATGTTGGTAGATCGTGAAGCTCTTCTTCCAGTCGCTGCAGTTCTCTGCGGGGCTGGCGGCCGCCGAGAAGACTTAAAGGGGTGGAAAAAACAATGCCGTCGCTTCTGCAGTAGATGCTGCTTACTCGCTCACCCGGCCATGTTATGCGTGGGTTCTTTTAGAGTGATGGATGACCAGGATAAAGATGGATTTTTAGAAACATGTCGTTTATTGTTACAATGGCTCCTGGCTGGTTCTGCAACAAGTAGCCAGCAGGCCTAACACAACACTAGATCTATGGTGTTACAACATAGGGGGCGCTAGCTTTCCTTGCATATATAACAGTGGCCTACCACTAGAACTGAACTTTGAACATTGTTATATTACCATTTCAAGGAGAGGTGATTGTTAGGATGTAAAGCAGCCGCCATGCCGGTTGTTGCCGGTTGTTGCCGGTTGTTGGTGCAGAACGAGAAAAAAAAAGAACAGGGGCTATTATCCGAGCACTGGGGCTCGGATAAGATGGTGTTTTGTGAGTAAAACGAGTCTGAACCGTAACACGTTATAAAGGAATTGCACTGCAGAGAAAGTTTTGCAACTCTAGTTGCAACATGTTTGGCTTTTTCTCTTGTTCGTTTTGTCTGTATACTCTAGAAGTCAGGGTGCGAGGTTTGGGTCTATCACGCAGCTTTGTGCATCCTGTTTCAATCAACTTCTTTTTTTTTAGTTGGGTAAAATGTTTTTGTTAGTCTACTCTATTTGTTTTTGCAGAAACAAAAACTTAGGTTCATCACCTTTTTGTGAGTCAAGACTATCTTGTAAAGATCAGGGTGTAGAGTGATACACCAAGGGTGCAACCTTCGCTGTGTCTGACGATATAAGTTTCTATTTTTAATGCAACCTTTTGATATATGAGTTAGATTAAGGGGAGACACTGCCCAGAAAAAAAAAAATTCTGCAAAAAAAGTTGATTTTTAGAAACAACATATTTACATCCACCTACATCTAGAGAGTATTCGCGAGAAGTTTAATTAATTTTCCCTGCATACTTAATTTTTTATAAATTATTTTCTGTCCACCAAAGCTAAAGAAAAGGTAGGGTTTGGAGCACTTCAAACACATTTTTTTCCGTTCCACTTTTTGGTATAAATTCCATTTTAGTCAGTCTATCGTTTGATAATGGCAAAACAGGGAAGGCTCATTCTTCCTTTTTCCTCACTGAAATTTAATAAGGAATGCGGCTATGGAACTTTTTTGTCACTTTACGGATGTCTTTTATAAAAAATGTTGACATTTTGTAGAAGACACAGAAGACCAAAAAGTTGACCAATTTTGGAGAAGAGAAAATTTATAGAAATAAATTACTTTTTAGAAAGAAATGTTCCATAGCCGCACCCTCTAGACATTCTGCTACATATCTAGCAAATAAAAATCTTGAATATTGTGATAGTTTTCTCACAATAGATTAACTAAACAATGTAGGCGTGTTGCTGATAGAAGCTACTCTAATTTCCTTCTCATTTAACCGACAGACCTGAAATTTTGTTATACACCCTCTAGCATGACCACCAGACTACCCTGCAAATTTCATTAATTTTAATACAAGAGTTCAAAAGTTGACACCCTAGGGGGTGTGTCCCCTTAAGCCTTTCATGTAAGCCAAAAATATTGCAGTGAGTGTGTCGCAGTTCAAAAGCACTGGATATTTTTTGTTCTTTTGTGCGTGACCTTAAGAAGTCCAGAAGGTTTTTTGTTTAAACCAAAAGATGGTTGTGCTCTGTTAAGTTGTTTGACTTAGATTGTTTTGTGGTGTAGGTAAGAAGTATGCACACAACCTCGAAAAACAGGACGTTTGGTAGTTCTGTGGTGGTTGTGGTTCTGTACATAAGGAAGGTGATTGAATAAAACTGTCAGCTGAGTTAAAGACATTGCCTGTCCCTGTTACTTCCACTGTAAAAAAATCTTCTGCCTCGAGCTAAAATCATCATGGCAAACTTGCACCAGCTTGCCTGCACACTGACTTGTTTTGTGCCAAGCTCAGTCATCTAAGGTCAGCGGCTGCAGCAGTAAGCTCTGCCGCAGAGGAGTGCATACCTGGTCCCTTGGTGACAGCTTGTCGCCCCGAGCAAAGCGTCGTCTCATGCGCGACTCCACACCAGGCGCGCCCAGGCACACAAGCTCCAAACTCGCAAAGTCGGGCTGGTTCGTTTTGCGCAGCTTTAATTCATCCCTTGAAAAGAAAGAGGAAGAAATGAATTGACACAATGTCACTTCAAACCACATGACACCATGATGTCACAGTGTCCTGTCTTTTGATTAAGTTTTATGTGATGTGTCACAGTGTTAGGTCATAATGTTACATGATGTCATGTCGTGTGACCACATGATGCGTTGTCAGGTCGTTGCATGGCACCATGACCTCTAAATGTCATATGACATTATGGTGTGACATGACATTGTCACAGTCTCATGTCATATGATGTCACATAATGTCATTGTGTCACATGACATGACAGTGGCACAAATATTTAGTGTCATTTTGATCTATCTATCAAACTGTCGTCTTGATCTATCCATCAAAACGCCAAAGTGCTGAGAGCTGGCCCTTTAAAGGGGTGGTGCAAGGATTTTCGGACTTCGGTCAAAGATTTCTGGAAGTTGCCCCCTGACACTTCTGAGGTAAAGAACAGAAAACCGATTTCGGCTGCGTGTCCTAGTTGTTGCGTAAAAAAAAGATAAAGATTGGCATTTCGGGCACCCCTCAACTCACTCCCAGTCTTCAGGGTCACACCTGGTCGCACTCCCAGTGACGTCATTCGGAGTGCCATGTAGCTTCCCGTGTGCTATCTCGGAGGGCGCTTCCCCTCCCTCTCTCTGCGTACATTAGCGGGCGCTATGCTGCAGCTTAGAGCCGAGCGAGGTCACGTAATCTTTCCGCCGTAGTTCCTTCGGCTGCCACTTGGGGCTGCAGGTGGGGGAAAAAGCTCGGCTTTTGCTTTGCGATTATGCAGCAGAATCGCGACATTTTTAATAAAAGAGGTGTTTTCTGTATCCTCCGGGACGCGATAAACAACGTAAAAGGGACGAGATGCAAATTCTTTTGATCATAATATTGTTGCACCGCCCCTTTAAATGCTATGCATCTAAGAATCTAGGGCTCGCTAAGCACAGCACATTACAGTCATTCTTTTGTATATGAGACAACCTGTGTACTCTCTTTTTATCTATTCGCAGCCTCGGATTTTTCATTATAGAAAATTCCAATGCCCCGTGATTATAGTGCTCAACTGAGAGTGATTTCGGTATGCATCCATAACGAACAGCTAGATTAACGCACCCTGCAGATTTGTGGGGGACAGTGGCCAAGTGTAGAGGCACAGCAAGTGGAGCTCATGCTGCAGGCCCCAGGGGGTTCAATTTCCACCCCTGCCCATTTTGATCTGGACGAGCACACTACCGGCGTGTTGTCGCGTACTGCTCGGTGCATGTTAAAGAGCCCAGGATAGCAGTCATACTGCACTGGCCAATTTACCAACACCTGACATCCACCGACTAACTTACTGCTGTCTAAGCAAAAACACACAGCACCTAAATCAACCTGCAGTTCCCTGTTATCTTACTTTAATTTTGAACATCTATTAAGCTCCGACAGCACTATTACGGCATTTTACGAAATCTCCGCGAGGCCCACGAGTCTCGTGCCTTTCACAATATCGAATGAAAGCTTCGTATTTCACACGGGGGCAATGCGCATTTTGAAATATATGATCAAGTTACGTCACAGTGATCTCGTCAAGCGCACGAGACTACCGTAATATCCAGAGTCGTCGTCCATCCCCGAAACGCCGCCGCCACCACTTTTTCGGCAAATATCGATTTCCAAAAAGCACTGCAGTCATCGCCAACCCCTACAAATTCCCCAACGCTGACTCCGTGATCCGCGCACATTCATCCTACCAGAATGATGCGGCCGTGGACCTTTCAGTTGGAGGATGTCCGTGACAAAGGAAAACAAAGGAGGAAAGACGCTTCACTTTGTTCACGTATTTCCTCCCCGATTTCCGCAACCCGAAGTTGTCTACATCCGTGCGAAAGAAAAACAATAAAGATAAGAAAATAAAACTTTGTCTTGCTTAAAAAAAAAATTAGTTCGGAAAAAAAAAAAAAATTTGTTCGGACAAAAAAAAAAAGTCGGGAAGATAACACAAGCATTAACCCATCCAGGGATGGTAAGTCAGCAAATTCCCCATATCCTGAAATGAAACCGTGGAGTGTAAGCTCAAAGTCCGTCTCCACCGAAATCACCGCAAACGCGCTCCTTCTCCCGAAACATCGCGGCCGCGGTTGGCAAGGCTGTGCAATGTTTGAGACAAAGCCGATAGGTGAATAAAGCTACGTGCTGCTTTCGCTCGTCTACCTCGGTTGCCCACCTTGCACACTTTGACGCTGCTTTCGCTGGTTTCCTGCACGCGCAACGGCAATTCCACCCCGTGCCTTGGCCTCCTCCCTCTCGCCTTTGTCCTTCGCTCCTCTCTACGCTTCCCTTTCCACTGTTAGGTCCCCAAACGGACACCATCAGATTTTCCTGTCATGTACGTACTAATGATAATGCATTAAAAAAGTGCTTCACTTCCTCTTGAATGTACAAAAGTACGCAGAATTATTTTTTTAAAATTTACGGCGCATGTTTTATAATTGCCACGTGTTGATCATAACACATTGAAAGTTCACGCGCAACAGCATACTCCCACTGATCTAGAGTGCAACGTCATCATCACCATCGTGTTTATTTTATGTGCTCACGAACAGCGAGATTGCCTTAATTATGATGCGCAGAAAAGATTACACATTTGAGATGTCGATGCTCGATCGATAATGTCGTTATAGAGTATTCTACGAGGGTCATAAAAACTAGCTAAGGTGACGTAAAATAATAATAACAACAAAGCCATAAAACTAGAACACAAATAAGGAATGTAAATTAAAAATAACTAACACAGAGCTCACTCCAAGTACCTTTTTACATATGGAATAAATAATTAAAGATTAGTTGGGGAAGATCTAACAAGTTGAAAGCCTCAGTTCAAGATGTCGGTACTGGTTGTGCTGAATGTGCTATAGAAATGTTGTATGCGGTTCGTAGGACTCGTTAGGTTAGGCGTCTTAAAAAAAAACTGGAATATATTTTACTTTCTACCGAGAGAGGGCACCACCAATCTGTAAAGCGTGGTGATTTCAGATTGATTCCACTGTCCGGTGCACTCCTAGGCCCCGATTTTTTGGTGGTATCATTTTGAAAGTACCATACTCCAAAGGATTAAAAAACAACAGTACGAGTCACTCTCTCAGAACCCATGGCAGGAAACAAGAGAAGATAAACCAACTTGCCGGAGAATGTAGCTCGGATGTCCGCCTTCCAGCTTTTGCCGGACAATGGACACTTTCTGACGCGGGAACCAGTCCAGGGAAACCTCCCTTGCCCCTGGAGAAAAGGGGAACAAAAAATGCAGTCGTTGAACTTTGAGCGTGTCGCACGTTGCTTGCGCAATCGTCCTCTTAACGAAGTTGCTGCTCGAAGAAGTTGTACTACAACGTTCCAAGACTGCTCATATTCCTTGGCATTCGCTCGTCTTTCTGGTAACATAATTTTCCTCAAAAAGGTAAAGATAGAGCCGAGGCTATCTCGGTTCGCCGGGAAGAGCAGCAACCAGTGTTTGGGAAATTTAGATGCACGAAATAAATCCTTGTCAAGAATCCGTTGAGCAAAACTGGCAGCCGCCAAATTTTTGGGCATGAGTTTCTGCTCGAAGTGTGCGATTAGATCCGAGTTTGTGTCGAGTGGCGAGGCAGTGCTTGCGTCAAATCCATTTGGACCCGACTATGCAGCAAACGTTGGTTGCCGCACTCGTGTCCAATGCACGACGAAAGTGCACGCTCAAATTCTGCTGGCCTCAGAGCAGCTACAGCAGGGCATGCACTTTTAGGGGCATGCACTTTTAGGGGCATGCCCTTAGGGTCTAGCCTTGTCCATCCGTCTGGCGTCCATGCTCACATCGATCGCACTGCCTCCGGGATTGGCTCAGATTGAAAAAAAAAAAAAAAATGTACGCCCGCACGGGGGTTTAAACCCAGGACCGCTTGCTTACGAAGCAGACGTCTTAACCATTACGCTACACTCCAACGTTGCATGTAGCCACTCAACGTCTACACAGGAGAGGGCGCTGCGGTCAAATGCGTATATAATCGCATTAAACTTTGCATGCATTGGCTCAACATTTATAGACGAGAGGGCGCCGCGGTCAAATGCTCAGCTGCGTATATAACCACGATCCATACCACACATTCTCTTTCTGACATGGACCGTTGACTTAAGGGGAGGCACGGCCTAGGAATCGCGATTTTTTCAAAAAAGTCACATTTTTGGAAAATAGGCTGACCAGCTTCTACAACTCATAAAGAATGCTGTCCAAAAATTTTATTCCTGTAAGTAAAGTATTTACTCCGAAATAAATTATTTTCGACGTGCTGGCGGCCTCACGTGCGCGCCGACAATGCGGCCGATTACGAAAATGTGCCATTTTCAAAGCGCGCTCCCTCCGCGTTTCTTAGGACTAGCATGGACAGGCCCCCCTCGTTGGAATGAGCGTCTCGCTCTCTTTCGTTCTATTCGCAGCACTGTTCGCGATATCGCGCTCACAGACCGTAAAACCCCGTAGAAAACATAGCTGTGCACGCTCTTATTGGTCAAGCTGGTGAAACAAGAGCTCCGATTCGCTAGGATGAGCCACGTGACATGGCTCGTCCTAGCGAATCAGGAAGCTCTGTTGGAAATTGGCATACAGCCAGGGAGCTACCAAGCGTCATACGGAGAGAGGGCCACCAAGATGAAGGTTGCGAAGGCCCAAGTGAAAGCGCTCGAGTCCTCCAAGATGTCCCACAAAAAAAGGAAGATGGATGCTGTGGCCGAGGCACAGAGGGACCGTGCAGAGGAAGGAGTGACATATGCCCCTGGAGCATTTTAGATGAAATGGCAAGCCCCATCTAAACTAAAACACTGTTCGAACGTTCAAACCCGTTTTTCTCAGCTTCATGTTTTCACCATTTTTCACAGCTCTAAGACTATCGTTCGATGAGTTAAGCGCCCCCAAGTCTAATGTATGGCTTTTTTGGCATGAAATTTACTGGAGAACTCGGCTATGCGCTTACTTTTTGCAGATTGTTATTTCTTCACACAAAAATGTTGACGTTTGTGAAACAAGAAAAAAATTAAAAATTCATACCATTATTGAAAGTTAATTTTTACATGAAATATGGCCTTAAAAATTATTTCAAGCCTACTACCGATTAGTTTAGTCATTCAGCATTATATCCCAACAAAGAAATTGTGCCTTTTTATTCATGTTTTGAAACAATAGTTTTTTTCCTTTGGCACGGCTACATGTACATTTTTTTCAACAAATAAGGCTGTAACTTGTCAAAGAATAAACCTTTTGGGTTGAAAGTTGGTGTAGCCTCCTAAGTTTTGACGTTTAACATACGCTAAAAATTTCATTGACCTGGCACAAATACTTAAAAAGTAGACCCTCCAAGGGAGTGCCTCCCCTTAAGCGGTGGAGATGCGTTCCCACAGCTTCTAGCGGATCCAAAGCTGATCCGCTAGAGGAACCACTGGCTCTGCATTTCACCGACCATAAAGCAATATTAATGAATTCGAAACGCAACCCGGAACTCAGCACTACCTATGAGCAATAAAAACAAATCAGCACCATCAGCACTACCTATGAACAATAAAATCAGTATCATCAGCACCACCAGAGCTTCGCCCCAGTCAACATCATTCACCACGTGGAGACACGGCCTCTTTTTTTTTTTTTTGAAAAGGAATGACGTAGAATAAAACCCTGTCTGTTCATTTTGCCATTACTTGCAGTCAATTAACTCTCAACAATACCAAGTCGATGAACAGAATGAAACGCTTGCAATTAAGCAAACTCTGATCTAAAATAAACACACTTTATGGTGCACCGTGCATTCACCAGGGCGCCTATCAAACCACTCTGCCATTTTGGCCGCGAGGCAGCTAAGTAGCTGCGCCTCAGACACGATCATATGGTTGTGTCGCCGCGGGGTCGATCGGGATCTCGAATTCGACTCCCGACGTGCCGCTTTCTCTCCTAGCCGCTGGATGGTGCTGCAGGCGCCCCGTGGCGGGCGAGGGGAAACCTCCTCGTCCGTCGATCGATATATGGTGTTGTATATACTCGGTAGACAGGGGGCGGAGAGTCTCTTAGAACTCCGGACGAGACCGAGACGCAGGCAGGTGGGTGGCGACCGGATCTAGGATATAGTGGGACACGTGGCCTGGGGGCCTTCTTTGTGTTTAGCTTTTGGCTTAACGCGCGTTTGTAAATATTTGTGTAATGTAGCTTGTATTTGTAGTTTAGATTGGGTGTTTTGTAGAGTTGTGTTTTATTGTACAATTAAACTGGGAGTGGAATCCTGCTCCTGTGAAAGAACCAGGCTGGACTCGGGTTGTTGATGGACCATGTGGGAAACGGCGAATCGGCGGCAGTACGCGATTTCCTACAACTTTAACTGCACGTTTTCTATTGACACACTTTTAAGTAGTTCCGTCGACATGCCACGGCAAGCATGCTCTGTACAACAACAAAGGTAAGGTTATCCCTTAGACCCAACTTACTGACATCAATATTTTTATACAAACCTGTCTTTTGATGAACAATAATTTTTATGCATGTTTTGATTGGTATATAGACATGCTTGTGTGCTTTCATATTTTACGCGGTGATATTTTATATATGAATTTGCAGAGTATTTCTACTGTGTGTGCTTAACCCAGTAGGCTTTCCAGCTGTTGGCTGGCATAAGAAAAAATATAAATATTGATCGATCGATTGATTGATTGTGAGTGTCCTCCTCACAGAAGAAATGTTCTACAATGGTCAAAGCAGTTTCTGCATTGGCGGCGCTGGAACAAAGAGCGACTTGAAGATTCTTCATTGGAACCGCTATTACTTCGTAGCACCACACTAGGCACAGCTTCGTTATGTCTGAAAGTGGATGGCAGACCTCTCCGTGTTTGTCAACTGTGGGAGCCACTGGTTTCCATCCCTTGAGAAAGGCCACGGATGTCCTGGCCAAAATCGTTTCGCTTGTAGCCTGCTCATTCCGTATGGTGTCGGGGAGGGCATGTAACCATGCTGGCCAACTCTCGCACTCCTCCGCACGTCTCCCGTTTTCAGGGAGCTCCCGGCGGACCTCGCGGGACTGTCGGGCCTTCCCTCCTCCGAGCGGGTGGCCGTCTGGTCAAGCAGTCCTGGATCGGACTCCGGGCGACGGGTCGAGTTGTGGCGTGAGCTCGTCCGATCGACAATGACTCGACGCTAGCGATTCCCCGTTGGCGAACCCGGCACAGCGACCGCCCTCACTGGTAGCCGTGGGATGTGCGGTGGGACGAGCATTGACGTTCCCCTCGCCACTGCGTGGTTTCCGGACAAAAAGGTACGTAATCCCTACACAACCTATGTGTAATTGTTGGACAAAATATCCTCGAGGTAATGTTATGCATGTGCGCTCCACAATCGGAGCAGCCAGGTCCTGCATCTCTTCCCTAAGGACAGTCCAACAGACGATGGGGTAAGCGAGGTTGTGCTTCGCTTAGCTTGGCCATGCAGCCGCACCGTTTGCTTCGATGGCAACGAATGAGCACACGCTGGGTGACCGGGCCATCATTGTTGTACACGCACAGATGCAGCAATAGACCAAAGCATGCATGGCCGCATGCTTGGGGTGGATCCAACATTTGCGGGGAGTTTTCATGCTCCCGAAGTGAATGCACCAAAATATCCTTTGAACTAACCAGGTCCAGAGGTTAGCCTTCCATAGCATTGTAGCTACTATTGCGGGGACCTACCCCAACTTCAAACTAACCGAAAAATGTATACAATGACTGGGAATTACCGCGAGTACAGTATTATCCCGAGAGACAGCCCTAGGGGTGTGCGAATACTCGAATATACGAATTCGAATCGAATAGAAAGTTCCCGAATAATTCGATTCGCGAATCGAATTCCTAGTATTCGGTTTCTCGAATATTCAATATATTCGGCCAAAGACGCGCGGTGGGCGCGGAGCAAACAAAAAAGCAGTTTTTTCTCCCGATGTAAGCGCCGTGATGTTAGACAGACCATGCGAGAAACACCTCTTGGTCCGACCATTCCACAAAAATCTAACGCACAGGTTAGAAAACAGAAAAGTAACGAACGCCACAAACTTTATAGCACGAAGATTTACTCACGCTCATGACATAATCTACCCTTGAATCACAACTGAAACATCTCGCTTGCGCCGCTTCCAGAGAGGAATTGTTAGGAAGCCGGAATTCCGCGCCGAGCCTAATTCTTTTCACGAGTAAAACTCCTCGTTTCAAATTGAAGCGCCGATGTAAAACACACTTGCCACACTCGCAGAAATCGGCTACTGCACCACTGCACGACCACAGAAAGAAAACCAACGTTACCATGCCGGCGAAACCAACCGAGTTATCGTCGTCGTTCTTTTGGAACCGCGAATTCTGATTCGGATTCCGAATCAGAACGACAACTCGGTTGGTTTCGCCGACGTGGTAACGTTGGTTTTCTTCGTGTGGTCGTGCAGCGGTGCAGTAGCCGATTTCTGCGAGTGCGGCAAGAGTGTTTTACATCGGCGCTTCAATTTGAAACGAGGGGCCACTGATGAGATGAGTGCGAGGGGCTTTACTCGTGAAAAGAATTAGGCTTGGCGCGGAAGAAACGGAACGGAAAAATAATGTGCCTAGATTTGAGAGGGTTTCCAACCGCTCGATAGCCGCTGCGAGAAGGCGCCGAAAAGACGACGCGACAACACAACACATGCGCATTCATGATCAATCTGCGATGGAGCAGTCTCTGTGGTTTCGGTTTCGGTTGCTCCCTCTTTTAAATCAAGGCTCTCTAAAACAGGATAGATAAACGGAAAAATGGATGCGTAGCGGCAGTTGGACGGTGACTTGCGCCACCTAACCACGTTTTTTTTTTCTTACTTTAGACTATATTGTTTAAAGCCAGTTTACCTCGTTGCTGTTTACTCAGATTTAACACCTGTCTTTTTATTTATGTGAAATCAAATCCCAGGTGCCATTTTCTTTCCTTAAAATGGAGACCAACTATCGCAAAATGCCCCTTTTCTGAGATATACAAATATTTAAAAAAAAGAAGTTGCGGTGTTATGTTGTTTTTTTAAAGAGAAAAAAAAGGCACGCATGGCTGAAACTTTTTTTTTTTTTTGTGACGTTTAGGGTAGATAGATCATGTTTGCACCATAAAATTGGATCTTTAGTGCCCAACGTTCAACAGCAACTGCTTTTTTTTTTTTTTTTTCACCGGAACTTTTTTACATTTTGGCTTTTGTTTTGTACAGGACGTATATTCTGCACCAGGCGCATACTCTGCACATATAATAATCGCATTCTCAGCACACTTTGAAAAATTCCTACGAATAAAATCACTATTCGATATTCGATTCGATATTCATTTTTTTTTTCTTGATTCGATTCGGTATTCGATTCGAGAGCTACTATTCGGTATTCGCACACCCCTAGACAGCCCACCTAAAATTGAAAGCAGACCGAGTGAAAATAAGAAGTGAGCCAACTTTCAACGTCCGATAAAAAAAAGTTTTAGAAATGCTTCTTTTCAATTTTGTTACCTGCGATCGCAGGGAGGAACCCAAGACGACTGTCCTTCCCAGTCAGCCATGTTCGCTTATCTCCCGCATGCTAGGTTACACCATTTCTGTTGAGGTCGCCATTGGCAGGGCCTTGCGATTACTATAAATGGCGATTTTAACCCGAGATCGGGGCAGAAAGAGGGAATCTTTTATAGTGGGAGAGAAAGTAACTATGGTATCAGTGTGATAACAGTTTGAGGACAGTGTGATTGATGAGAATGCTACACGCAGCGTGCTATGGTTACTGACGACGTCTGCAGGATCGCCTCTAAAAGGGCCGACGAAATAAAACACGGGGCTGATCCTTTTCCCAGATGGCTTGCACGAGTAGTTAACTTCATTACTTGCAATCGCACGCCGATAGTACAGCGGCGCGACATGAAAGAGGCCAGAAGGTCTGGCCTCTTTCAGTGCAGTGAGCAAATTGAGAAATGTACTTGCCTCGCTGTCGTTTGCTGGCCTGCGGACTTGACCCAGCTTGTTGGCGTTTGGCGAGCCTCTACGAAACAAGAAATAAATTAAAAAAAGACTGCAGCAGCATGCAAGCACACGACATTTGTTTCCTTTCATCAGCAACCCTCAAATAGGTTGTCCTAACTTTTCCCAATGTCAAAAAGCTAAGGCTTATTAGGGTCGTTCAAGGTTGAACATGACTTGTATTCCTACGGAGGAAATGAACATCTCAATACGCATGGAACTATATCGCTATATACGCTTTTCAAAGCATACCCTGTGGGCATCTGGGAACAACTGCCATCGTTTTGGTGTCTCGATTTCTTTGGCTTAGAAAGAACTGGGATGCGTGACTGCAGTCTCACGAACGACGGCTCACCTGTCAGCGGGTGTTGTCCTTCACCAAACTTAAGGGAGGACACTACTTGGCCATGCCTACTCTTGAACTGCTCACTCAACCGGTGTGATAGTTGCAGGTGGTGTTCGCAGCCGTATAGAAGGAGGGCATGCAAAGTTTCAGCCCTGTGAACCAATTGTATAAGGTACTACACCCCCAGAACGTAGCTTTGTATGGAATCTGCTCAATGAATCTATCGTTGAGAAATGGTGTTGATCACCACATATTTTTCTGGTGGAATGCATACTGGAATACTTGTTGCCAATTACTATAAAAAAAAAAATAATATTTTGTTTAAACAAAAAATATTTATGAAAGTTTTTTTGTTTTTTTTTACATTTGCCAAGTTTTGCAAATAACAATTTTTCATAATAAAGGAACATAAAAATGCAAAATCTAAGTTCATAGTAACTGGCTCGATAAAATTTCGGCATATAATCTGCAAATATTAAGTCTCTCGGTAGTTTCGTACTGAGACAATAGTTTTATTAGGTGGGATTTGCTGCCAAAGAGTGAAGCTGAGATAAATGCACTTGAAGTTTCAAGATGACGTTTTAAAATTTTCTTTTTGCGCCTTAAATGTCAGAAATTCTTTCCAGCAGTGTAGGTGATGTCTTCCTCAAACTTCTTCCGATATACTGACATTGCTTTCAGCTATTTTCATTTGTGGATGACGAGGCTACGCAGTGCAGCACACCTCACCAACATATAAAGGCATTTTTCTCCGTTTTACTTTTTGGTATAAATTCCATTTTAGTCAATCTATCGTTTGATAATGGCAAAACAGGGAAGGCTCATTCTTCCCTTTTCCTGACTGAAATTTAATAAGAAATGCAGCTATGGAACTTTTTTGTCCCTTTACGGATGTCTTTTATAAAAAAATTTTGTAGAGGACACAGAAGACCAAAAAGTTGACCAATTTTGCAGAAGAAAAATTTATAGAAATAAATGATTTTTTAAACAAATAAAAATTTTGAATATGGTGATAGCTTTCTGACGACAGATTAACTAAACAACGTAGGCGTGTTGCTGATAGAAGCTACTCTAATTTCCTTATCATTTACCCGACAGACCTGAAATTCTGTTATACACCCTCTAGCATGACCACCAGCCTACCCTGCAAATTTCATTAGTTTTAAGGCAAGGGTTCAAAATTTGACCTCCCTGGGGGGTGTGTCCCCTTAATAACCATGTCATGATTGATTTCACGATTATGTTGTCAGTTTCCTTCTCCCCTTTGTTTAAGAGTTAGATCACGGTTGGAGTTTAAGTGTGTTATCTGAAATTCCCCGACTCTTACGCAGACTGCTCTGATCGAAATTGTCCAGAGTGTAGGATTAGAATTGTTTATGAGAGGTATATTGGCAGAGAAAACTTCTACCATTATGAATCATTGCTCGTCCAGTTTTCATTGCGTAAGCTGTCTGTGAGGCGACAGTAGAGATATCATAGTTTTACACAAGGTAGTTTGCGGAGAGGTGGATTCGATGGATTTAATCCAGTCTATTTATTTTTTTGTTCCGACCCATGTCAGCCGGAACATATCAACTTTTCAACCGGGTGGTGGTGGCAAGTGTTTCCTTTAGCGAGGCTACAACTCGCTTTCAATTCTGTGTGTGAAACTAACTTCAATATTTTTATCTGCAATTGCGATTTCATTTCGCAAGTACACAAATGAATGTCTTCCCTATAAGCCCAATGATGAGTGTGTATCCTTAGTTATCTATTTCTTGTTAATTGTATTAATGACCAGTATATTGTTGTATTTTATATGTATATAGTATGTCACTTGTTTTGTGCACCACTCAGTCAGGTTGTTTGTAGACACAGAAAAATAAAGATTATTATTATTATATTATTATTTCTGAAAAAAAAAAATCACAAATCAAAATTATTTTATTGAGTAGTCACTCGAGTCTTCGCCAATTATAAAATTTTGTAATTAAAGTTTTTCAGAAGTGTTGGTTTCAATGAACCCTCTGATATATAAGGTATCCATCCCAAAAGAAAAGTATTCAGATCCTAATTTTAGATAAAAAATACCGTGGGGAAAGCTCTTCAAAACATGTTCGTAAACAGCCCGAGCATGAAACTGAATCAATGTAACTATATCAATGAGCACTTCCCGAGTAAGTAGTAGTAACTACAAAATATGTCGCATCCAGGTATAAAAAAAATTGATTTTTGTAATTTTTGTTTTTCCAGGCCAAGGTGTCCCCTTAACATACAAAGCGGTTTACAGGCAGAGAAATAAAGTGAGAAGGCTCTGACCATCCAGTCCACGGTGGGCTCCTGTACAAAGACGTCGAGGACGTCCAGTATGCTTTCTGCCCCCGCCCGGAGCGCCCTGAGAGCGTCCTGCATTGCACTGGCCAGGGGTCCTTCTTTGCCCAGTGGCTCGAGCAGGCCCAGGTACTGGGGACTCAGGCGGAACGGCATCAGCTCCGGGATGGGCAGGAACTGCACGCAACGCGGACAGCAAGGCGCAATGTCTTGCAACTTGCGAAAATTCAAACTTGCCCAAATTAACGGATGAGAGCAGAAATGACCTATAGTATGATGAAACTGCGTCCATTCTGAATGAATATTTTAACTCTATTTCTCCGAACAAAACTTTTCCATTTCCTTCATTACCCCACAGTACCAGATCAATGGAAGGGATAGACTTCACCCCTTCAGGAATCGCAAAGTCTATTGAACGGCTCAAGCTTAAACTCCGCCCCTGGCATTGATGGCATATCACTGAGGTTTTCACGTGTAACCAAAGAAATTGTTTCCGTAATTTTAGCTTGCTTATTATTTGCAACTTTCACGACCTATAGGGGGCGCACTGGCGCCTATCAAAATGGCTGTCATCTGGATGATCGTCGTAGAACAGCAGTACAAGGCGGGGTCTACGACGCGTAAGTAATTGTAGTTTTGCTGACCTGTATTAGGACCTTAGTTTATTTTTCAAGTGAGGAAGGTGTTGGCAAGCACCTTTATTGTGAAGCCAATCATCCAGGAGCTAGGGAGCGCGATTCTCTCACCGTGGTACCACCATCACTGAAAGTTGCGAATACCAGGCATCCCTTTTACCCTCCGATATTTCTTCCGACTGGCAAAAAGGCAACGTCGTACCTATCCTAAAATCTGGTAGCCGAGATCTTTCATCTAACTTCAGGCCCATATCACTTACTTAGCATACCTTGTAAAATTATGGAGCCCATATTTCACTCTCCCGTAATTAACTTTCTCGTTCACAATAACCTTCTACATCCACGTCAACATGCTTTACGAGAACACCTCTCATCTGAATCCCTACTTTTTGGTTCTGTATCTGACCCGCATCACTTTCAGTGCGTCACTTTCTACCCATGCCATTTTCATAGATCTTGCCAAGGCTTTCGACAGGTGCCTCACCAGTGTTTACAACGGAAACTTTCCAAAGTTAATATTGACGACAGTATAATCAATTGGATAGTCTCATTTCTTACGAATCGTCAGCAAACTGCCTGTATTAAGGGGGCACCCTACGAAAAAAAAGAATATTCTGCAAAAAAGTTCATTATGAAAAATGCCATATTTACATTCACCAACATCTAAAGAGTATTCCCGCAAATTTTCCTTTGTTTACACTGCATAGTTATTTTTTTATAAATTATTTTAAATACAGAGATGCTCAAGAAAAGGTAGAGGTTCGACCACTCTGGAAGTGTTTTTTTTCCGTTCCACTTTTTGGCATGAACTTCACTTTAGGAAAACGTCTGTTCAATAACGGAACGAAAGAAAAGGCTCACTCATTGTTTTTGAAAACTGGAATTTATTGGGAAGTGAAAATGCGGTATTGAAATTTGTAGATGTGTTCTATAGCAGATGTTAATTAAGATTTTGTTGAAAACATTAAAAGCAGAACATTTATTTGATTTTTCAGCATTGACGCAAATTTCCAAAAACAGATCACCCGGCTGTGTGGCTCTGGGTATCAAGGTGTCCTCCAGGGAGCCGTGCGTGAAACCATGTACAGGAAATTGGCTAAGAAATAACTAAGCACTGAGCGACAAAAGCAGACAACATGAAAGAATGTCGCTGTAGTTTCTTACATCCACAGTGTCACCCACCGACCCAAAAAGATTGGAGCGCAACAGGGTTCAGGTCGCGTGCTCGGCACCAAACAAAGCAAACTTCAGGTGCCACAGAATAAATCAGGCCAACAGCAAGAAGAGAACCCGTAACACCGCGCACAGACTGCAATACGCGACGTGCCAAATTGTTGTTGTGCACCAGATTTCAATGCAATGAGGGGAATGCTGCGTCGGGCAAGTGGGCGGCTGCATTAACGACCGAGTTGGAGAGCACGCAGCGTCAGTGAAAGACAGAGCGGCTGGGCATCTTTCAGCCCACTGCCGCAAGTGTGGGTGCAGCCCAAGTTTTAACGATGTTTCCATTCTTACCAGTCACAAAAATGCCTTTGCGCGCAAGATTCTAGAGGCCACTGAGGAAAGCACAGATGGATGCGGGGTGTATCCCGAAACAACCCATTCTCATTTGAACCCCTCCCGTTTGAACCCATTTGCAAAATGCCCTTTGCGTTTTCACCTTTCCGGTTTCAACCCTTTCTTATTGGTACCCGTCTCATTTGAACCCGTGCTCAATTTTCCTTACGACTGCGTGCCGCTCTGAGCCCCCCCGAGTCTGTCAACGTAGCTACGTGGTCGCATGGCGACGTGGTTTCAAAAGGGCTAGAGCTGTTTCGGTACTTCAGTTCTCTTCTGGTGCTCCTCGTGTGTTATTGCTTGTAAGTACCTCAGAAAGATTGCGAGATCGTGATGCTTGATTAATTCGGGTTCGCGGTGGTCACGTCGAGAATGCGAGTACTGGTATATGCGTAACTCTTTGAGATGAGCACGTCTAAGCTGGGGGCTGTTCATTGCTGTAAAGTCACTGGATCTACACATTGCTTCAATGCTGGGGAGTGTGCACGCAATGACACGTTTAAAACTGCGGCTTTTTTTTTTTCTTTTTTTTTTCAATGTGCGCGTGCGGATGTTGCTTGGCTTGACGGCTTCCTTACCAGGAGCAGCTTTTTTTCTTAATTTCAGTCGTGAATCATCGGATGCAAATTATGCTCATCTGGCAATATTTATTTATTTACAACCGGTGTCGGAGTGGTCGTAAAGATCTACGATCGTTTTATATTTGCCTACGTGTCGTCTGTCATGCCGTGGATTGGCGTGCACTCTACAAGTCACTCTCCAAGAAGCATTTCAAGCCGCAATAAAGCTTCAGGTGCCTGGACTTCAGACTGCCTATGGTTCCTTTATTTCGGTTTCCCGCAAGTGTATGCTGAAATTACTGCTTTTCCCCAGCCTGATCATGTACACAGTTAAAATGAGAAAAGTCGTTTTGAGAATGGTCAAGACCAGAAAGTATGCTTTGAGAAAGTTTGAAAGGTTTAAATGAGAAAAGTCGTTTTGAGAAGGGTCAAAACGCGATACCTAGTTTGTTTTGAGAATGGTTTTTATGTGAGAAAGGAAGAAAAGCGAAAGTTGTTTTGCTCTTCGTTGAAATGAGAGGGTAGAAATGTTAATGGATTCAAATGAAAACCACCCCTCCCATCATGCTCAGCAAAAAATAAAAACAGTTTTTGCAGTTTGGCACCTCCCCGTGAAGGGAAATAAGAGGGAAATTTAGTGTTTAGTGGGTTGAGGTGAGGAAGAAATGTAATTGAATTTATTGGCAATATTTTATGTGCAGATTAACAAAAACGTTCAGCCTTTCCACTCTCGTGAAGAAGGAAGACCAGCGGAGCTGTACTCGATACACTGTGTGCTTCTTTTTTGTCGTCGCCTGTTTTTTGCACTGCTTCCTACGATGAATTCCCACCAACGCGCCCAACTATCCATTCTTCTATTATAGCTTGCAAGGTATGGCGCACCGTGAATTCACGAGGGCGCCCATCAGACCATTCGGCCAATCTTGGCCGCGACACGATCACATGGTCGTGTTGCCGCGGGGTCGATCGCGATCTCGAATTCGGCTCCCGACGCGCCGCTTTCTCTCCTAGCCACTGGAGGGCGCTGCAGGCGCCCCCGTGGCAGAGCCGTTTATCGAGAGAGTTTGGCCATACATTGGTTTGAATAGGCGAGCATCTCGGGGCCAACCACAGGCCGCGAAACAGCCCCTAGCGGTGGTCGTGAGCTCTAAATTTGTGACACGACTAATTCAAGCCGTTTTAGCGTCGCTAGAGTTAAAAGGTGTAACTCTCAGTGACTGAAAACTTTGTGCGTGCGAGGTTTTCGTCACGCCAATATTCAAGTGTAGAATAAACGAACATGCGCTCCAAACCAGGGCCAACTTGCTAGAAACAGCGTCTCAGCTGAGACGGTGAAAGAAAGCACTGCCAAAGCCAGCGCACGAGCCTAGCGGGACACCGCGTCTCCAGGACGCTGTTCTAACAAGCCAACATCAGCAGTGCAGAGAAAGGCATGGGCACGAGCGCGTGGCTTTGGAAAGTGGCTCCTACGCACGAGTTCACATACAAACAAAAGCGTTTGCTGAGCTAGGTTCACGCGCCTGTACCTTTGTCTTCACTGCCGACATTTGTGAGATGGAGCTATTTCACGCTTTGAATGTCGTTTGCAATATTCTGACGTCGCGGTCTCCTGATTGGTCGACGCCGTGTCACAAATTTAGTTTACGCTCTAAGCGCGGGGGGAATATTCGGCGCTGGCGGCGGCCTTTGCTCCGCCTGTTGGCCGAACTCTCCCAATACACGGCTCTGCCCCGTGGCGGGCGAGGAGAAACCTCCTCGCCCATCGATAGATATACTCGGTGGGGCAGGGGGCGAGAGGCCTCTAAGAACTTCGGACGAGACCGAGACGCAGGCACTGGCAGGCAAGTGGGTGGCGACCGGATCTAGGATATCGCGGGACGCGAGGCCTAAGGGCCTCCTTTGTGTTTAGCTTTAGGCTTAACGTGCATTTGTAAATAATTGTGTAATGTAGCTTGTATTTGTAGTTTAGATTGAGTGTTTTGTAGGGTTGTGTTTTATTGTACCAATAAACTGGGAGCGGAATCCCGCTCCCGTGAAAGAACCAGGCTGGACTCGAATTGTTGACGGACCACGGTGGGAAACGGCGAATCGGCGGCGGTACGCGAATTCCCACAAAGGTTGCCGCCATCAACGAGCGACAGCGGAAACCATACTGGTTGTGTGCTTGTCGCCGTCGCTTATAGATGGCGGTAGCTGTCCAGGTAGGTTTGTGTCGACATACACGAACACGATCCTGGGCAACCCAGCCCTTAACAGCTCCACTGTAAAAAAAGAAGGGCAAACGAACTTGGGTTTAGGAGATGAAGAAGTATAAAGTCACAGTTGATAGTCAGCGGTGTGTAGGTCTGTTTCTTCGTGTTTCTGTCCCCAACATTCTGCCTGACCTTTTCTTCTGCTACATACCAAGCCCATATGATCATCTGTATCGTCCCACTTGTTCACAATTTGTGAAAAAAGGAAAAACTTACATTAACTACTAAATCAAATTATAAAATAATCTTTGCCTTTGTCTCGGGAAGCAGTGAGGAGAAAACATTTTTTTATTTATCGATAGTACAATAGCCATAAACAATTTAGTGTCAAAGGGACACCCCCCAAAAATGTTTTCTTATTTCTTGCCAAGTGATTTAATAACTGTCAGGAGACTGCCCAATCAATATTTGGGTGCAGGGTGACATATATTTTTAATAAAGCAAAATATCTCAGCTGCTCGAAACCGAAACACGAGCACTCATGGCCGGAAGTCACAATCCTACACCCGACCACTTCTTTTTTTTTTTTTTTTTTTCTCTCGGCTTTTCTGGCGTGTGAAGCAGACGACGAATTGTGTGCACCGTTTGTCATGCGATTGTTTCGCACTTCTATTCCTTCCGTTCAATGTTCTGCGCTTCAATATCGATTGGCCAATATTGTGAATAACAGTTTCGAAGTAGCAGTCCCCATCCATTGCAACGTTGATCCGTCACGTGCCGCCATCGCCAGAGCCTTTTATACTGGGAGAGTTCGGCGGGTGGGAGGGGCTTACGGCCCGCTAGGTCTAGCGGACTCAGCGGGCGCCGCTTCCGCCATGATCTGCCTCCTGGCGAGTGGGTCCCCATTGACATGCGACGTATACGCGTGTAGGTTTTGCCGTTTGCGCTTTTGTTGGCGTAAAGAGAAAGTCGAAAAATCAAGCATTTTGTTACGTTAATCATACGTTAATCATAAACTTACCTCGCACAATCGAGAACTCGGCTTCCAGTCAGCCCTTCTTGGTTTGGTTTCCCAGATCTTGTGCCTTGCGCGGTTTTCTTTTCCTTGCGGGAACCGGTACATCCTGAACCCCTTTTTCGTGTTGTTCGAGCACCCAACGGCACTGCAGCCCCCCATTTCTTTTTCATCTAACGTCTGGCAGAGCGCAGCGCAGAACGATCATTTTCATCGTCGTCTCTCGCTCCATGGACTCTAGCGAGCCGACTGCCGGCTCGAGTCAGTAGGGCAAACGGGTTTTATCAGCCGCCACCAGCCTTACACCAAACAAAGGTGAAGCTTGCAATTTAAGGTTATAATTATAATGCAATTAAATGCAAAGGTGCAATCAAGCTAGACGGCAAGGCACATCATGGCGGATGCGCACAGTTGCCAGACTGTTTGATCAGTGCTGCCAGACTGGCGGCTGGATCAAAGAACCGCCGAACTCTCCCAGTATAAAAGGCTCTGGCTTCGCGTCGTCCAGCCCACGGTACGTCGCCACACTGAGAATGACGTGTACATGTACTTCCTGTGAGCTGTGCTACATTATTTTTTTTTTTAATCAGCGTATTCGCAGCTTTTTAGAGGCCAGAAAAATGGGGTTCATATCCTTTTCTATTTTTATTATCGAATGTGTGCCTTACATCACCGATAACTTTGAATATATTCGGTAAAGATAGATCGAACGCCATGTGATCATAAAAAAGAGAGTGAGTGCAACTAAAACCGGCCGATTCTCGACTGGCCGTTTTTGGGCGGAAAGAGAATGAATTCTGAGTTGCAAATTATGTTTTTGGCAGTTCGGCTTTTATAGCTCATGTTCAAATAAAAACCTCGGAGAGCATAAACACCCTGCGAGTGTTTCTTTAGGTGTTCTCTTAATGCCACCAAATAAGCTACGTCTAGACGCACTTTATTACGCGGCTCTTTTGGGGCCTCTGATATACAGACCGGTGGCAATAGTCAGGATTAAAAAATGCAACTTCCCGAGCTCTAGGTGTCGGGAAGCTTGGGCGAAATTCTTTCGTCCTCTTGCGGAGAGTTTTCTTGTTTATGGCCAAAGTGTCATTACTTTCGAGTGTAGCTCACGTAGTGGGTCTAGGTTTGTCCGCCCGCCCCACGCTTTCTCTCCGGTGCCCCACCGCGACAAACCAACACCAGCCAAGAACAAAACGCTAAACTCCCGACTTGCCTGCGCCGTGAGCCCGAAGGCATAGCCAAAGTCGATGCCGATCTCGAGGCCGGTGTTGGTGCTGACGAGGAAGTTTCCGAGGTGGCGGTCCCCGACGCCCAGCACCCAGTGCGCCACGCAGAGGGTGGCGTGGGAAAGCACAAAGCGCGACCGAAGTGCAAAGAAGGCCTCCGGGCAGGAGCTCAGTCCCAGCAATGCTTTACTGCAAAACATTAGACACGTCTTGATCGTAACGTCTCCTGGACACACCTTTTAAAATCGGACCCAAGCAGACTCTGGTGACACATTTCAAAAAGGAGGAGCTCAATAAACTTCCGGTTGATGGATCAAACATCTCCGCAGGCAAAGAAATGTTGACCCGCTTTAACTGGTACTTTGCCAGTGCGTTTTCCTCAGACAACGGCATCATACCCAGCTCATCGTACCTAATATGCTCGGCAAAATTAACTAGGAGACACTAGGGACAAACTGGAAGACCAAAAGGAGCCTAGGGAAGGTTTGTGCACTAACACGATGGAAAAGACTGGCAGCATTTAAAATCCCTTGGATCCCGAGATTTCCCCGCTAAATTTCGCGGGAAAATTGACGTCACGTGACGTGGCTTTGTGACGCCATAAAGTCGTGTGATGTCACGAAGCTCGTGACGTCATTTCTGTTGTCGCACACGAAAAATCAACGGGACCCTAGCCATGGACAGCTTTGCCGTAAAAAGCAGGAGGAAATGCGAGTGTCTCTGCCCTCACGGCGTCCCAACTCTGCCGAAGCTCGCATCGACCGTCAGGCTGGAGAGCCACCTGTAGCAGAACGGGTGCCTGCCACATTCGCTGCTGCGACACCCGCACGGTGGCAACCACGCGCCCCTTTTGCGACGCCATGAGGCACAAATTGAGAATTTTCTAGGAACAGCGGTCGGAGAGGTGTTGCAGGCTTAGTACCGTGGCCCTCACCTGAGCGACTCCCTGCTCACTTGCCGAACACATCTGCCGAACCGCGAGACTGCCTGGGACGGCTCCTTGTACGCCTTCGCATAGTCTTCGGTGGACCACAGGCCAAAGCTCCTGGAACACCGGGCCCTTCCGGAGAAAAAAAGGTGCATTTCGAGAGACCCTTCTTGATACGCTCAGTCCCCGACGGAATGAAAACGGCTCTTGAACGGCCGGCCTCCAGCTTGTGCCCCGTGTTTTTCGCCCTGCTTTGACTGCGCATGCACGCTCAAGACACACTGTGGCACGAGCATGGGCATGGATTTTGTTTTCAACTGGTGGACCACTTTTAAGCACCTATATTTGCGGCAAATACATATCTCATGCTTTGTGTTCTATTGCAAAGGCCTTCCGCTATTGGTAAGCACGCAAAAGACATTGAGCTTTGAACGCCGAAGCGTCGTTGAGAATGGGAAGCTCACGTTGGAGGTGGGACAATTGCAACTCTTTCCTGCTTACCTGGACTATAGCTGTCCTAGGGTTTCCAAAACAGAAATATAGCATGCACACTGGTAGTGCAAACACCCTTTATTCTGAGCTTTTTAAACAATTTTGAGGGGGCTCTCCCTAAGGCAAGGAACCCTTCTGCGTCTTGGCATTGATACACTAAACAAGAACCCTATGGGCCACCTCGACAGTAATTCATCTACTAGGCAGTGACTGCCTCAGTTATGCGTCAGTGGACGGCTCACAACTTGGAAAATTGAACGAGAAAAACACTTTATGATGGAACAAAGGAGTTCCTGAGAAAATATCACCCTAGAAAATCTCCCTCGCTTGTGCGTGGGCTCAGAGAAAAGCTCACAAGAGAACTAGAGGAAACCACACCCTGAATTCAACTTTTGGGAAAAGCGGTCATAATCATTATAGAGTGGTAATTAACCGAGGGTACAGGCAGCGCAGATTTTAAAGTGAGGCACTCTTCCGCAGCCTTTGTTCTGCTTTCCTGTCAACTGCTTTTGCATGATAGTTGCCATATTTAATTTTAACGTAAGTGGAAAGAGCTTTCTTTTTATTTGCTCGTCAGAAGAGCTGAACTAAAAGCGCATCTTTGCAGAAATGTTCAAATATGCGAAGGCTTGATAATGCAGTGCCAGCTACTATATGGTAATAATAACGCTTTATTTTACCCTTTATATAAAAAATTTTTTTTTAAAAACTTTCAGCCTTTCCACTCTGAAAAGAAGGAAGAGCAGCGGAGCTGTAGCTTCTGTTCTGGTCGGTGGCTTTCCAGGCGAGCGACCTGCTCTTATTTCGCAAGGGAATTTGAAGCACTCGACGCAGTGGAACTTTCGGCGATAGTGGCCTCGTGGCGGTTACAAAACTATTCGCGCTGCTGCGCACATCGCCGCTCATTCCGTTCCCACTTTTCTTCCTGATGATGATGATAATGATGATGATACTGCGGCTGCTCCCTCCATAACGGGCGGGCTCGAATAATCGTGCCCAAGCCTGGGGGTGAGTTCAGCGCCCCCTGTGTTGTGTATGATGCCACCAATCCTCCAGTCGTCTTTTCGTCTGCTCGATGGTCTTCCAAAAGGCTTCAGTAGTATTGGCTGTCTCGCTTGTTGACGAGAAGCCCAACGCTGTCGCTAGAAATGTTGCTGCCATCTATGAACGACGGCGGCAAGCGGACAACAGGCAAACACAACACTCTGGACAGCTACAGGTTTGTGTCGACATTTCTTTGTGGGGGACACGATCCTGGGGAAACTAGCCCTTAACAGCTCCGCTGTAAAAAATGTTCAAGAACTCCCAAGCTGCAATCTATTAGAGGGACCATGAAATGAAATTTTTACTTTTGCCAGATAACTTTTACATTAAACCTTCAACGTTCACTGAATGCCGAACAGGCCTCCATTTTCGTCTCGGTTTATTAACTTTTACACAAAATAATAATGAAATATCGACTTTTTCTTTCTCTCCAACTGACCGCAAAACAAGTTGCGGCGTAATTCTGACGGTCGTGACATACTCTGGCACAGGAACCGGAAGTTCTCTCAGCAGTAGGAGAATGGGAGCGTTAGCGGCGGCGAGTTGGGGGTGCGCCGGGAGGGCGAGACTTACAGGTTGCCCTGGCTGCTTTCATCGAGACCTCGACGCTGAAAGTCCTTGAGCACCACCGTGCCGTCCAGCCACTCGATGAGCCCCACTCTGGAACAGAACAAGCCACCGACAGACTGAGAAAGCTCGTTGCCTTCCGTTGTGCGCTCGAGCTGCACCAGACGCCCAAGCATTGCTATCCTGCCAAAGGCAACTTCCCAGTGACTAGGGTCGGTCAACTAACTTTGCTAGTGCCACACTAGCAGAGCTGGTTCGAATCATGCAAACAGGAAACAAATGCAGCTAGTGCTCCTCGAGAAAAAAAATGACAGAAGGATACTTAAGACTGCTTATGCATAGGAGCGCAAAAGCATTCCTACATGCAGTGCATTCCTAGAAGCAGCACGCCCCGCTGCCCTCCGCAGAGACCCTACTGCACCACCCTCTCCCTTTTACTGGCACGCTGGCCGCAGCGCCAGGAGAGGGCTTTTCTGCGGAGTGGCCTTCCTTGGAGCTATGACGCGTCGCGGCCAATAGGAATTTATTGCTCGTTTCGCTCAGCCGGAATTGAGGTGCCATTTTTCGTGGTTACAGACAACACCGACGCGTTCCATGGGACCAGTTAATGCTTTCGCATTAAAATTTGCGGTGGTATTTGAACCTATCGGTTGAGGTGTCACGTGCACATTTAAATTTATGAGGAAAGCAATAAAGGCCCTAGCCTCAGCCTTCTCGGCACACGACGGCATATCAAACATGTGCTCCCTTTGTATACCATTCCTCCTTTTCTCATTGTTGTTTTTCAAGCTTTTGCAGCAAGCAAAGTGTTCTCGAAGCATCTCAAAGCCCTCCCTCCTTCAGTATTTTTCTTTCTTTCTTGTGCTTGGCAGTTGGCTCAGTGGGCCAACTCTCCTTGACCTTGGAATACTTCACTTTTCAAGACAAAGCTTTCATCAGATATATTAAATATTAATAAAATATATATTTTAGGACCATCAAAATGTGAGATCATCCGTCCGTCACAGCTCGATGGCTCAACTTTGTGGGAAAACCTGAATTGCTCTACAATTATGCACCCCTTCAACTAAGGAAGAATTGTGGCAAAATTGAAGCCGTGCTGAGGCGGCAGACCAACAGTGCCAAGATCTACAGACGTCCGAAGGAGGGATCCCAAATGCTACCATATATTGTTTGGTAGCAGCCAGGAAGAAGGCTTTTGCTGTTACTTTGGCCCCTGAACATGAACATTTGACAGGAACCAGTCTGGTTGGGGCGAGACTCATTAAAAAGGGGGAAACGTCCAAACAAGCCCAAATTAGAGACCCAAACTTTCGAGGCCTGCTTGGCCTGTTCTTCAGGGCGATGGCCGTCCAAAAGCAATATTTTTTTTTTTTTTTTTTTTTTTTTCCTCTTACGATGGTACATTTCTCTCCGGATGAATTGGTGGGATGTCTCCCCTATTAAAAAAATCAAAGGTTCTAATTCTTAGATATATTCTCGCAAGATATTGAAATGTGTTTGGAAAGTTCAACCGGTAAAGCTGATGCTTACGGTACAGTGCTCGACACAGCAAAAAAGACAAGAAAAGCGCTTGGTCTTGCTATAGTAACTTCATATGATCCACTTAATTTGAAAAGTATATCCAGTTGCTCTAGCGTCGAGTTACCATATTGCTCCTCCTTTTAATTAGTACTCTAAGCATCGCTATAGGTTAACCATATGGTCCATTTAGTTTCATTGAGGACTGTAGATCTTAAAAAAAACACTTTCAGCCTTTCCACTCTGGTGAAGAAGGAAGACCAGCGAAGCTGTACTATGATGTGACGACCTCAAGGACGACTTCTACGACGACCTCGAGAACAACTTCAGGAACGACGTCTAGGGTGACCTCAAGGACGACGCCTAGGACGACCTCAGGGACGACGTCTAGGACAACGTTTAGGACGACCTCAAGGACGACTTCAAAAACGACCTGAAGGACGTCTAGGACGACCTCAAGGACAATTTCTAGGACAACCTCTAGGACGACCTCAAGGATGACTTCTAAGACGACCTCGAGGACATCCTTTCGGACAGCCTCAAGGACGACTTCTAGGACAACCTCGAGGACGGCATCTAGGACGACGCCTAGAGAAATTCAGCCTTTCCACTCTGGTGAAAACCAAAGTTCAAAAGGCTGAAAAGGTTGCCGCCATCTATGAGCGAGGCCGGCAAGCCGGTTGTCTGGTTGCCGCCGTCGCTCATAGATGGCGTAAGCTGTCCAGAGTTTTGTGTCGACATTAGTTTGGTACCGGACACGGTCCTGGGGAACCAATCCCTTAACAGCTCCGCTGTAAAAAAATTTACGCTGCTGCCCGCATTTTTGTGTAATACAGCATTGACCTCTTTTACAAAGGCTGCTTTGCAACAACCAGTCTTGTAACTGGCACCCTTAAAGAAACCATCCAATTCGGGGTAAAAAAAATAACAAGCTGCTAGCTGAAGCTTTAAAAGTCAGTGTAATGAGAATCAACATGGTACACTCCAAGTTTTACCACCTGCCGCAAAATATAAAAGATCCGTCCCTTACTGTACCAACACCCACTACCAATTAGGCATTATTAAAGGGAAAAAATGCAAGGACAGACAGGATGACACATCTTTCTACCAACTACAAACTATTGCAGATTCAAAGATTCTGCAAAATACCGCCATAGAGCATCCCCTCCCCAAAACTATATATGTCTGCAGATTTCCTCAAACAAATAAGTCAAAAAAAAAAAAAAAAAAAAAAACACAAAAAAAAAACACAGTTGTTTTCTTACCTTAACCACTCTTTACACCTCTTTTTCTGCAGTATGGAAAAGACTTTCAACAGGAAAGTAAAAAGAAAACAAACAACCTTGACATGTGTTGCACAACTGCTAAACATGTTGCCTGAGGTTACATAACATTTTTGCTCATATTCTATTTGGGCCCTCTTTTACTGAAATAATTTATTTTTAGGTATCTTAAAGTTTTGTAACTCCTTCATCCTAAAATTCATAACTTTTGAGCTAGAAAATAAATGCCTTAGTGTTTTATGAGGCGACTATTAAGATTAAATTGTGAAACAAACTTTCTTTATAATCAACTATGATTTCACGAGGGATTGTTAGCATATACGTACTGCAGTTCACATTTACTTGTTTATTTGCAAACAAGCTAGAGAAGTATTTTTTTTAAGTCACTTTTTATTGTTTTGACAAAGCAAGTGCTTGGGCCTTTGTTGCACAGAAGGAATTTGAGTAGACATTTACGGTCAGCGTTTCAAACGAGGCCTTCCAACAATAGGAAATATTTTGTAGAAGTTCACCCTTTTCCCACTCTATCGTGGTAATGCAAAACATATTCGGTGCTCCTTCGCAGTGATGTTACGCAGATAAGCTCAATACACATTGTGTGTTTCGTTGGCACAAACGTTATTGTGCGTCTCTGGAAGAAAGCCCAGCCAAGCTAGCACTCCAGAGGGAATGGCGCTCAAAGTTTGCGTCCCTCGCGGCCACACACCCCAGTTTCGATCAGACAATTTTACGTCCGCCTTTTACGTCCAACGTCCATTCCCCTCGCCTCCTGCACGCTCTCCCCCCTTGTGTTCAACACCTTTTGCGAAGGTTGCAGTGCTGGATGTCCGCTAACCGGAGGCGGGCCGCAGAACGACTGCTGCGTCGGCATTTGGCTGTGACTCGTGCCCGATCAGCAATGACGCGAGGAACTGCCGCAAAAATCGTGGAAATATTTTTCGCCGACATTCACAAAGTCTTTTATCGCATTTAAAACGGGTTCGCGGACTTTTCTGATCCCTCCACTCCACGCGGAAGAACTTCCTGCGACCAATCCACGACTTTCGTTGTGGCGTTACTGAAATTCAAACGTTTCTCTCTTACTCCAAAAAATGTAAACATAAGGTTGTAGGTGACTTTCTTTTCGTGGTGCAATATTTTACCAACTTTGCAAAGTGTGCATTTCAAAAATATTTTATGTGCAAAAAATTTTGCGATTTGGTGCGATATGCTACATTATTAAAATAAGACGACCAACCAATCCCTCAATCAGGGGAGCGACGTTTCAAAGCCTATTCGGTTTCTTCTTCAGGGGCAAATGTAGAGGAAAGGAGCTGCAATCTTCTTTTCCCTTTAAGGCGGTGGCCAATCTGCACGATCTCTACTTTTTTCCAGGCTTCCTTTCTTTTAAACACTTCTTTCTCTCTCTCGATCCCTTCTGCTTCTTCTTTCCTCTTCTGTTTTGGAAGGGATTGTGCGCATTTGCCACCGCCACACAGGAAAAAGAAGACTGCGGCTCCTTTCATCCATAGTCGCCCCTGAAGAACCCTGAAACCAAACAGACTTTGAAACGTTGGGCCCCTGATTAGAGATTGGTTGGTCTTCTTATTTTCATAATTATTTCCCCCACCCAGACAGACTTCTGTCTAATGTTTACTTTCAAGTCGATATGCGCTACATGCACATTACCATGAGGTGATAGTTGCGAGATAAATGTTTTGCAATATTTATCGAGTCGCGAAACATCACTCCCTATGAAAATGAAGTCCTTTACATTATGTATATAAACGTGACAAGATTTTCAGTAACTGTATTTGCTGTTCAAAAGATACTATATAGTACCACATATGTTACTGCCTCTGTGAGCAATTGATGTAGGCATATAACAGGTGCATGCCACTTGCTTCCTTCGTTACAAACCGAGCCACGGACGTAAAAGTATGAAGGGTTTGTTAAGAAATGTAATGTATCTGAAAAAAAAAAAAAAAAAAAAAAAACCCCCCGAGAGCGCTTATTGCGTCACACCCTGCGACTTGGGTCATAGAGTCCCTTTGAACCCCACCTGGTGGTGAGGGGCACCACGCCGTATGTGACCAGCTGCAGGTGCTTGGCACGGCAGGAAGGGTCGGCGGTGAAGAGGGCATTCATGGCGCCAAAGAGGCGCTCGATGCGGTCGTCCTGTCGCAGGTCTTCGCCGGTTTTCACCAGAAAGCGATGCTCCTTCTCGTCGTCTCCGCGGATGGTGATGCGACACGGACGCTGCATTGACTTTAGCACCAGCACCTGCCAACAGAAAAATACACTGATAGCACATTGACAGTAGACCGGCAGCACATACAAATTGTTAAACATGCACTGGCAGCATGTCGGCACTAGATTGGCAGCACATTGGTGCGGCAATGGAATGTCAAGTTATGCCAGGGAATATGGATTGGAGAGATATCGACACAAGACCAGCAGAGCACATAGGTGACATATATCGGCATGAAGTGACATCATTATCGCCTAGCTGAACAAATGCATTGGTGACAAATCAGCTTCACGGTGGAAACACACACTGTTAATGTAGATGTTAACAAATATGTCTGCAACATATTGGGTCCTTGTCAATATAGATAAGATGACGTCTTGTCGACTACATATGCAACGTCTTCTATCAAAATAAATCTGTTAAGGATTTCTCTTCAGACCCTTCTACTTCTCGGGGGTTTGATTTTGGCCGAGAGCAAGTGCCAGATCTAAGTTGCCTCTCGCAGAGCGAGTGAAGACAGCATTTGTTGAAAATTCATCCGCTAATGCGAGTGAACAATACGGTTTGCGTGCTACTCAATGGCATTCCCAAATGGAAATAAAACGAGAAAACACCGTACGTTGCCTGCTAACATACCGGAAAATACAGTTGATCATCCAATACAAACCGAGTGCCGAGGAAAAATGCGATAGTATGCAGGCTAAAATTCTGAAAAACAGTCTGCTACTTCAGGTTGGAAGCCACTGACAACCCGCAGTTGTTCCGATGCCACGCACAAGCTGACCTTGATTGGTGGATGAAGAAGTGCAAAGAACAAGCACAGCAAAGGCCGCGAGACTTCTCTTGCTCTGTGTGTGTTGGTCAGACATTTTATCATCAAAATATTGCCTTATTGTGAACTTGCAAACGAGTAAAAGGTTTTTCACTGGTTGATTACGCGAAAACAGTAGTACCAAGTCCAATCGGCAGCCGAAAACGCTCTCGCCGTCAACTTTTTAAAATATGAACCCTAGGCCATCCCCAGTTAATCGAGAGCTGCAGTTGACAATTAAGTTTTTTCACTCTGGAAATTTCAAGTTATGCACTCTTGCTCAGAATTATAATAGATTTTTAAATTGGATTTTTTAAATTCTTGGAGGTTTGACAGAGTAGCCTTAACAACCGCTTAGCTAGCTCTAAGTAAAGCGTTTTTATTAACTGCCTGAGCCAAACACTGCCCAATCTGGGTGCTGTTAACCAAGGCTTCTGAACCACTCTATTGAAACAGTATCTTTGAATGAAGAAAGAAAAGTGGTAGAAACATGGACCGAAAACAATTTTATGCAAGAAACAAGCAAACGGTGCTTACGCTTTCCTCAAACCCAAAGATGTTGACGTGATACTCTGGCATGGGTTTGGACCTTCCGGTGTACTGCCCTGCGAAGGAAGTACACATGCATTCAACAAGAATACAAACTACCTTGCCATATAGCAGCCATCAATCTCCAAGCTCGCTCTAAAATCATTTGGAAAGAGCGCGCAGCATCGACGCATAGCGATTTCATATTTTTACGAAAAGTATATTTTAGTGATACATTTTACCTCGTGAAATTTTAAGGCGTAGCTCCCTTCCTGTAGAAAATTGAGGCCAACACTCTTGCCATGGTCAACGGCAGACGACGATGCAGATGACCCATTTAGCGAAGCTAGGGGGTCTAGACTTGAGACAGGGATCAACTCAAACAATGGAGAGTTTTTGCCACTGAAACACCTTCTGCACAAATTTGTTGCTCGTGCGCATGCACAAGTTGCCTTAGTGGCAAAAAGGATGACAGGCGGAGGGGCTCAGCCAAGCTTGGAGACGCTTCCAGATGACGTTTTCTCCTCCTGCTTGTATTGCAAAGGCAGACTATGTGATACTGAGTGTGAGGTCACTCTGAAATCTAGGCACACTAAGCGAGGTCTGTGGCACCATCTCTCAATAAGTGCAGTGAGCAGACAATGCATTCAGTTGAAAGCAGACGACACTGTCAAGGTTGCTGGTCTCATTTCTCGCAGGAAGCCTCAGACAGCACCGGTCATGCTTTACTTTCCCCGCTCCAACGACGCAGTGCAAGAGGCTTGGGACAAGAGCGCCGCCGCTCTCGCCGGCGGCAATATAGGGAAACTCTGGAACACCATAATTAATCAATGACACTACAGAAGGAAGCCTTAAGAAGGAAAATGCACCACTAAAAAAAACCTTTAATACAAATTTGAGATCGCTACATGCAGGCAAGGATTTTTTCGGCCGATTTTGGGACAGGCTTTGGGATTGATAACATTAGCAAAGGCTAGCACGACCAACCTGGGATTTCAATCTTGTTGTCGCGGTCAAGCGCACTGAACCGACTCAGCCATGGAGATAAGTCTTTCAAAGCAGTTGGCTCCAGTGATTTGTAACTCTTCAGTATCACTTGACACTCGCTGCCGAATTTCTGCCAGAAACACCAAAACCAGTCACAAATCACGAAAATTAACCGAGTGTACAGGCAAACTGGTGGATGTTGATTATGTTGAAGATTACCCGAGACTCCGGTAAAAGATGGGAAACTTAGTACGAGGAAAACGACATAGGGACATCATTCCTTTTTCTGTGTTCTCTTACTTGCACTAAGTTTGCCACTTTTTACCACAGCCTTGGGTAATTTTCAACACGATCGCAAATCACACCTGTTTCGGTGTAAAAATTTAAAATTATTTCAAACAAGGGGTCACCTTATTCTAGACAGCATGCGAGGGAAATGTGGCACCAACGAAAAACACAAAGATCATTTTTGCACACAAACATTTGCTCAGTTTTCAGGTCGTTAACATGTCGAAGTCACGCTTAGCATTCTAACCGATTTTAAGTCTCAATGTTATCTATTACTTAATTATACTATAACTTCGCAAGTATGTGAGAAATGAAAACATTCTATTAAATAAAGCTCGAATCCTCTCTGCAATCAATAAAAATATTTCTCCTTCAGATTCGCTAGGTTCAAGTCACAATTTGTTGCTCATTCTTTCACTTCACTATCAATAAGTGAAAAATGATAAGCAATTACAAAAAAAAGTTATTTTTTTCGTGCAAAAAGAGGGTAAAAGTGTAGCAGAGAGTCAACGCTGGGATGGGCAAAATACATGCAAATATGTATCGAAATACAAATACAAAATACTTCGTCAAAAATGTATTTAATTACAAATCTAATTACATTTCCAAAAAACATTTAAGTACAAGATACAAATACAACCAAATTTTTTTGGTCTCCCCCAAATACTTTTCCAAATACATTCCTCGAAATTTGCGTCAGCGACTTCAGGGCACCTGCAACGGGTTTCTGGGTATCTCATTTTAATTTTGCATCGCACACTAGGGAGTTAGTGCGCGAGGCTTTAGCAATGTAATCGAAATATAATCACAAAAAAATGCAATCAGCTTGGACGTAATAGGTGAAAAAGTACAGAGCTTCAAGCAGCCTTTTTGTCCATTACATTTTGTTATAGACCAACAAAGAAACGAGATGACCAAGACGCACAGCATTAGCTAGAGAATTTTTTATTGTTGGAACTCGCACCAGTTACGAAAATCTGGACGACCCGCGCATTTAGAATGTTCCAGGCAAAAATATGCATGGAAATCAAGCTGGAAAGCATCACAAGTTGTCACAGGCATTTATTTTGCCAGTCTGCCTGTGAACGTCAATTTCGTCACTATTCTTGCCCTGGACTAGCACCATAATCATAAAGTCACTAAACGCTTGTGCTTGATTGAGAGACACTGCATTCGGTGCAGAACATAGTTTTCTTCCTGCTCTGGACCGTGACAATAAATTTGAGGGATGTATTTTCGCCCACAAAATTGTATTTAATTACAATTGTATTTGAAATACCCACATTTTAGTATTTAAATACACACGTCGAATACATTACCCAATTTGTAATTAAATACAAATGCAAAATACACAAAGTATTTAAAATACGTATTTCAAATACTTGTATTTGAAATACTGCCCATCCCTGAGTCAATGTTTAATTTATCGAGTGCAGATGCAATTCTTTTCTACAGCCTGCCAAGACAAGGTACTTTGCTAAGATTTTTTGCAAATTCCAAAGAAAACACCACTCCCTCAGATCCAACAGTTTCAGTGCCGACTTGTCAGAATTGGCTGCACAAGCTCTGAACACTGAATGCTTTTTTATATTGACCATGATTTGGAATTTCGCAGCGCAGAAGCAACGTACATCACACAGTCGACTCTCGGTAATTCAGTTCCTGTAATCGAGTTTGCAGTTAGAAGTGTGGGTCTGGTCCCAACAACTGCATGTATGAGTCTAGAGGGAAAAATGTGCGGCCATTCCAAGTTAAACCTCCAGGACTCGCTAATTCAGTTTTTTTTACTTGCTCGAAAAGTCTGACAAATCCGGGAGCAGGAAAAATTCTCGCAATTATGCTGACCAAGCTCAAAACACACCCGTGCACACTTTATCGCTTACTGCGCGAGTGATTGAGTAAAAGAAGGAATGAGCGCAGCACGCAACTAAACAGCCAAGCAAATTGGGCGGCCAAGCCAGCTGCGTGACTAACCCGTGCCAAGCCAAACCAGCATGGCTGCGGGTGCATGCATCGTGGCACTGTTCCCATGCAAGTTACGGAACGGCCGTGCGGCGCTTACAGCCAACCAAGCTTGACTTGGTTGGCTGTAACGAGAGACGAGCGAGACGAGACGTCTGTCCCATCCAAGAGAAGCCAACTCCCAGCTATGAAACCACGCAAAAAGCCTAGCCAAATGGCACCTAGTTTCCTCGATGCCAAAGGAGCGGAGTGAAGCTGATGGATTTCTGCTTCGGTCCCATTGGCTGGTTCGCGTCATACTTTCAAGGAACGAGGCTCCCATTGGCCGCTGCGCCTCAGTTTCAACGACCGCCACCCCATGGCGCTGCATGTCCGCCAGCGCCGGTAACACGAAGTGCCCAAGGTCAAAGCGGCGAGGAGAGTGTGCGCTGCGCCGTCAACGAAAATACGCCACAGGCAAAATAAGAGAGCGGAAAAATGATGCGCATGCTTTCGCATTCCCAGCTCATAAGAAGTGCTTAGGTGTACCTCGAGCTTTTTGTTCATCGAATATATTGGTGTCCACAGACACGCCATGACCTCATTTTCAGGGAGTGGCATTGTGCAAGTACTGAGAAAACACTGCTGACGTTTCCGCCGACGCAGAAACTGCTCGTCACACTAGGAGTACAATTTTGCATTTCCTTTGGCGAAGGAACTGTTCAAGGAGCCCAAGAAAGATTTGCAACTTGCGGACCATACTTAATACTATTTGTCTCCGTCAGCGGGCAGGCAGAATTCAACTTCTCCTGGCCAGTACTGAATTTTAAAAAAATGTGGCTCGAGAGTTATTTTTAGTGTGAAGTATGCATGGCTAATTCAAAACCTTTCACGGTTCGTATAAGAGCTCTGAATTATCGAGAGTCGACTGCACCGAGTTAAAAATTGTTTTGCAACGACCCAAGCTCTCTGATAATCCATATTACTTCCTGAAAAAAACACTTTAGACAAAGGTATTTATTGGAGCAGCAATTAATGAAAGTTCCAAAACTTTAGCCAGATGTGCTGGCAAGTAAAATCCAATGGCCAAACAAAGATGGCAATAAAGATGAGAAAATAAAGATGCCTGCCTTAGCATCCATCTTAACCAGCTTGCTGCCCTCAATCCCAAAAGCATCTGTCACCTTCTTCTTCACCACCTGCAGGCAAAACAAACGATACATTTTTTTTGGAATTCCAGATGATTTACGTCATTTCTCTACCCCATAATTTATAATTCCAATAGGACCAGATAATACCAGCATTGAGCGTACACCTGCACAATCACGGAGGTCGTGAAAAAAAATGCGTCCAACATCTTGGGGGTTCATTAAACCACAAAGACGTTGATTACTGTGTTAGAGCGAAATATTGTGTCTGCATTTAATGAACCGTGTTTAAAAATGGCGTTTCTTCTACTGTCTGAAATGACCATGAGACACCTATCGGCAGCATGAGCAAGAAAACGTCATGGTATGCAAAAAAGGTTGAACAGATATTCAACTTTATTTAACCTTCAAATAATAAATTGGGAGTGATAAAAACATTGTAAAATACCGAGCAAGCACCCACTCCAAATTTGAAGATAATCGAGAAAAAATAGGGGATGGGCGCATGTCAGGTCATCAATTTTACATATAGACGCTTTCAGCGAGTCAGTTATTCGAGCTGCCACCAGTCGGCGCGCTTTCCGCGCACTTTCCGGGCCGCCATAGGCGACTTTCAGTTTCTCGCCATTGCTCCGCGTTGTGTGCTGCAGCGGCCAACACCGGAGCTTTGTTTTCGTGGTCTTCACGTTCCGCGTTGAAATCGTGTGTTTTCTTTAGGTCTTTCTAATATTTCGGGCTTTGGCTAAATCTTTGATATCTACATTTCAACATAGCTCTTATATTTTCTGATTTATGGAATGGAATCGGACAGCGAATGGATCGACGATACAAGATTATGGCCGAGGCTTCAGCGATCATGTAAGTTCATCAAATTCTTACGTTTTTGTCGCTAAGAAAGGGCAGTTAACATCATTGCGACCTATGCAAATTTCAACTGACGCAGTAAATAGGCTCTCGCAGTCGTGCTTCTCGCTGCATTTGCACGCTCGTTTCTGTAAAGCCGAACCGCATGTAAGCGATTTAGCGTGCCATGAGTCGAGCGAGGGCAGCAACGATGGGAGTCATCGACGAGCAACGGAGATTTCTCACTGTCGCCCGTCACATCGCTCGGTTTTCGGATTTCTAGAGAACTTAGCGCTCACCGTCTTGGTCGCTTGCTCCCGTCGCTTCCATGCGGTTTGCCTCGTCCACGACTGACTGAGCGATAGCGAAGCGGGTCGCCGTCGCTTGTCTCGTTGCTCGCCAAATCGCTTGCATGTGCTTTATACTTAATTAATTTCGATGCACACAGCATTGAACCATTAGCGCCTCGATATTAAGCATAAAGCGCATGTAAGCGATTTGGCGAGCAACGAGACAAGCAACGGCAACCCGCTTTGCTGTTGCTCAGTCAGTCGCGCGACGAGGCAAACCGCATGGAAGCGACGGGAGCAAGCGACGAAGACGGTGAGCAACGTTTTCTAGAAATCCAAAAACCGAGCGATGCGACGGACGACAGTGAGAAATCTACGTTGCCCGTCGATGACACCCGTTGTTGCCGCCCTCGCTCGACTCGTTGCACGCTAAATCGCTTACGTGCGGTTCGGCTTTACGGAAACGAGCGCGCACATGCAGCGAGAAGCACGGCCTCGAGAGCCTAATTACTGCGTCAGTTGAAATTTGCATAGGTCGCAATGGTGTTGACTGCCCTTTATTAGCGACAAAAACGTAAGAATTTGATGAACTTACATGATCTCTGAAGCCTAGGCCATAATCTGGTATCGGCGATCCATTCGCTGTCCGATTCCATTACATAAATAAGAAAATACAAGAGCTATGTTGAAATGTAGATATCAAACGATTAAGCGAAAGCCCGGAATATCGAAAAGACCTAAAGAAAACACAAGATTTCAATGTGGAACGTAAAGAACACGAGAACAAAGCTCTGGTGGTGGCCGGTGTAGCACACAACCCGGAGCAACGGCGAGAAACTGAAGGTCGGCTACGGCGGCAGGGTCACGTGACGTCAAGATGGCTGCGCCCATGAAATGTATCCTGAAAGAATCTATATATGTACTGTGCATATTTTCTCGTATGTTTTAAATTTCCAGGGGTGGGCGCTGAGTGCGGAATGAGCGGATGCACAGTATTCTATGGTAGAGGTTGTTTAGAGGCATTCTTGTATTAGGTGTAAGCCACTACATCATGGGGTTTGGAGTTTCGGCTTCAGACCTGTTGTTCTCGTCCCATCGCAGCATTCCTTGTAGAATGCTGCAGTGGAACATCATTGTGGGTCTAAATTATAGTAAAACAAACTTATAGAATAAAAGATTATAATCCGAAAAGGATTCAAACCCAGAATTTCACAAAATCAAGGAGGGATGCACTCATGTGGCCTCTCGACTATCAGCCCATCCGTTTTGGGCAGTTTATTTAAGTGGGTGTAGCTCTAGGACATTACAGTTTTCCCATGACTAGCTTTATGGTCACGAGTTTTCTATTAATTGTCCTTTACTTCCTCAGCAATAACTTGACATGACGCTTCTCAAGTGCACAAAGGTAATTCATTTCACTTAGATTTTCACCATTCTTGCCCTTGTTCTGCAAGCTGATCAGAAATTTTATGGCCGAAACGAGAAGATATTCACGGCTCGTCCATTGACGACCGTATCGGGATATGGCAAGACCAATCGAAGCTGCAGACGATTCCTGAAACTCTCCTCTGTAGCAGGACATATGGTAGCACAAACAACCTACGGTGTCGGTGTACGACTCATAACATAAAAGGGGACCATGGTGTAATAGGCGACGCTAGGACTCAATCAGGTTAGCCCATCTCACAAATCTCTCAGCATAATATCAGACGTCGTCCGTTGACTCGCGTGCGCGACGTCATTATACCTTTGCAGTGATATCTGACGCTTCGTCCATCAAGTCCAGTCTACGTTGCCATTGTGTGCAGACAACGAAAATTTCCCACTGGTTACCAACAATGAGACAGCGACGTGTTACTAAGGGAAAAGCTCCCAAGAAGCTGAAATGATTGTTTTTACGCTGCCAAAGGAATTCCGACGCCCATAGGAATGAATGAGGGTTGTACAGTAAATGACAAGGATTCCAAATAGACATATAGCTTAGAATTCAAACCTTAACGTGCCACTTTATCTTTTTGGTTCACTCTGTGGGTGCTAGGTGGCATAGGTTGGCATCCCAATTTGGCCACAAAAACAAACTTGGTGAGCCTCCATTGTGCTGTTTCCTGTTTCAGGGGTGGAACTCATGCAATGTACTTGGGAGCAGCCATGGGAGCAGCTCAAACAGCTGTTTTGGAGCAGGTTGGGAGCAGCTAAAACTGCATTCTAGAGCAGGCCAGGAGCAGCTCAGATCAGCTTTCACTGCACTTCAGCTTCTGTCTTAGACGAGCTCGGGAGCAATTTCGACTGTGCTTAGCGGCACAGATGAACATGCGTGGTTAGGGACCTATGGGTAGATGGGATTACAGTGTCACGATGCGAAAACTTGAAATTTTGTGAGCTTTAATGAGAACCAAAAAGCAAGTACCATATGTTTCTGAAGATGGCGTCCTTGATATTTTCTGAGTGGCTTTCAGCTGCTCAAAATGCAAACCACTGGCACTGCTTATCGCACAACCCACACGTGCTCAACATAGTAATTATATGTGCGTGCCAACCACGTAACGCGCGTAAGCAACGGACCAGCAGTTGCGCGGAGGAACTGGGCAACAAATTTCAACTTTATCCTATTGTGCAACTCAATATCGAAGCAGCAGACAATGATTAACGGAGTTGTGGTCGTCAAAGCGATAAGCAGGAGCAAGGTTAAAGTACGCCAAGCAGATCTACCGCTCGCGTTAGAGCTGCAGCTGGCCGGCAAGGCTTGGGATCGGACCGCGTTTCAGTTCTACCAAATTACGATTTATCTTGCGGGAATGCGATTCTAACTTCTAACGAACAAGTACTAAAAGAAATCTTTTGCCTATTTCTTTTTTTTTTCAACTGGCTGACGTCCGGATCTTGGGCCGCAGAGCCTTAGGCAATCTGACGCCTAACGCCTCAATCTCACCCCGGCCCACTTGCTTAACCGCTTATGGTTGAAGAATAACAATTCAACCGCAGGTGGTGCAGCGCTTGGAATCCGACCCCCAGTTTTTTTCACGCGCTTCTGACTCGGGATACACAGGGAGAATAAACAGAACAAAGGATTGCAAAACCGACGAAGCTAAACGCGCTCATTGTTGCCACTCGAGTCGATAGAAACCGAAACCAAGACAAAATAGATTTTTGTGGCGCAGTTTTCGCAACATGGCGCAGAATGGCGCAGACAAATGCGTCTGGCACAAAATGGAGCAAATGGCGCAGCCGTTCCACCCCTGCTGTTTGCTGATCCACAGGCTTAGAAGAGTCCATTTTCTTTCCCTTTGTGCAGTTTCACGTTGGCGGTTTCTGTTGTGGCATAGCAGCCACAAAAAGCACACGATTTCACTGTTCCGCCACAAAGGACACTGTTGCATAACTGGGTGGCATCTTTCCTAGATGCTCACATAGACGCTGTGTAAGCATCAACGCAAGGAACGATGGTCAGTTTGGAGGCATTAGCTTTTGCAACTGGTAAACATGAAGAAAAATATTGCAGTTGCATCAGAATCTACATATCAGACAGTCATACGCAGAATTATGTTTTATGAGGAATGCAGTAGATGCTAACTCGTCTCAGCCTTCCAGGTACGCAACGTCCTGTCTAGTGTCCTCATTTTGTACCAACTTTTTTTTCTTGTTTCCGAAACTTTTGCAGCCGGCGAACCCTTCTCAAAGCATCTTCAGAGTTTCTTCTTCTCTTGCCATTTATCTTTCACAGTTGCATTGTGTGGCCAGCAGTGCTCGCGTGGTGCAGGTGTTTGGCAGCCAACCAACTTTCTTCTGCTTTGGCAAGCTTCACTCACTTTTTTCAAGGCTAAAGCAGAGTTGTGTCAGTAAGAATGCAATTCTGCTTTACTAAGCAGACTTGCTAGCCAGAATAACAGAGGGTGTGAAGGCGAGGAATATATGATAGCAACCCTATGACACATTCAGTCGCTATATGTAGTCTTCAGCTTCATAGACTACGTTACATATAATGACTTTGGGTGCTCAAACTATGGAACATAGCAAGCCCATATTATGGATTACTTAGTGTAATTGGAATTTCACTCAGGTCGCCAAACAACATTTCAGCAAACACCGACTTTTCATTGAAAGACTCTTTAGCAAATGATCGGGGGTGGGCCAGGTGGGCTAACATTTCTGTAATGAGCCACCGCAGACTGTCACGAATGTGGGGGGTTGGGTTAACACGTGCCAGTTATTCGCTAAAACGCTGATTCAGTCAAATGACCGCTGCTCACTAAAACGTCATTCACTCATGTGATATGGACCCATGTAATTGTGTTACGTTTCCAATAAAACATTCCAAACGTGCGCAATTAAGTTTCACACTTGATTTCTACCATTTTTTTGTTTATGATTTAGAAACTAATTAAATATGAGTATTTTATAAGGTGCAAAAGACCGAATTAATGACATTACATTTTGTACTAACCAAATTTAAAGGTTTCTTTCATAGCGAAGTTCATTTATCCCCATTGCAGAACAGTTTCCTTGTCTGAGGTTTTTACGAATATGGTTCCCAAAGTTACATAAAAATTAACCCCAACATCTTAAAGGGGTACAGAAAAAAAATGTTTTGGACTTTGTTCTTTGTTTAGATGCGGTCAACGTTAGACCGGCAGCCTAGAAACACTAGCCTAGTGTTTCTGGGCTGAAGACAGAGAAGTCAAGAAAACTCATTTTAAAACGAATGAACAGATTTCGAAATTGCGTCTGGTGGCGGTCTGTAAGCTGCGTTGGAATGCCACGACGTCACGAGTTCCTAAGAGGCAGCACCAGTTCGCAACAGTATGGCTCGCTCGTGAACTCATGGAGCTATTTAGCCCTGAATGGGACTTGGAGGAGAACGCTAACGCGTTTCCTATACTCCACTCATTCATAAGCTGAGACTGCAGCCAAAGCTACAAGCGCGAGCTGGCCCACGCTCTTGGCTTTGAGACATGCACTTCTAGTGCGAGCACTCATTCTGAGGAAGAACGCTTCAAAACAGGGACCTCGAGCTCTCGCCCTCGGATTGTCACACGTTGACGCCCTTAAGTAGCAATGCTCGCAACTACAGTACCTTTGACCATGCACAATTATAAACTATCAACGTCAGGAGCGCAATACGCATTGCGCCTCTCGCTGGCCGACTTTCAAGCGAGGGGCAGGGCTCGCGTTGAAGACTTTTCGTTTCCGAACACCTTTAAAGGCCGACCAACAAGCAGAAAGAAGGACTCTCGCCAGCCCTTGTTTTACCCTCCCAGTTTTTCCCCCAACAGAAAGGAAGGAAAGAACCCCTCCTTTCCACTTTTAGTATAGCGGCCAGTTCAGTGGTTCTCAAATGGCAGTCCGCAGACCATTTGCGGTCCCTCAAGGCCTTCTTAGGTTCCCTGAAGCCCTCAAGTGTCAGTCAAGCGGAGCAATAAAGCTTTTTTTTTTTTTTAATTGATGATGGCCGTCCCAGTAATATAAATAGACCAAACTTTGTGCACTGAAAAAGTAGGGTTGATTATTCTCTGTCTCAGAGCTTCAAAATTGGTCTGCATGCATCTACACATTTACCCTTTTAACATGTCCGATAACCCCCCCCTCCCAGCGGGTGGATGGGATCGCCCCCCACTTCCGCCGATCCAGAAGAGGTCCCTGAAACATCAGTGGTTGGGAACCACTGAACTAGTTAGTAATCTTGCAAAAAAATGCAGGACCCGCACCTGCAGTTCCTTCGGGCTTTAAACCAGTACCACTGCAAGCCTCATTTGGCACAATGTTATTCGGTACAATGTAATTTCCACCAAATAAAATTATACTTACCTGAAATGTATAAAGAGAGATGTGCCATGAAATAGATGTCATTTACAAAAAGGCACTCTACTACCGTTTGTGTCACTGAACCACCAACGAAAACTAGGTGCGGAATGACGACAGGACGTAGTAGTTTACTCACATCTGAGAAATGCCGATGGACAATGCCACCACCGGAACTCAAAGCCAAATCGCGGCCCTGTCCGCCAAAAAGTTGACGGACGCCATCGGCGTACAGCTTGCGGACGTCCACACTCTTTTGATTGTTCAATGCCTCCCGCATGGACTCGCACCAGTTCTAGTACCAAAACAGAAAAAAGGGAGGTTAGTGGGTGTCGTAATGAGTAGAACCATGCGCTTCCCTGGTCACACTGAACTCCCACAGGAATATGAGTACCCATCTTCTCTTTCTTGCATTTGCCTTCCCGGCTCTTACGTCCCAAAACTGACACCAGTGCAAGCGTCGAGCTTCACCACTTTGGATCGATGTGCTTGGAGCAGCACCCAACCCAAAATTATGTTCCCTCCTACAGACCATTCTGCCAAGGCCTCTCAGGACAGCGCCCTTTGTCCGAGTGCAGTGCCATCTACATACACCGTGCAGCACTGTTAGCACCAACAAATGATCGCCGGTGTTTCCTGTTTTTTTTTTTAATCCAAATGCTGTCATCAAAACAATAGTGGTGAAAAATGCTCCCTTCGTGCACCAATCTAAGAGGTAAAATTGGATGCCTAACCTTTAGAAATAAAATTTTAAAAGCGGCAATACTTGCCCTTATGTTTAACAGTGGCGTATATCCAGGCATTCCAACAAATTTGGCGGGGGAGCGAAGAGAGACCGATATACCGTGGTGCTCGGCGAGAACTCCTGGCTAGTGGGCTAGACTTCTCTTCATTCTTTTCGTAACTTCTACCTTTTTCATCCCCTTGAAATAAACTTGTATTTCTTGCGCATATTTTTCGATTTCGGAGCATTTTCCGAATCTAAGAACCCCCTCCATCTTTGAGTCTGGTGGGTATAAAAAAAAAACAGGTGCTTAGAATCTAGTAAATACAGGAGACCTTAACTGTGCGAGATGTAGGCCAAAGTTTACCAGAAAGAAGGAATGGCAAAGCACTTCCCCAATGACCTGCTCATCCAACGGTCCAAAGATGACCCCAAGTGGTACAGTTGACCGTACAAACAAATGCAGCCTCGTGCAAAGATACAACTTATATACAAACGTTTTTGAGGAAACGGCCACTTACAGGGGGGTTGGACCATAGATCAGAAAATATATTTGTTATTTGTAAATATTTCCAATTGGTATAACGTTCTCAAATCAAATATACAAAAAAAAATTCTAGGCATCTGTATTTATATATTAAAATACATATTAAAATTTCTCACGCCCTTACACAATAGCACAGTGCTTGCACACTGGGTTTGGAGAATAAACAACACTCACTTTAAATGCAACATCTGGAAACTGGAGAAGCTCAAGGGCTTCAATAAACTCGCTGACGAGAGGAAGCTTGTCCATCTTCTGCTTGAGGCTGCGCAACCAAAATTACGAGAAAACAGTAAAGTTCGACAAGGGGCCACAGACAGTTTTGCACACTTCTTGATCAATGTTCCAATGCGTTGCACAAAACATTTTGTACAATGCAGCAATGAGTAGGATGAAAACTTAAAAACAGCGCGAAATACGCGAAGGACAAGAACACGAAGTGAACGAACACAATGCTGACTGGCAACTGAAGTTTATTCCTCCAAGGAACAGAAAAAAAAACATGAAAGAAGCAAGAAAGAAAAAAGATAATCAACCCCTTCGAGGCACGCCTGTAAATTTGCCAAATTTCTCGGCAAACGCAACTTTGTCATTCGCCAAAGCCACGCACGTGGCGCTCGCACACTTATCCGCTCAGTAGGTAGCAATAAAAAACTCGTCAATTTCTTCCGTCCCTTTGTTGTGGTGATGAGCCAGAATCTTAATTTCCTTGAAAACCGGAGAACACGCACACCTATCACAACAAACTGCAAGGTGTCCCGACGGTGAAGAATGGAGGGAAAGGAAATGCTCCCTGGCCCTAGCATTAACACACCTCTCCGTTTGACCTGTGTACACCCTATCACACGACAGAGGGATCAGAAACACGAAGCCTGCCGCGCACAAAACATACCGGGTGCGGCGGCTAACCACACACCGAGAGCCAGACAACCTGACACGATTAACTGCGGCACAATAATGGGACAACCTCGAAGGAGCTGAGAACACAACGGGTACATCAAACTTCTCAGCCACCTGCTTGATCTCATGTGAAAAGGTGTGTATGTGCGGCAGAACAACAGGCCTAAAGGGCATCCTCCTCCTTTCCCTCAAACCTGAAAGACCTCTAAGCACTTTGAGAAGTGACTCCACAACACCCACGGCCACAGCCAACGGGAAGCGGCAGAATGCAACCTGCTGGCCCGAGGCAAAAATCTTTTTCCGCAGCTATGGTGACAAGATTTCACCAAAGAAGAGAGTAGACAAGACACGGCAATGGCCCTTTAGTTTTGTGCTCATCCCATGGCCCTGTACATAACCTCCAACTTATTACTCTCAGAAAAGAAAAAAAGGATAGCTCGCTTCACACTAAGCATGCAAAGCAGTGCCTAGATGTACTATTTTGAACACACTCATCACTGCAGCTTTCATCTGAGGAGCCGTCAGACAGGGACAAACGCGCAACAACTGCTGTTGATTTCCATGCAAGAACTAATCAATTGTGTCATAAACGATACTTGCCCACTACTAGCTCCGGCCCTCGCTCAAGAAAAGCAAAGAGCCCTAGTGGTGTCCTTATTCCATTCTCAACGACGAGACAAAACCTATTGCAATCAAATGCAGATTGTGCTTTTTTTTTTGAGGATCGACAGCCATTGTTGTGCCAACAAGCGAGGCAGACGCCACGAGAGAGTGCTTGGTCGCCCTTTCCTTCCAAAGACGGCTCATTTCAGTGCTGCAACGCCATTTGCTTTCAAGAGCCGCACAAGGCACACGCCTCCACATTGGCACATACATCTCTACTTTTGATACAAATGCAGACGCACCAATGGGCTTTAGACCGACCCACTGAGTAAGGTTTGTGCACAACCAGAGGAATGTAACCAAATCGGCATTCCCAACCTACGAGTTCCAGAAACATCTATGAGCTGCCTCATGAATTGAGGCCACCGTGCGTGATGCACACTTTGGCAAATTGAGGCACTCTTAAACCATGTCTCACTTTAAGTGTGAGAATCACTGCTTTTGTTTCCATTATTAGCTGTAAAATTGTTTATAACTGCCACCGTGATTCCCAGCTTTTATACTTAAATCTCAGCAATACCACTGACTTAGGACTGTACATTTACCACTAAGTGGCAGGTCAACAAGGTTGTTGACCTTTTATATCCACCGTAAAATTCGGAAAGAACGCTCACCCAAAATAAAGAGATAACTGATGCATCACCAAAATTTTATGAAAATATTGGTGATAAGCAGGGAGGTGATAGGGGGGCAGCTACCTTTACAAACTATATGAAGCAGGAAGTGATACCACAGATCACAGACACGAAAAATCGGAGTCTCAAGGTGCAATAAGTAGGCGGGAAATTGTTTAAAAACTCCCTTTCACGTGAATGGATACCGCAGAATGCGGATGTAGCGCATTCGCGTTTCACAGTGCGATAAAAGCACGAGAACCCGCTATAAACTCGGGTGTCGCGGGAACTGATACCGTATGCGCAGATTGAGGACAAACGCACAGAAACCTGCCACAAACACGCATGTCACGTGAACAGATACTGCTCCAGATTGCATACGTGGCAGATCAATGTGTCACGGTGAGATAAACATGAAAGAACCCACGGTGACCACGCTTGCGCACGTACCAATTCTGCAGATCTCGTGGTTGATACGATCCCCCTCGGACATCGCGGGATTGACATTCGGCCGGAACGGAGGGGTGGGCGATTTTTTGAAATTTTTACGTTACAAATACAGTGTAGACCGCATATAACGTATGTCGCGGGAGTCGCGAAAATCCGCACTATAAGCGGTACCGCGCTATAACCAAAACATCAACTTTTCAGGCCAAAATGCATGCCATCAGTCAACTTACCTTTGTAAAAGAATTTATTTCTATGTTAGATGAAAAATAAAGCTTAGTTTGAGGAAAGTCTTTATTTCACCAGACTAGTGCACTTCTCTCTCAAGTGTGTCACACATTTTGAAAGAAATGAGCGGCTTTTGCCTGGCGCAGCCTTTTAACGGCGTCGCGGGTTGAGGATGGACGTTGCGAGCGTTCGGGAATGCTAACCCTAATCACTTTTCTCCGGCGATGAAAACGCGTGAAAATTCGCATCCTTTATACGGTACGCGCCAGTAATACCTTCAACTTGAGCACAGGCACGAAATGCTCCAAATAAGAAATCCGGGCGATGGTCGAAAACAAATGCTTGGAAAGCACCACTGTAGTCGAAGTAAACGAACACGACGACACGACATGGGCGTTTCTGCCGTCTTGAGAGTGCCGCCACAACATCGCCGCACGAGTAGGTGGATCTTCCCTTCTAGTACGTGCTGGGTTATCATAGCGACACACAACGAAAATTCACAGTCAAGGATAGCGCTTTTACGCGGAACGATGAACTTCCACCGTGCCGTCTACGACGACGATCACAACCGACGCCATGTTCGCGGATAGAAGCCGGCCGGGGGAGAGAGAAGCGTTGTAAACAAGGACGTTTAAACAGACTTGGTTGTAAAAGAGGTTGGGGGGGAAAGGAGAGAGCCAATAGTGTATACGCACTGGGCGCTTGGTCACTGGCGACCGGCATGCAATGCGCGCGAATACTTCTCCTCGACTTGTGATTGGTCTGTCGTTGCGGTTGTTTCCAACGCAGCGGAGGGACACACGCACGTGAACGACACGTGCTAGCGTCCTTCCGTCGCTATGGCAACTGAAGCCTCCCCTCTTCGCTTCTCCCCGCTTGCCCAGCGAGTGCCGCTCGCGGCTAGTCGTCATCTAGTGTCGGCGCGGTCGGCGGGCTGTTCGAGAAACCGCACTATAACCGGTATTTCCCTTCGCGCGCCTGCTTTTTAAGCGGTATGTAATTACATGGAGTTCTATGGGAGGCGAACCGGTGGTTTAAAAAAACCGCGTTATACCCGCCCAGTTAAAAATAACCATTGGGTCCAATTAGTTATTGACAATTAGAACCAATGGGGAATCCTATCTGTGATTTCGGACTCCTAGTTAGAAAAAGTCAATTGGTTCCAATTAGTTGTCGACAATTAGAACCAATGGGGAATCCTATCTGTGATTTCGGACTCCTAGTTAGAAAAAGTCAATTGGTTCTAATTAGTTATCGACAATTAGAACCAATGGGGAATCCCATCTGTGATTTCGGACTCCTAGTTAGAAAAAGTCAATTGGTTTCAATTGTCGAAATCTAATTGAACATCACCAATTCGAACCAGTTCGGCATTGTCAATAGGATGCAACCAATTGGAAAAAACCTATTTCTATTTTCGGACTCCCAATAGGAAAAAAGCAATTGGTCCAACTGTTCAAATCATATTGACAGATATGAATTGGGACAACCATTAGTGTTTGGATATCCCAAACTAGAAAAAGTTGCAACTAGATCTAAAGGTAGATAATCACAGTCTTTATTTAACTTATTGGAAATGATTTCTTGCTTCTAGGCATCGTCGTTTTCTTCCAGGATAGCAGCTGCAGCTTCCCTAAAATAAAGGATAAATATGCATTAAATGACCTTATTGGATTATAAATGTTGAAATCAAGCTTAGAAACATACTAAACTTTTTTTTTCGCTGCAAAGAAATTAGTTGCAGTGGTATAAACCTGCAGGCCTTGCATTAAAAGGCAAACATGCCTGGGTGACGGAAACACTCTGGTCAAAATTAGGAGATGAAGCTTTTGCCGAGACTGGGCTAAATTTGCATCTGGGATGGTTTAAGACTACTATGTTTCCTATGAGCCTGTGAGACATAATCTCTGCTATAAGGAGAAGAAACAGTCAATTCAAAGGCATCTCTGTAAAGCTGGCCAGTGCACCTGAAATATGCTTAAAGTGTGCATGGGCGAAAAAATAAGTGTCTTCCGTATCTCGAAAAGAAATCGTGCATTGCAGGCTGTGTTCCAAATCTTACTCGAATGGATCAGAGGCAACGCAAGACGCGGGTGGGTTTTTGAACTTACCCTGAGTGGAGACAGAGTAAATTTTGAAACATAGCTGCAAATAGTCCGCCGGATGAGATGCAAAATTTTCGGCACCTACTGTTATTTTAGGGAGGCACTCACTTGATCGAATGACGTTTTAGCGAACGCCCACGTTTCATCGAATGACACTTTAGCGAATAGTCGGACGCCGCGAAGCGGCGTTTTCGGGTGGGCCAAATGAGTTCATATTTTTGTAATGAGTTGCCGCAGACTGTCGCCGCGAAGCGGCGTAAAGCGCAGCGCGACGGATGGGTTAACGCGCGCCCCCGTTATTCGCTAAAACGATCATTCGCTCAAATGTCGCCGTTCGCTAAAATGTCATTCGCTCTTGTGATATGGACCCGTTATTTTATTAGAAGTCATCAACTTCCGGAAGTAATGACCCGACATCACCGACCGACCAACCCCCCCACCCCACTTCCCACTCATCGAAAATGCCCCCGAAATCGCTTAATTTTGAATCCCAAAGCTTCAATTTTTGAAACTGCCCAGTCAGTGTTTTCAGCAATTCATAGTTTAGTTTTGAGATGCTTAAAACGCACTTAACTTTCCTCGCGGATACCCAACAACTTCCGAACTGATAGCTGCCTGGAAAATTTTCTTCTCTAAAGCTATATCTTCACGCTCGCATCGTTCACTGAAGATCAAACAACGAGTGTCTCAGCAGATCTAACAATCCGAAATCCCCAAACTGCAGCGCAGCAAGGACAAAGAAAATTTCTTACCTTGCTCCCATAAACGTTTGTTGCCACTCATTCGCGCTCTAACAAGCTGGCAGGTCAAATGAAGTAATTATCACCGCACCATTGAGCACTCTGCAGCAGTAAAACACAAAAAAACGTTCTTGATTCATTGCCATAACCATGCTACGAATGCCGTACACGCCATCGGCGCCATGTGCTTCGTGCTTCCTCCGTCCTCGCGGCGCCATCTTTGCCGCCCAGTGTACACCGACGCTGCCGGCAAGTCCGACTAAATCTAGAAACAGATTTTTTTTTTTCGTTTTTTTTTTTTTTTTTTTATTAAATAGTGTACGAATTTTTTTCTCCCTTTCAAATTGCGATGTTGAAAAAAATTTTTGCAACGCAATACTGAAAAAAAAAATAAAATAAATTGCAATCTTTGGAAACTGTGGTGAGGAAAGAGATAATGGCAAGTTCTGTCCCAGTGCCAATTGAATTTTATTGATCCCAATCGGAGATCAATCATAAAGTTGGAAACATTGAATCCAATTAGAGTGACCAATTTGGTGACCCAGTGCCAACTGAATTTTATTGATACCAATTGGGATGACCAGTTGGAAACATTGAATCCAATTAGAGTGACCAATTAGGTGGCTGAGTGCCAATTGAATTTTGTTGGTCCTAATTGGGGTAACCAGTTGGAAACATTGAATCCAATTAGAGTGACCAATTAGGTGGCCCAGTGCCAATTGAATTTTGTTGTTCCTAGTTGGTGTAACCAATTGGAAACATTGAAACTAATTAGAATGACCAGTTGGATGACCCAAAACCAATTGAATTCCATTGACTCCAGTTGGTTCCAATTGAATATCCTAATTGGAGCCAATGGTTATTTTTAACTGGGCGGTCCTGCACTATAAGCGGTTACGTTGTAAGTGGTCTATACTGTATGCAGCCCAAACATGGGAGGGGCGGTCTCTCGGGGGAAGGCGTTCTCTCGGAACTTTACGATAGTTTAATTTTACAGCGAAGCTGTCTATGGCTAGGGTTCCAAGCATTTTTTGTGTGCATCAACAAAAGCTCAGGTCCCGAATTTGATGCAAAATCGTTTCGTTCTGTGCAAAAGCTTATGCATCTCTTCAATTGGACATGCATTTTCAGTAGATTAGTTATTAATAGGCCCCATTTTCGAGATCAGTAGACTCTCACGGTAGATAATAAAGGTTTCTCAAAGATTTGCCGCTGTGCGACCCATGTTAGCCATGTCTACGCTTGCACCATCCTCTCTTTGTCATCGTTCCAAGCGCTTGCGTGCCTAGTTTCTTTTATTTGTACTCTCCCGGGGTGACAGTCCGGTCGGGTGTGTCTAGTTTCCTTCGGCTCCTCAAAGCGCGTCTGTATCGTGTGCTAAACAGCTTCGCTGGTCATCCACCCTAAAAGAGTGAAAAAGCTCATGATTTTTATGAAATGTTACGGTATTTATTTTAGTATGTTGTTGCGTGTCACGGAGGAAATAAATCAATAAAAAAAAGTCGCCCCTTGGCTTTACTAGCAGGGCAAAGGTAGTTGTAACACAGAATGCAATGTGTTAGTGTGGAGAAACTATGTACACATGTGGAGACCGGATGGTGCGAAGCGGCCCCATGTCGTGCAAGGTACCGTATTTACTTGAATGTAACGCAAGTTTTTTTTCAAATTTCCCTTACCTAATTTGGGGGTTCGCGTTATAATCAAAACGCCTCAAAATTTGCCTTGGCGGTGTCGCAGCACAGGGTCTTTAAAATGGCTACGACAAATCTCGCAATCTTTCAATCTTGTGCTGGCAACATATACACGCTGGAAACAGCCAATCCAATCCTATTCTTGTTTGCGACTCATTGCGCCCATGTTAGGGTTACGGGTTACCTTCACAACGCTTTCTCTTTCTGTTAGGGTTACCGTACCCATGTGCCCGTGTTGTCCGTGTTTTGTGAGCTGCTGCTTTGTGCTTCCGCGACTGGACTCTCGAGCAAATGGCGACGCGACGAGCTCAGTACGACGCCCGCTTTAAAAAAAGTGCAATTATGATGGCTGAGCAAATCGGAAACTCTGCCGCGGCTCAACGGGTAGATGTGACAGAATCGACTATCCGTGGGTGGAGGCTCCAGCGTGAAGTGCTCTTCAAGTGTGAACCCGGCCGAAAAGGCTTCCGCGGACCACGTTGTAGTACTTTTCAAGGTACTTTTTTCCCCTTACTTAACTCGCGTTACATTCGTGTTCTTTTTTTTCGCTGTGAAAAGTCACCCCTTGCGTTACAATCGTGGTCGCGTTACATTCGAGTAAATACGGTAATTGCTCCGTGGATGTCTTACTAAAGTGGGTGCCACTCTTGCGGTTGCAGTGTAAATGCGCTCAGAGCCTCTTGGAGTGTGAGACGCGGTAGACAGTGCGTGTGGAAAACGGAACAATCGGAGTGCTAAGCAGAGCCCCGACACCAGCCTGGCACCATTCTGTCTTCTCAGACGAAGAGAACATAGCGGAGTTAGAAACGTGCTGTCACGAAACAAATGTTCGCGCTGTATATGCTGATTGGTGGTGTTCATCCTGCGTGTGCAGGTAACGGACTTTGCGGTAATAAAAGATTCTTTCGTGAGCATCTCTCGCATAAAACAATAAAACTAAATAGAATTTTGAGTTTAATGTATCTTTTGCGGAGCTGCGATAGATACATACAAAAACATAGGCATTTCTGAGCTTTTTCTACACTTTTTGCGCTTACATACTGAGACATAGTCCACCCCACTTTTTTTATGATTTTCTAGCAGCAGGAGAGTGGGCGATGGCTCGAGATATTGCCGCGCGCAAGGCTGAGAAAGCAACGCTCGGTCACGGTCCTCCAGAAAGTTCTCGTTTATTCATGTACCGCACGTAACTTCTATCATTTATCCCTGCTTTTGTTTTCTAGAAAGTGCGTGTTCATTCTCGCCCCGATCACGCGACGCTCGAACTGCTTTCGCCGAATCTTCGAGATAGCGGCGCACTCTAGATAAGAGGCCGCCCGCGACCTTGTCGAGTCAGTCTCGCCCTAGCGCTCGATTCTGCTGACACGCCGACTTCGACGCCCGCGACGCTCTGCTTTCTTCTGTTTCCTTCTTTATTTCTGGCACAAGTTCGCCACATTAAACGTTTATTTCTTCTTGTTTATTTCCTGTCTTCTTTTGGTCACCACCCGTGACATTTTGGTGGAGGTGCGGGGTACCGCATGCCCGTGCAGCGTTCTCCTCCAAGGGACCGCAGTGCAAGTCCGATTCCCGGCTCGGTGAGAAGACCACTCACCGCAGAACCTGAAATTCGGACCAGCCGCCGCACCAAGGGAGAGGATCCTGAGTACGGTTTGCTCCTGGACAAGCCCAAGCCGCAAAAGACGACGATGGCCAACCAGTCGCAAGCCCCCGCCGCTTCTCCCGTCGTCTACATGCCCGTCGCACCGCGGACGGCTGCCCCCTTCCACGGTGAACTCTACGAAGACGTCGAAGACTGGATTGACCAGTATGAACGCGTTGCCCGCCACAATGGCTGGACCGACGAGCAACGCCTGCACAACGTTTACTTCTCGCTTGAGGGAACCGCCAAGCACTGGTACGAGAACCATGAGTCCTCTTTGACGTCGTGGGAAATCTTCAAGACCGACCTGAAGGCTACGTTCGTCAACCACCACCGCCGAGAGAGAGCCGAGGACCTACTGCGAACCAGGACCCAGGGCCCCAATGAAAGCGTCATGAGCTTTGTGGAAGACGTGCTCCGCCTGAGCTCCCGCGCCGATCCTCAGGCCACCGAGGGAAAGAAGCTGCGCATTTTGATGCGGGGCGTGAAGGACGACATCTTCGGAGGCCTCGTCCGCAACCCGCCGGCAACCGTCGACGCCTTCGTCAGCGAGGCGACAAACATCGAGCGCGCCCTCCAAGCGCGCGCTTCCCACTACCAGCGGCAGCCAAGCGTCACTGCAACCGCGCTGCTTAGCGGTGAAAACGTGCCTGGTACGGACATCCGCGAAATTATCCGGGAGGTTGTCCGGGAGGAACTGCGAAGGTTGCTGCCAACCACCAGCCGTCCGCCAACCATTTCCATCGCCGAGGCTGTCCGAGAAGAAGTGCATCGCGCGCTCCAACCGGAGGTTCCCGTCACCAGGGTGGCACCGGAGGAACCGACGTTGAGCTACGCCGCCATGGCCCGACGACCGCCGCAAGCTTCCCGCCAAGCCACAGCGCCACCCCGAAGAGACGCCCCAACGCCGCAGTACCCCCGACGGCCGGAAGATCAGGCGCACGTTCCCCCAGAGCGACCTGCGCCGAGGAAGACAGACGTCTGGAGGACGGCCGACCGACGCCCGCTGTGTTACCACTGCGGGGAAGCTGACCATGTGTACCGCCGATGCCCATACCGACGACTCGGGCTGCGCGGATTCCATCCAAGCGACCCGCGCCCCCGGTATGGTGAACGCCCTCGGGAGATCGACGAGTACCTGCGACGACCCCAGTCCCCCGAGCCTGCGTCACGCCGAGAGTTCCGGTCGCCGTCACCACGACGTCCAGCTTCGCCGATGCACCGACCCCGACGTGAAAGCCTGTCACCCCTCGCTCCACGCCGGGGAAACTAGGCGCGGCAACCCCTGGAGGTGGAGTTGCCGAAGACGACCGACGCCAAGATCCTCCACGAACGTCGGAGGGCCCCCACTCGAACGCTACCGGAGACCGAAACGACGCTCCTGAAACGGTGTCCAACAACCTAAACGTCATCATCGACGGCCACGACGCATCGGCACTCGTGGACACCGGAGCAGACTACTCAGTTTTGAGTGGGAGGCTCTCCCGCCGCCTTCGAAAAGTCACGACGCCGTGGGATGGACCTCAAATACGAACCGCCGGTGGGCACCTCATCACACCAGTCGGGCGATGCACCGCTCGCGTCGAGATCCACGGTGAGACGTGCCCTGTAAAGTTCGTCGTTCTGCAAGACTGTTCGAGGGACGTTATCCTCGGAATGGACTTCCTCTGCGAGTATGGCGCCGTCATCGACCTCGGAGCAAACCGGTTGACGCTGCGAAAGCCTGTTTCACCACCGGAGGAACCCAAAGCGACGTCATCTGCGGTCCGAGTCCTCGCCAGCCACGTGAACTTACCGCCGCGGTCGAGTGTTTTCGTACCCGTCGGGATCACCGAAGATTTCTGCGGCGAAGTTCTGCTCGAAGGAAGCCTCCAGTTGCTTCTGGGAAGAGGAATAGGCGTCGCAAGAGGAGTTGCTGAACTTCAGGATGGCCGCACTGTGGTCCTTGTCACGAACTTCCGAAATGAAGCGCAACACCTCACAAAAGGTGCAGCCGTGGGCCAGGTCGAGGAACTCCAAAACTCCGCCGCTGTCGCCGCCATTACTGACGAATTCTCGCCACCTCAGCAAGACAGTGCGTCGCCAGCGCAGCTCGACATTGACCCTAAACTCCCGGGCCCGAAACGACGACAGTTGATTAACCTTCTCGCCGAATACCGCGACTGCTTTGCCACGTCGTCGAAGGTGCGCCAAACCACCGTTGCGAAGCACCGCATCGTTACCGAGGACGACGCGCGCCCGGTGCATCGATCGCCATACAGAGTCTCCGTTAAAGAAAGGCAGGCGATCCAGGAGCAAGTTCAAGAAATGCTGAACGACGACATAATTCAACCTTCAAGCAGTCCTTGGGCCTCTCCAGTCGTACTGGTTAAGAAGAAAGACGGGACGCTTAGGTTCTGTGTAGACTACCGGCAGCTGAACACGGTGACGAAGAAAGACGTCTACCCACTCCCCCGCATCGACGACACTCTAGACCGGCTGCGCCACTCTCGATATTTCTCCTCGATGGACCTGAAGAGTGGCTACTGGCAGATCGAAGTCGACGAAAGGGACCGAGAAAAGACCGCCTTCGTCACGCCGGATGGACTGTACGAGTTCAAAGTGATGCCCTTCGGACTGTGCACGGCGCCAGCAACTTTCCAACGTGTCATGGACACCGTACTGGCAGGACTAAAGTGGCAGAGCTGTCTCGTCTACCTCGACGACGTCGTCGTGTTTTCCAGCGACTTCGACGAGCACTTGCGACGACTCCGAGCAGTTCTCCAAGCCATACGGACCGCCGGACTCACCCTGAAGCCGTCAAAGTGTCGGTTCGCTTATGACGAACTGAAGTTCCTCGGCCACGTGGTTAGTAACGAAGGTGTCCGCCCAGACCCCGAGAAGACTCGTGCCGTCGCAGCATTTCCAGCGCCAAGAGACAAGAAGGCCGTCCGAAGGTTCCTTGGGCTATGTGCCTACTATCGGCGCTTCGTTCGAGATTTCGCAAGAATTTCCGCACCGCTCACACACCTCACGAAGGACGCCGAGAAGTTCGAATGGGCCGATGAACAGCAGCAGGCATTTGACGAGCTGAAGCGACGACTACAGACTCCTCCTGTTCTTGGACATTTCGACCAGGATGCGGAAACCGAGATTCACACGGACGCAAGTAACGCAGGGCTTGGCGCGGTTTTGGTTCAAGTACAAGAAGGCACCGAGCGAGTCATCGCCTACGCAAGTCGGACATTGACCAAGGCGGAGAGAAATTACTCCACGACTGAGAAAGAATGCCTTGCGGTCGTCTGGGCAATCACGAAGTTTCGTCCGTACTTATACGGGAGCCCGTTCCGGGTAGTCACGGACCACCACTCGCTCTGCTGGCTTGCGAACCTCAAGGACCCGTCAGGACGCCTCGCGCGGTGGAGTCTCCGACTACAAGAGTTCAACATGACCGTCGTCTACAAGTCAGGCCGCAAGCACAGCGACGCCGACTGCCTGTCCAGAGCTCCCGTCGCAACACCTTCCGGCAGCAGCGACGACGATGACGACGAGTGTTTTCTGGGCGCAGTGAACATCGACGACATGGCCCGGCGTCAACGAGACGATCCTGAGCTGCGCGCACTAATAGAGCACCTGGAAGGGCGCGGGAGTGCGATGCCACGTGTTTTTTCACGAGCGCTGCCGACCTTCGCCATTAGACAAGGTGTACTCTACAAAGAGAACTTCGGGAACAACAACTCGCCATGGCTGCTGGTAATCCCGACCGACCTTCGGGAGGAGATCTTTCAAGCCTGCCACGACGACCCGACGTCCGGACACCTTGGTTACAGCCGGACCCTGGCACGTATTCGTGAAAAGTATTACTGGCCCAAGCTCCCCAAAACCGTCCACCTGTACACGCGATCCTGTCATGAATGCCAGCGACGAAAGAAACCTCCGACGAGGCCGGCCGGACTCTTGCAGTCAATTCCTCCGCCAACAGCACCCTTCCAGCAGATCGGAATGGATCTACTTGGCCCTTTTCCGCCGTCGACGTCGGGAAATCGCTGGATCATCGTCGCCACAGATTATCTCACGCGGTATGCCGAAACGAAAGCCCTTCCTTCCGGAACTGCTGTGGAAGTTGCCAAGTTTTTCATTGAATCCATCGTCCTCCGGCACGGCGCTCCCGAAGTCCTGATCTCAGACCGTGGATCATCATTCATGGCCCAGCTGACGCAAGAAGTCCTTCGTCTCAGCCACACCAGCCATCGCCGCACCACGGCGTACCACCCGCAGACCAACGGACTAACGGAGAGACTCAACAAGACCATCGCCGACATGATCTCCATGTACGTCGACGTGGAGCACAAGACATGGGACGAGGTGCTGCCGTACGTCACATTTGCCTACAACACGGCCGTACAAGAGACCACCGGAATGACACCCTTTCAGCTGGTGCATGGGCGCAAGGTAACGACAATGCTGGACGCTATGTTACCCCACGAAGCGGCTGTCGATGCAAGCGACGACGCCCAGGTGGTTGCCCAAAGGGCAGAAGAAGTCCGTCAGCTCGCCAGACTTCGGATTCAGGCTCAACAACGTGTCGACACTGGCCGCTACAACCTTCGTCGTCGGGACGTCCACTTCCAGCCCGGAGACAGGGTGTGGGTGTGGACACCGATTCGCCGCCGCGGTCTCAGCGAGAAGCTCCTGAAACGTTACTTTGGACCCTACAAGGTACTTCGTCGCCTCGGCGAGCTGAACTACGAGGTGATGCCCGACGGAACACGAACATCGTCACGCCGCCCACCCCGACCTGAGGTCGTCCACGTCGTGCGCCTGAAGCCGTACTACGCTCGATAGGACTGTGGACCTTTTGTGCTCCAAAAGACTCTTTATCGTTCTTTTTTATTTTGATTTGTTTCACACTGCATCGGGGCGATGCACTTTTAAAGGGGGGAGTAATGCCGCGCGCAAGGCTGAGAAAGCAACGCTCGGTCACGGTCCTCCAGAAAGTTCTCGTTTATTCATGTACCGCACGTAACTTCTATCATTTATCCCTGCTTTTGTTTTCTAGAAAGTGCGTGTTCATTCTCGCCCCGATCACGCGACGCTCGAACTGCTTTCGCCGAATCTTCGAGATAGCGGCGCACTCTAGATAAGAGGCCGCCCGCGACCTTGTCGAGTCAGTCTCGCCCTAGCGCTCGATTCTGCTGACACGCCGACTTCGACGCCCGCGACGCTCTGCTTTCTTCTGTTTCCTTCTTTATTTCTGGCACAAGTTCGCCACATTAAACGTTTATTTCTTCTTGTTTATTTCCTGTCTTCTTTTGGTCACCACCCGTGACAATATTCCGGTACACATATCAGTGGCGCACACAACGTCTCAAGGTTCAAGAGGCTTCCTGCTCGTCATACTTCAGGGTAAGGTCTGCATTTCGTGAACGAGATGTGGACCATAGCTGGCGATGGAGGGACGCTGCGGTGGCTGCATCCAAAACCCGAGAGAATATACCTCCCAAGACAACAGACCATTGCAAGATGAAACTTCCATCCTTCGCCGAGTCGAAAGCTCCGTGCTAAATGCTAACACATTTCATCGATCATCAGCATAATGAGAGCAGCTATTCCGGCATTACTTTTCCTCTCTTTCTCCGGGGAAGCCCGGTGCACGCTCATTTCGCGGAGTGCCGTTGCACGTCTGAACCTGCTGGGAGGAACACGGAGGCACTCGAGGTTCGGTTGGCACCGCTGTCCAATCAGGGAGCTCGAGACGAGTCCTGCGTCAGTGTTCGACTGGCAGTAGACGACTTCTGTTAAGTCGCACCGGATATGATCAGGTGCCAGCCATATAAAACATTCTGCATGAAAAATTCCTGGCTGACTGTTTTGTATCATTGCAATGAAAGGCTGAACACATACCACGTTTTTCCAAGCAGCTTTTACTGGAATGAGGGCAAGTTGAGTGAACAGAGCAACAACACAAAGACAAAAGGCAATAGAAGCACTGGACCCATTTGCTTCTCTTCTATTGCCAGCTTCTACCGGCTGTCTTTTCTCGCAACTCCGGACAAAATTAATTTTATTCATTCCGATACATTGTCATAAATAAGCGATAAAGGAAGCGGCAGCTCTCCTTTAGGACCCGAGAGACTTTTCGACCACTGGCTTAAAGGGGGATCGCTGCCCGTATGCCAACACAGCGCCAATCCATAGGAAATCTGCACAAGTGGAGACTGAATTCTAAAACCTGCGAAAATTAAATCACACTTACCGCAGAATAAAATCCTTTGTCTCTGGGATGTCGAAAGAGTATGCCTCGTTGCTGACCCTGAAAGCATACACCAGTGCCTGGGAGAGAAAAAGGTTGAAAAAGTAAGTAGGAGGGAAATGTAGCGGGACTTTTACCCGAAAGGAAGAGACGGCTCCTATTCGAGCATATTCAATTCCTATTCAGGACTCATCAGACACTGTTTACGGATCATGCCATCACTATATTTGGCAAAGATCTGTATAAAAAACGTTCAGCCTTTCCCCTCTCGTGAAGAAGGAAGACCAGCTGAGCTGTACTCAATACACTGCCGCAACGCGCACGCGCCCGATTTCCACTTTTTCTTGTCCGACACGCCACCGATCGTGGATACGTCTCCGGAAAACCCTAGTCGGTCGCACACGGCGCACGTGACGCAAAACGGGTTCTTCACAAACTCCCTCCGGAACCTCGCCGTCGCACCAGGGAACTGTTCAGCCAACGTGGAGTGCAGTCGTCGGCGGGCCTCGCGCTTGTGCTTGGTTTCCGTGGCACGATCGTCATTCGTGGCATTGGCTCGCCGGCGCCCTTTACATCACTAATTCTGTTCTCGGCGGCGGCTTTCCAGGCGAGCGAGGTGCTCTTCTTTGGCAAGGGAATCTGAAGCGCTCGACGCAGTTACGTTGCGCCCGACGGCTTTGCGGCGGTTGCGGACCCATTCGAGCTGCTGCGTACGTTGCCGCTCCTTCCGCAACCAGTTTTCTTTCCCTGAAAGGGCACGCGGCTGACCCATCCTGAGTCCTAATTGGAACTGATAAGAGCTTAGGAAACAGCGCGAAACAGACGAGGACGAAGAAACACACGTGACGAGCGCTGTGCTTGTTACATGTGCTTCTTCTTTGTCGTCTGTTTTTCGCACTGTTTCCTACGATGAATTCCATTCGTCTATGATAGCTGGAAAGGTTGACGCCATCTACCAGCGACGGCAGCAACCATACTGGTTGTCTGCTTGCCGCCGTCGCTTGTAGATTGCGGTAGTTGTCCAGAGGCATTTTTGTCAACACGTGTTTTGTACCGGACACAATCCTTAGGAACCTAGCCAGTAACAGCTCCGCTGTAAAAGAAACGAAAAGGGTGGAGGATGGCAAAAGCAAGAAGAAGGCCACGCATGCACGTAGGGACGGCGGGGAATGCCCGCAGTTGGAATGGGAGCATGCTCTCTTTCCTAGAATACTGCTGTCACTGCGCGACTCCTTAACCCTAATATAAAATAAGCAAAAAAAGAAAAAAGTTGAGCGTGTCGTCAACAAAGCTTGAGCGATCACACTTTGAACTCCTTATCTTTGTTTAACTTTTTCTTTCGCTGTTTTTGCTTTGCCAGTTTTTGTTTTTATTTTTTGCCTTTCTTTTTTTGCTGCCTGAATTTAGTGAGGTTTCTTTTTTGTTGCTTGCTTAACTTTATTCTATGAATAGACTGTTTTTTTGTTTTTTTATTAAACTCTCTTTCTGTTTTTTTATTTTTTAAAATTATTTTGGTGTGTTTTGTTGCCACGTTGTGTGTAAACGATCGCAAGCACCTTCGGTGGTGTTTGTGACCTTCACCAACTAAGCTCTACCGTATTTAGCGACTCCTCAAGGCTCTCTTTCGTAAGGTCCCCTTTATGGCGGCCTTCAGTATTGGCAGAGACGTGTGGAAATTTCAACTGGAGCTTAAGCTAACATGTTTTTGTATATCAAATTATTGATATATCAAACTATTTTTTTTATCCCCTTTGAATTCGAAACATCCGGGTTCGACTGTATGGACATAGTATCTATAAAAAAAATACTATGCTAAAGAAATATTTCAACCAAATATATTGGATGTGCATACCAAACAGTATGCGAATTGCAAGGAAAAGAAATGTGCAAGGCGTGTACGAAACAATAAAAAGGTAGATTTGTTATTGAAATTTAAACTTTTCAAGTCTTGCAGGCCACTCCGGGGCCCACGCCGGCTAAAGCGGACACGTTGGCGCGCGCTCGGAGGCTTCTGCTCGTCTCGCCACCAACAAACATGGCGCCACCTCTGGGATCCACATCGTCGCCGGTGTTCCTGCCGCAACTTGAAAACATTACTCGTGCCACAAAACTCACACCACTGCCTTCCATTGGACATTCATGCTTTCACATTCACAACTCACAAGAAGTGCTTAGGCATTTTCCGACTTTTTTGGAAATCGATATTCGCCCCAAAAAATGGGGTGGGCGACGATTGGGGGATGGGCGATGACTCGGGATGTTACAGTAGTGAATTTCTTGTGCGATGCATTACACGAAATTGTAAAGGCTGGTTTGCACGCTCGCGAATGCTTAGGAGCGTTACAGCCTCTCGGGATTTCTTACGCAATGTGGCGAGTTGGGCACGCTGGTACTGAGACAACATAACTTGCTAACTCGAGTGCTGTGCTAGCGAGTCATCGATAATGCTGTACGAGAAACAAGTGCTCTTCTTAGCGAGTGCTTTTAACGACACAGTGTTACCCGAACCTGGGATGTGCTCTGCACGTGTGCCCTTATAGTTTTCTTAGTTTCTTATTATTTTTGTATATATTCACGGTGCAAATGTATTGGGCTTTTAAGTATGAATGTCGTTTTCCTCTCATAAATATGTCTGTGTTGTCTGTTGTGCGCTGTTTTTCATTGTGTGGTCTCTTATGAAAGAACACGCTGGCATCGTCTATCGGGTGGAACGCTCGCCATTTCCGTATATTTTTTTCTTTCTTTACTGGCTAGAAATGTTTACTATTTCTCTTCGATTGTACATACATGAGATGTCACGAAAACTGCAAAATATTTGCTCTAGTAAAATGCAGTTCCAGAGATAACTGACGCCAGTGTGTTCTACTGTTGCGAGAGCTCAGTCTTAAAGGGAAGCTGAAGCGGTTTTAAATATGAGAAAAAACACCTCAGCCTAGTTAACGAGACCTCAGTCATCACGAAAATCGTATTCGTTTGGTCATTTTCTGCACGGATTAACCGGAAAAGCGCCTTCATCGTAGCGCCGAAGCCACGCCTCTCCGCAGCAGAGGGAAAGGGGAGGGAGGAGGAAGCCCGTCAGCCGGCGTCACAAAAGGACCGGCTTGGGGACCTTGCCGCGGCTGGCCGCGCTTCCCTCGTAGGCTGCTCTACTGACTTTTCGAGCCGTTGTCATGCCGCTGCATAGTGCTTGCTTTTATCCGTTGACCGGTCGTGCCATTAGGGAGTTTTAAAATAGCGCACGCTAAAGCTTTGCGTGAGCAAAGAATAGCGTCGTCGCCACTGCGCATGCTCCGAACGCGAACCAGGTTTAGCGCTTTGCGTGCGCAATTTTAGCGTGCGCAATTTTAGCGTGCGCTATTTTTTGGAAATAGCGTCCGTCCGCAAACAGTCTTTGCGCTTCTCCAAGGAGGATTCGTGCTGAGAAGATGGTCCTTTTATGACGTAGTGGCGCGTCACGCGTGGCTAGCCAATGGCGTGCAGCTGCGGCGATCGCTTCCGATTTCTTCACTTTTTTTCGCGTTTATGGATTATTTTGGATCAAACGGTTGCGATATTTGGACTCAGCAGGCACAAACACGTCAGAATCAACCATTAACTCATTTTTTTCGAAAAGCTCTTCAGCTTCCCTTTAAGCAAATGCGAGTGTGTGAACCAGTCTTTAGGAGTCATCCACGTGACACACATTCTGCATTTGAAGTTCCAATGGCCGGGCGAGCAAACACTCACGTTGGGGTAATCGGAAGCAATGGAGTCCACCAGGCCGAAAAGGTGGGGCCCCACCGCCCCATCCAGGAGCGGCAGCATCTGCCCTATCCAGCCGAGAAACATCCAGCAGGGCACCTTGGCACACTGCAGCAGGCGACGACAACAGTCAGGACCAAACGCCCAGGTGCGGGAAACCCTTCCTCGAGATAAAAGGGCACTAAATTGCATCTCCAGTTCCTTTTCGACGCAAGCTCAATCTATGCGCCCTAAGCATTCTACAAAATCTGACAGTGAGATTATCTATCCTTTTTCCTTACAAAAAAGAAGCGACCAAATTTCACGTTGCTAGATATATCTCGGAAAAAGGGGAATGTTGCAATTTTCGGTCGCATTTTTAAAAGAATAAATCATCGTGCATGAACATAATTTCGGGTTTTCTAGGATGCTATGGGTGCATAGACTGAGTTTGTGCCAGAAAACACAAACTCAAGATCCCCTTCAGTGGCCCTTCGAGACGACCAATAACACCGAGCTTTCGACGCATCCGTTACGCCGCCGTAACCTTGGTACTATGGCGCACCGTGAATTCACGAGGGCGCCCATCAAACCATTCGGCCAATCTTGGCCGCGACACGATCACATGGTCGTGTTGCCGCGGGGTCGATTGGGATCTCGAATTCGGCTCCCGACGCGGCGCTTTCTCTCCTAGCCACTGGAGGGCGCTGCAGGCGCCCCCGTGGCAGGCGAGGAGAAACCTCCTCGCCCATCGATAGATATGCTCGGTGGGGCAGGGGGCGAGAGGCCTCTAAGAACTCCGGACGGGACCGAGACGCAGGCAGGCAAGTGGGTGGCGACCGGATCTAGGATATCGCGGGACGCGAGGCCTAAGGGCCTTCTTTGTGTTTAGCGTTGGGCTTAACGTGCGTTTGTAAATATTTGTGTAATGTCGCGTGTATTTGTAGTTTAGATTAAGTGTTTTGTAGAGTTGTGTTTTATTGTACGAATAAACGGGGAGCGGAATCCCGCTCCCGTGAAAGAACCAGGCTGGACTCGGTTTGTTGACGGACCACGTGGGAAATGGCGAATCGGCGGCGGTACGCGATTTCCTACAGTACGCAAGATGCACCAGAGGTAGTACACAAGATGGCACAGCAGCTGCCTGCCCTACAACACTTCGGTAAAATGGGCTAGAAAATAGCGGCCTGCATCAGTGCTGCACACATCGTACAACATTTTCCTATTGTAGCAAACACAAACAGAACATTTTTGATGTTACATTATTTCCTCATTCAGTATTCGAGCCTTCAATATATTTGTTGTTTCTCTTTAAATAGCTCTTAACACCCATTTCTATTGCCATGTGTTGCTCGCAATATTTGTAAATTGTTAACCCCTTCCATTGTGCAGAATGCAGCTAGCATGCTATCATAAATACACCTATTAATCTGGACAGCTGTGAGAATAAAGCTCTGCTGTCATCGCGACCAAAAGCATGTGCAACCTCACACATGCAAATAATGACAATTGTATCCTTTCCGAGATCCAATGTACACAAAGCAAATAGTTCTTTGCAGTCAAAATTGTTGAAAAGAATGGTCGCCCTGCAAAACCTTGGTTCCCCTCCCAGCTGTTAACCACAACATATTTAATTTCTCTGACAACTGGTGCGCAAAAGGCGACTAATTTCACATAGAAACTGAAGATAGCAGAAAACGAACCACTTGAACGGACAACACAGAATTCTCTGCTGCCAAGTGTGTTCGAGACTTATGAGCTGTTTATCCTTTAAATTTCATTTTCCACAAGTCTTGAATCTCTATCATAAGCCCATACTAACTAAAACCTTATAACCTAGCTTTCACAGATTCCTCTGCTTGCATCACGTTTTGAATCCCGGAGAAAAGCTCACCGGTGAAAAGTTTACCACAAAATTGGCGGATACGGAGAAAAGCTTGGCGGCAGTTGAGCGTATGCGAAGAAAAGCTCGCCAATTTTTTTTTTCTTCTGTTCATCTGGAGGTTGTTGGATCATGCATAATATATATCAATTTATTATGATTAAAATTCATCAGCTTTGCAAAAAACAATACCATATTTATTCGAATATAAGTCAACGTTTTTTTGTTTTTTTTTGGGAAATATTGCCAAAAATTAAGGGTCGACTTATAATACTGATTGAAGAATTTCGCCGGTGTTGCCGTACAGCATGCCGCTTCTTGTTTAAAAAAAAATGGCCGCATCCCTACGTGGTGAATAATGTTGATTGGGTCGAAGCTCTGGTGGTGCTGATGATACAGTATAGACCACTTACAACGTAACCGCTTATAGTGCAGGACCGGGTATAACGCGGCTTTTTTAAACCACCGGTTCGCCTCCCATAGAACTCCATGTAATTACATGCCGCTTAAAATGCAGGCACGCGAAGGGAAATACCGGTTATAGTGCGGTTTCTGGAACAGCCCGCCGACCGACCAACGCAGCGAGCACGCTTCCCTTTGCAACACTAGATAACGGCGTGAGCCGCAAGCGGCACTCGCGGGGCAAGGCGTGGGGCAAGGAGGTTGCTCGAAGAAGCGGGGAGAAGCGAAGAGAGAGGCTTCAGCTGCTATAGCGACGGAGGGACAAATGCGCGTGTCGTTTACGTGCGTGCGTCCCTCCGCTGAGTTGGAAAACAACCGCAACAACAGACCACTCGCAGATCGAGGAGAAGTGTTCGCGCACGTTGCACGCCGGTCGCGGGCCGGCTGCTTCTATCCGCAAACATGGCGTCGGTTGTAATCGTCGACGTAGACGGTGTGGTGGAAGCTCATCGTAGAAAGCGCAATCCTTGACTGTGAATTTTCGTTGTGTGCCGCTATGATAACCCAGCACGTACTAGACGGGAAGATGCACTTACTCTTGCGGCGATGTTGTGGCGGCACTCTCAAGACGGCAGAAACGCCCGTGTCGTGTCGTCGTGTTCGTTTACTTCGACTACAGTGGTGCTTTCCAAGCATTTGTTTTCGACCATCGCCCGGATTTCTTATTTGGAGCATTTCGTGCCTGTGCTCAAGTTGAAGGTATTACTGGCGCGTACCGTATAAAGGATGCGAATTTTCACGCGTTTTCATCGCCGGAGAAAAGTGATTAGGGTTAGCATTCCCGAACGCTCGCAACGTCAGTCCTCAACCCGCGACGCCGTTAAAAGGCTGCGCCAGGCAAAAGCCGCTCATTTCTTTCAAAATGTGTGACACACTTGAGAGAGAAGTGCACTAGTCTGGTGAAATAAAGACTTTCCTCAAACTAAGCTTTATTTTTCATTTAACATAGAAATAAATTCTTTTACAAAGGTAAGTTGACTGATGGCATGCATTTTGGCCTGAAAAGTTGATGTTTTGGTTATAGCGCGGTACCGCTTATAGAGCGGATTTTCGCGACTCCCGCGACATACGTTATATGCTGTCTACACTGTACTGATTTTGTTCATACGTAGTGCTGATTTTTTTATTGCTCGAAGGTAGTGCTGAGTTTTGGGCTGCGTTGGTATGGAATATGTGTGGTATGAAACGTGGTTATATACGCATTTGAGCATTTGACCGCAGCGCCCTCTCCTGCATAGATGTTGAGCGGCTACATGCAACGTTTCATGCATGACATCCCCAGCTCTTGAGTTACTACCACATCTCAGAGCCCCCTACTCGTCTTGCAGTTGTGGCCGAGTGGTTAAGGCGATGGACTAGAAATCCATTGGGGTCTTCCTGCACGGGTTCGAATCCTGTCCACTGCGCAAGCATTTTTTTTCTTTTTTAAGAAGACAGGTGGGATGGCAATCGATGTGAGCACGGATGCCGGACAAGGCTAGACTCTAAGGAGCCTTGCCCCCAAAAGCTTTTGGTGCACAAAAATAACCGAAGCAGTAGCAACCAACAGCACCCCCCCACCCCTCCCCTGCCGTGGCCTCGGCTCTTGCGCAGATCCCTGGGGCGTCGAGTTTCGAGGTCGTGCCAGTAGTTTTCCCCTCACTGGGCAAGGGGGGAAGGGAAGGGAGATGAATGCGATGCACTTCGCCCTCCCTCCCTCTTCCTCCCTCGCAAACGCGCACAGAAAGAAAAAAAAAAGAAGAAAACGGAGGTTACTTTAGTTTGTTGCTTGCGGCGGCTTGTGTGTTGCTCGCGGCGACTCGCGCCGTTGCTCCCGTCTTCCAATTTGGTTTTCCGTCGCTTCGCTCGTCTCCACCTTCTTTCTTCTCGTCGTTTTACAATGGTGCCAGTGAGGCATTGTTGTGAATTTGTGGGGTTGTCTTCCAAAGCTGACGAAGCTTCGGATGACAATGACATGTCCGCAAGTTCTGACGATGCTTAAGTTTTTGGCACTGCCCTGCAATTTAGCCGAAAGTGCTGGAAATAAATGTTTGTTTCTTTCGTTTAAAAAATCTAGCTATATTGTTATTTTAATTTTTGGTGGGTTCAATAAATAGGGGGCAACCTATTTTCGTGGTCGACCTATTTTCGGGTAAATACGGTATGTCCTTTTTTTGTAATAATTGTTAAGCTTATTGGGTATATTGCTCCCAAATTAATAATTGTGGGCGAGTGTTTTCTGTGGTTTACTCTCTAGGTAACGGAAGCCTAACTGGAAACTTGAAGAACAGGAAAAAGTTCGAAAACTTAGAAATGTCTGCCTAAAAGCTAAAAATCAAAACTGTCAATGCTGAAAATCTGAAAGTGCATGCGCAACAACGTTGTGCCTGAAAATCTCTTTGAAGCTTTTGCTAACCTTTGAAAACAGGATAAAACAGTCAGTAGGATATCGAGGATTCTTTCTTCCACAGACATGCACGTTTTCTAGACGTTCGTGCTGGTGTTTCCACACGTTGCCTTCGTGCGATAGTAGTGCCCTGCTACAGCGAGCCACACGTGACCTTCAGAGCTGCACACTGTCATCGTTGTTACTCGTGACCTATATAATGCTGCGCGTGCAGCTGACCAAGTAGTCAGTGCACTTGTGGCTTAATGGTTATCGCGCTTGCCTTCCACGCAGAAAGCCAGGGTTCGATGCCTGACCGCCGGTTCATTTTTGTTGACTCTAATGTGATGTTCTGGTTAGAGTGCCTTCATGTTCGCGAAGCAGGACATGAAGGCAACCTAGTTGTGGTAAATTCGAGAACCGTGTTGCTCGTTTGAGGTTAGAATGTTCTACACGCCAAACCTTCTACGCCGATTGTTCCAGAAGCCCACACGAGTACATTAGTTGCTTCGCGTGGCAAGCCTAAGTCAGTTTTCGCCCCAAGGCTCGATCCTGCTGTTTCGCCGACATCGACGCCTGCGACGCTAGCCTTTCTCTATTTTGTTTTGGGCACAGGTTCAACCCATTAAACGTTTAGTTTCTTCAGTTATTTGCCACCTCATCATTTGTCATTCTGACAGTAAGAACTAGTCTTCCGTAAGGTAGCAAATCGGGTGAGTTGGTAAACGTTATACATGATAAAAAAACACTCAAATGACGAAGACGGAGTGAAGACAACAAACAGGACAGGACAAAGTTGTTCTCGTAACTAAAGTTTTATTCGTGAAAATAACAGAAAACGTAGCCGATACTGACTACATCAACAAACACCTACTCATCTACAGTGTAGACCGCATATAACGTATGTCGCGGGAGTCGCGAAAATCCGCACTATAAGCGGTACCGCACTATAACCAAAACACCAATTTTACAGGCCAAAATACACGCCATGAGACAACTTACCTTTGTAAAACAATTTATTTTATGTTAGATGAAAAATAAAGCTTAGTTTGAGGAAAGTCTTTATTTTACCAGGCTAGTACACTTCTCTCTCAAGTGTGTCACGCATTTTGAAAGAAATGAGCGACTTTTGCCTGGAGCAGCCTTTTAACGGCGTAGCGGGTTGCGGACGGACGTTGCGAGCATTCAGGATTGCTAACCCTAATCACTTTTCTCCGGCGATGAAAACGCGTGAAAATTCGCATCCTTTATACGTACCGTATAAAGGATGTAATACCTTCAACTTGAGCACAGGCATGAAATGCTCCAAATAAGAAATCCGGGCGATGTTCGAAAACACAAATGCTTAGAAAGCACCACTGTAGTCGAAGTAAACAAACACGACGACACGGGCGTTTCTGCCGTCTTGAGAGTGCCGCCACAACATCGCCGCACGAGTAGGTGGATCTTCCCTTCTAGTACGTGCTGGGCTATCATAGCGACACACAACGAAAATTCACAGTCAAGGATAGCGCTTTTACGCGGAACGATGAGCTTCTACCGAAACCGACGCCATGTTTGCCGATAGAAGCAGCCGGCCCGCAACCGGCAGACCGGCTTGCAACGCTCGCGGAGACTTCTCCTCGACCTGCGATTGGTCTGTCGTTGCGGTTGTTTCCAATGCAGCGGAGGTACGCACGCACGTGAACGACACGTGCGTGCGTTCCTCCGTCGCTATGGCAACTGGAACGACTGAAACCTCTCTCTTCGCTTCTCCCCGTTTCTTTGAGCAACCTCCTTGCCCCGCGAGTGCCGTTTGCGGCTCGCGCCAGTGGTGTTAACTTAGCGAGAAAGTCGCTAAATTTGGAGTGTTTTCAGTCGTCCTAGCGGCAATTTTGTGTTTTTGGAGTCTTAGCGACTTTTTTGGGGACTTTTTTTTTTTCCCCCAGTTATGTAAATTGTTGTTACTAAAGCTACGCGGACGGGGGGGAAATATGTCAGTCGGATAGCTCTCGGGTGGCTTCCAGAGGGACAGCTCTGGATGTCACTCATTTTTATTCATCCTGTTGTGGGTGAGGGGACGTTCTCCGACCCCGAAGCACTTTAGAACCACTCCATCTTTCAGATATTATCAGGTGTTTAAAAAAAAAAAAAATGTGGGTTAAAGCGAGGGTTTTGTTCAATAAGGATGAAGCAGAATAGCTTTCCGCTGTTTTGTTCTTGGACAAGGATCTTCTCGCCAACGCCTTGAGTCACTCAAGGTGTTGGCGAGTCCCTTGGGAATGGGACGGCCGACTCCAACTATTCACTTGTATTGTCACCAAAAAAAAAAAAAATTAAATGATGTTTAAAAAAAAGATCCGAAAAAGGTCATCATCATCATCACCACTCAGCGACTTTTCGCTAAAACTGGCGACTTTTAGGTCGCATCCTGGCGACTTTGCCCAAAAAAACTTAACAGCACTGGCTCGCGCAGTTTTCTAGTGTCGCACAGGGAAGCGTGCTCGCTGCGTCGGCGCGGTCGGCGGGCTGTGGCAGAAACCGCACTATAACCGGTATTTCCCTTCGCGCGCCTGCATTTTAAGCGGTATGTAAATACATGGAGTTCTATGGGAGGCGAACCGGTGGTTTAAAAAAGCCGCGTTATACCCGGTCCCGCACTATAAGCGGTTACGTTGTAAGTGGTCTATACTGTATTAGGCACCACACAATCTTTGAAGCTGAGACGGTTCATTCACCACTATTCATATTAGCTTGCAAAAACCAAACCTCTTTATCTGACAGAGCTACCGACGGTGCACTGTCAAGCTGTCAATTAATTCATGTCTTTCTACAGCGTAACTGTTAAAGGGCTAGCTAGTTTCCCCAGTTTCGTGTCCGTCACTAAATAAATGTCGACACAAAACTCTCGACAGCTACCGCCATCTATAAGCAACGGCAGCAACCTTTCCAGCCTTTCCAATCTGGTTTTCACTAGAGTGGAAAGGCTGAATTTCTCTAGGCGTCGTTTTAGAAGTCGTCCTTGAGTTCACCCTAGACGTCGTCCTTCAGGTCGTCCTAGACGTTGTCCTTGAGGTCATCCTTAAAGTTGTCCTAGATGCCGTCCCTGAGGTCATCCTAGGCGTCATCCTCAAGGTCGTCCTCGAGGTCATCCTGGAAGTCGTCCTCGAGGTCATCCTAGACGTCGTTCTGGAGGTCCTAGACGTCGTTCTTGAGGTCATCCTAGACGTTGTCCTCTAGGCGTCGTCCTTGAGGTCACCCAAGAAGTCGTCCTTGAGGTCGTCCTAGACATTGTCCTCGAGGTCGTCCTAGGCGTCATTCTTGAGGTCGTCCTAGACGTTGCCCTCTAGGCGTCGTCCTTCAGGTCGTCCAAGAAGTCGTCCTTGAGGTCGTCCCACCATAGTAAAGCTTCGCTGGTCTTCCTTTTTCCTCAGCTAGGAAGGGCTGGAAGCTTTCTATGGGTGTCCGATGCACTGATTTTATACTTGCCGCGGCATTAATATACAGAATGGGTGATTACAAATTTTTGAGCAATTAGTAAATATGCCCAATGAAATTCAGGAATATTACAAAAAGAGGACAATTATTTTTAATGAAGTGACCAATTCTAATTGCATTAAATTGCCACGTGTGATGCACAATCCACTACGCTAAGGAAAAATGTTAAGAATCTGTGAGCATTTCTGCGCATCCACTAAAAGGCCGGTGCACTTTTCTCTGCATCTGTCGGTTTTGTGGCGAGCTTTTCTCTTCCGCCTCATGTTTTACCCATGCCATTATACGGATTGGCATTTCTGCTAATGTACTCGTTCTTTCTGCTGTTCATGTCAAAACTTCAAGCAAGAAGGCAGCTGTGATTTGGCACACTAGAATCTAGTATTAGTTCGTGACTATTTGCAGCATCTGCAAACCACCTGAAGGACAAGTGCTTTCCAAGAGCATATTTGCACAAGAGCATGTGTAAGAACAGCCTTGTGTGTGCTTGTAGAGATACCATCACTGTGTCTCATCAAATAAATTGTAATCGAATGAATTGGTAAATTTTCTGTTTCAGCTGGAAATGATGCGCGTGTTTCAGGAGGAAACAAAAACATTTCTGGCTGAAAATAATGCATGTTCCAGAAGAAAAAAAAAGATATTTACGACTGGAAACTATGAATGTTCCAGAAGAAAAAAAAGAAAACATTTCTGGCTGGAAATTATCCATTTTTTTAGAGGAAAAAAAAAAAAAAACATTTCCAGCTGGAAATAATGCATGTTCTAGGAGGAAAAATATCATTCCCAGGTGAGACATTTGTCCATTTCTGGATGAAAAAAAATCCTGAAAATCGGCTGAAAAAAATAAATCTCCAGCTCCAGCCGCAATCCAGTTTTATAGTACAGCCAGCACTGGAAGCAGTTCTAGCTTCCACCAGACTGTCAGCTTAAGGCTGAACAGAGTACAGACAAGGCAGAAGAGTCTTACCTCCTCCGCAAAGGACTTTCCGCACAAAGGATGGCTCTGGAGAACTTGGAGCAGCCGCGGAAACATGTCGATGGCAGCGTCGCTACCGAGCCGCATGGCCGTCAGCACCGACCTGACCAGGCTCAGAGGCAAGCTTGTTCGGCGATCGTCCGGAAACAGCGTTCCTGGTAGCGTTTGTTCACACCAGAAACAATTATCAATTTTTAATTGTTTGTCTCAATCCAAACGGTGACATGGCTCTTTGAAAAGGTAGGAAGGGTGTTCTTAAAATTCCAATTTTCATATTTCTGAGGCCTTCCCCAATGTTAGAATAACCAAAGTCTATTTAGAAGCAGTCAAATGCAAGCAAGCTCCTTCACAAACAAACTGGCATGACAAAAGATGCGTTAAATGCGCGTGCCTTATTAGAGAACCTACATTTAAGATTATAATGCAATTAAATGCAAAGGTGCAAGCGAGCTGGACAAGTATTTCTACATTTAAGAAAGGGAGCTAGCAACTCACTCCGTGCACTTTGAAATACAGTTGAATCCCGCAATGGTGAACGCTGCTGCAACCAAATTTCAGCAACAAAAAAGTATTTTCAATTCCCTGTCAGTTGTCCGAGATAGCATACAAAACTTTTCTCCATAACAAACCATTTTTTGAACGTTGCTTTGCTTCAGGAAAGTTTTATCACCCCTTCTGCCGTTTTCAGTCGCGGGAAAAAAGTTTTGTTCAAAAGCTGTCCTGGATTGGGAATATAGCATACTCATAGTGACAACTTGTGGCTGCCCGTACGATTTATTAAAACAATCATACAGTATAGACCACTTACAACGTAACCGCTTATAGTGCAGGACCGGGTATAACGCGGTTTTTCTAAACCACCGGTTCGCCTCCCATAGAACTCCATGTAATTACATACCGCTTAAAAAGCAGGCGCGCGAAGGGAAATACCGGTTATAGTGCGGTTTCTGGAATAGCCCGCCGACCGCACCGACGACCGAAGCAGCGAGCACGCTTCCCTGTGCGACACTAGATAACGGCTGACGGCGCTAGCCGCAAGCAGCACTCGCGGGAGCTGGGAGAAGCTAAGAGAGACGCACGCACGTGTCGTTCACGTGCGTGCGTCCCTCTGCTGCGTTGGAGAACAACCACAACGACAGACCAATCGCAGGTCGAGGAGAAGTGTTCGCACTCGTTGCATGCCGGTCGCGGGCTGGCTGCTTCTAGCCGCAAACATGGCGTCGGTTGTGATCTTCGTCGTGTTCGTCATCGGTCCGCGTAAAAGCGTTATCCTTGACTGTGAATTTTCGTTGTGTGCCGCTACGATAACCCAGCACGTACTAGAAGGGAAGATCCACCTACTCGTGCGGCGATGTCGTGGCGGCGCGCTCAAGACGGCAGAAACGCTCGTGTCATCGTGTTCGTTTACTTCGACTACAGTGGTGATTTTTAAGCATTTGTGTCCTTGAACATCGCCCGGATTTCTGATTTGGCGCATGCGTGTTCAAGTTGAAGGTATCACTGGCGCGTACCGTATGAAAGATGCGAATTTTCACCCGTATTCATCACCGGAGAAAAGTGATTAGGGTTAGCAATCCTGAACGCTCGCAACGTCCGTCCGCAACCCGCGACGCCGTTAAAAGGCTGCGCCAGGCAAAAGCCGCTCATTTCTTTCAAAATGTGTGACACACTTGAGAGAGAAGTGCACTAGTCTGGTGAAATAAAGACTTTCCTCAAACTAAGCTTTATTTTTCATCTAACATAAAATAAATTCTTTTACAAAGGTAAGTTGTCTCATGGCATGTATTTGGCCTGAAAAATTGATGTTTTGGTTATAGCGCGGTACCGCTAAAAGTGTGAATTTTCGCGACTTCTGCGACATACATTATATGCGGTCTACACTGTACTAAAGTACCGTATTTCATTGCATATAACCTGCATCCAAATTGATATAAAATCATAGGCAAAGTAGGGGTGCAGGTTGGGTTATACACAAATTTCAGCGGGCAGTGCACCCCACGGCAATGCGCTAAGTCGTGGGGATAGATTAACCACCTTTTCCTTTTTCTCCTCCTTTTTTGGGGGGTTTGCATGGTTTTGGCAGGCTGAGCAGCTGAGCCAAGCCGACGTCAATTCGAGGGCAATGTGCGGAGCGCCGTTGTTGTCAAACAAGTGCTGCCATCGACGGCAACCATTTTCGTGGTTTCTGATTTCTTCGGCAAAGGTCCCGACTGTCGTCAGATGTGTTGCCGAAGGAAACCGACAGCAGGCCAGAAAATGGCCGCTACGACGTTGGCGAGTCGTGCATGCGAGAATGGGACAAGGTGAGCCTGCAAACTGCAACCGAAAATCTTTCCACGGTCCAAAGACTGGTGCATACCCCGAGCTTGAAAGAGCGCTCGCAAAGTTCATTGAGGAGTACAGAGTCATGCCGTATCGACAAAAATCTGGCGTGACCGCCACCTTTCCAGATGAGTTAGTGCAGATATCAGTTTCAAGAAGTGCCGCATCAGCAATCGCCTCGACAATACGGATTACGCCCCCGCAACAGTGAAGGCACCTCATATAGCTGCAGTGGCAGCAGCGATGAGTAAAATAAAGGAACGAGATCTGCACATTGCTTTACGTGCTTAGTCTGCGGGGTATTTTTTTAATTTTTTTTTTTTTTCAGAGTACAGTGTAGATTGCATATAACGTATGTCGCGGGAGTCGCGAAAATCCGCACTATAAGCGGTACCGCGCTATAACCAAAACATAAATTTTTCAGGCCAAAATACATGCCATCAGACAACTTACCTTTGTAAAAGAATTTATTTTATGTTAGATGAAAAATAAAGCTTAGTTTGAGGAAAGTCTTTATTTCACCAGACTAGTACACTTTTCTCTCAAGTGTGTCACACATTTTGAAAGAAATGAGCGACATTTGCCTGGCGGAGCCTTTTAACGGCGTCGCGGGTTGCGGACGGACGTTGCGAGCGTTCAGGATTGCTAACCCTAATCAGTTTTCTCCGGCGATAAAAACGCGTGAAAATTCGCGTCCTTTATACGGTATGTGCCAGTAAAGCGCCGTTCACACTCTTGCGACCGAGTAAGACCGAGAGAGACAAGACCGGTTTTTAAGCTTTTTGCGACTTCTTAGGACCGGATGCGATGCAGCGGAGCTGGTCCTAAGAGATCGCAAGAGGCTTAAAAACCGGTCTGGTCTCTCTCGGTCGTACTCGGTTGCAAGAGTAAAGGTCCGTTCACACTCTTGCAACCGAGTACGACCGAGAGAGACTAGACCGGTTCTTAAGCCTCTTGCGATCTCTTAGGACCAGCTCCGCTGTAGCGCATCCGGCCCTAAGGAGTCGCAAGAAGCTTAAAAACCGGTCTGGTCTCTCTCAGTCGTACTCGGTTGCAAGAGTGTGAACGGGCCTTAAGAACAGGCCTTAATACCTTCAACTTAAGCACAGGCATGAAATGCTCCAAATAAGAAATCTGGGCAATGTTCGAAAACACAAATGCTTAGAAAGCACCACTGTAGTCGAAGTAAACAAACACGGGCGTTTCTGCCGTCTTGAGAGTGCCGCCACAACATCGCCGCACGAGTAGGTGGATCTTCCCTTCTAGTACGTGCTGGGTTATCATAGCGACACATAACGAAAATTCACAGTCAAGGATAGCGCTTTTACGCCGAACGATGAGCTCCACCACGCTGTCTACCACGTCGACGATCACAACCGACGCCATGTTTGCGGATACAAGCAGCCGGCCGCCGGCCCATGACTGGCATGCAACGCGCGCGAACACTTCTCCTCGACCTGCGATTGGTCTGTTGTTGCGGTTGTTTTCCAACCGTTGCAGCGGAGGGACGCACGCACGTGAACGACACGTGCGTGCGTCCCTCCGTCGCTATGGCAACTGAAGCATCTCTCTTCGCTTCTTCCCGCTTCTTCGGACATCCTCTTTGCCCCGCGGGTGCCGCTTGCGGCTCGCGCCGTTATCTAGCGCCGCACAGGGAAGCGTGCTCGCTGCATCGGTCAGTCGGCACGGCCACCGGGCTGTTCGAGAAACCGCACTATAACCGGTATTTCCCTTCGCGCGCCTGCATTTTAAGCGGTATGTAAATACATGGAGTTCTATGGGGGGCGAACCGGTGGTTTAAAAAAGCCGCGTTATACCCGGTCCCGCACTATAAGCGGTTACGTTGTAAGTGGTCTATACTGTAGTAAGTTGGGGGTTAGACGCAGGGGCAGGTATTACGAGCAGAAATACAGTATCCGCGCTCAATTCACACTAAATGCATAATATTCATATCGTAAAATACTTAAATACAATTTCCAGTAAAGAGTTTGATGTCCATGCAGAAAAAAAATTTTGAGAGGGCTCCTCCCTCACTCATTACAGAGCGCACAAAAGACAAGAACAAAATATTATACGAGCTTGATTCCACTGACAAAGTACACAGATAGGCCTTCTAGGGAAGCCTCAACGTCACCGCCCAAGATTCACTTTCATTTCCGACACACGCCGCGAGATGGTGCTACATGACTGGAAAGGGGCTTGCTTTTGCGTACCAGAGAGCCTGGACAGCTCATAGGCAAAGACTCATAGGGCAAAGGCTCACAATCTTGAGGATTCAAATCACGCCGGGAGACTCGAGACTTCTTATATGCTTCCTTGTGGGTGGAACGCTTTTCAGTTTTTCACTAAAACCGGTTGCTACAGCTGGCTGCTACATCCACTCGTTACAGCCTGCCATTACAGCTGGCTGTTACACAACTCCGTAGAAATCGGCTGATAAAACAGATTCTGCGTTAAAAGAAGTCACGCCAGACAAGCACTCGTCTGCTGTACCAATCTGCCTTTGGTCTCCGTTCTGTTTTGTGCACTCTGTTTTCCAATGAATCAGCACCAAGTGGACAAGTTGTCTGGCCCTCCCTCACCTTCTTCCTGCTGAAGAGCAGTGTTGCAGAACCGTGCAAGGCGGAGCTGTGCCTCAGCCCTGACGGACACGGGGGTCGCCTCGCAGTGTGCGGCACTCAGGTGCAGTTGCAGCGCCTGCTCTCGCAGCTCCAGAGACATCTGCACAACCACCCGAGCAAACAAATCACCCGGCTTTATTAAGCAGCACTCGCTCTCGGAACAGTACGCAATGTGACACGTGGCCAAGGAATTGCATAAAAGACTTCTCTTGTTCGTTGATTCACTTATTCTCTGGGGGATTGCATAGTTTTTTTCTTTACACAGACCCCCTTTCTACACATTGGAGGAAGGCGAGAGTGTTTAAGTGCCAAGGCCCAGTAAAACTGCACTGTGGCATCTCTCGTAAGGTGACAAAAATATGTGCCTCTTTACCACAAAAATATGGCAAATGGAGTGAAAACACAGAATGTGTTGCGTGTTGCCTCGAACCGATGCTGCACATACTAACACGGTACACATTTTGTGCCTGGACGTCGCAAACGTCGTCGTGCGCAGCATCCATAAAAAGACTTTGCCCGAGCTAGAGCTCCAGCAGGAGTGGAATGCGAAGTTTGCGTCTCTCGCGGCAGCACATCCTAGCTTCAACCCCGCTCTTTTGTGTATTCTGGTTTCATCCAAGGCTCTTGCAGCGCCTTTGCACACACCCTTCACAAACTCCCCCGACCATATGTGCAAAGGTGCTCTACGAACACCTCCCAGACAACGGGTCCTGGAGTGTCTCCAACCACTGGAAACTGCTAGGAGCTAGCGATTCGTTCCGGATTAATGATAACCGAAGGGACTCCCCAGCACTGAAAGGAGCCTTGCCTTTCGAGGATCGCTGCTGGTCGATGCCAACTGCAATTCTGCCATCTGCTCTTTGTTCAGCACCGCTCCGGCATCGAGGTCTTTGGCGAGCCCGGCTACGGCCTGGGCCTTCAACAGGCAGTACCGTACCGTACTGGCAGCGTCGTCCAGCCCTTCGGCCCTGGTCGCCTCTGAAAACCACACAACACATTTTCGCCCTTGTTTTACAGACAGTGGCTGGGCATTAAAAGCACCGTAGGAATTTCCCCACATGCTGCAAATTCAATTACCGCAATGTCGCAATTTAATTATAAAAAGATTGGCCGCATGTTTGGTTAGTAGAAACTACGAAGGAAGAAATTCGAAGATTTTCAGAGACTTTCAAGGTCCTAACGTCAAATTTTCCAGGACTTTCCAGCAATACTTTTTACAATCATATAAAAAAAGAATGTCGTCTCTAATGGCACATAAATTCATCTTTTATTGGATACGAGGAAAATTGGGCATATTTTGCCAATAAACAGTTAACTCGAGAAAGTTCTTGCACATTGTTTGTCCACTCCCATTTCATTTCTGAAAGTTTCAGCGTCTTCTATTTGCTGCCTTCATCAAACTGAGTGACTTGACAATGAAAATGATGTATTGCACACAAAAAAAGACAGGCCCATTTTACCAATAAACAGTGAAGTCAAGAAAGCTTCTTCCAGTTTTTCTTTCAACTTGTCTTCCATTTCTGCAAGTGCTATTCTCTTTTTCTGTCTTCCTCAAAATGTTACACTTCAAAATGAAGGTAATGTCACTAGTTGCTTATGCTTTCTCAGTGCTGTCATCCAAACCAGAACTATCGCTTCTAACTTCCTCACCTTCGTCCTGACACAATGACTGTTCGAGCACAGATTTTTTCAGGTCCTTGAAGTATTAAAGTGGCAATGTGGGCCAGTTGGCCCATGATCACGTAGGTGAGCACCAAGAAACACAGGGACAATGAAGTAGAAAGACAGGGGTACCCCTGTCTGTCTACTTCATTGTCCCCGTGTTTTTTGGTGCTAAGCTACGTGATTCTCCAAGTAGGTCCGATAGCGACGATATGCAGCTGAGACAGAGGTTCGCAACTCCTTCGGTATAGCCACAATAAGAATGCCAGCAGCCTCGTTAACTGCATCACAAACGATTCGTTGCGACACGTGGGAGATTTCCACCAGGTTCTCACGCTGCTCTCGTTAAACCTGCTAGTCGGAGCGAGCACGGTACTCCGGCGCGCATAGCTGACACCCATCGTGCACCGCGTCTACTCCTCCAATTTTGTTTGGTAAAACCTTCCGGACGCACGACGGACTACAACGAGCAGATTGTGGGGTCCGTCATCCGCTCCTCGGGGCCATCGAGACCTTGCCAACCTCGCCTTCTCTTCACTCACGTCAACCCTACCAATGGCTTGAATTTCCAACCGACTCGGACAACTCTTTCTTTCCGGCATGGCGCCCCAGTCCCGAGCCGCCAACTACTGCCGTCTTCGGCATGCGAGATCAACTTTCCTTCCCGCAGGCCCGCGTGGGCCTGCGCCCTTTTTGTGGGTTTCTTTCATTTCAATTTATGTTTTGGCAACGAGGATTACTAAATAAGCAGCGTCAGCCACGAGCGCCACGAGTAGCGTGGGAACGTGGATGCAGCTCTTGCCCCTCCCTGGCCACGTCGGTGCATCGGCACGTCGGCATCGGAAGCAGCACTCTGCGCGCTCTACCCTCCGTCACCTGTTTGCTCCGTTATCTTGTTTGCCATTTGCCTCGGTGAAGAAAAGGAAGGGAACACAACGGCCTCCGCTCACCTCCGTGTAGGCTTGTGTGCTTTTGACACCTCAGCCTTCGTAATAAGCGTGGTCGGCTGCCGAGAGACTTAGAATAATCTGCTTCAAAATGCGTGCATTTCGGTTGGGACCACATTGAACTTGGATAAAGCAACAATACGCAGGGTTTTCTATAGGAGAAACTTGTCGCACACTCCACCATCCCTCAAGCAGACTCTCTTTTTTCTCTCGTGTGAAGCTCTTCCTCGAGCACGCTTGCGTTGTATGGGATCCATCTCAACAGTATCTCATTGATAAAATTAAAAGAAATCAAAAATGTGCCGCTAGATTTGTGACAAATAATTACAACTTTGGTAGCAGTGTCTCCGCAATAAAAAAGGGTTTGCAATGGAAATCGCTTGCTGTTAGGCATAAGTATTTGTGCCTAAAAGTATTTCCTATGGTTTATCGAAAATTGAAAGATCACATTAGTTGTATGAGCCATTTTATGTATCGCGCAGAGTAGATCATGACCAAAACGTTTGGGAGTACACATCAAAGTCTGATTTGTTTCGTAACTCTTCCCACGAACGATAAAAGAATGGAACAGCTTGCCAAGCAAGATTGTTGCCTTGTAAAGTCCAAATTCGTTTTTTTCGCAACTCCAGCATTGGCTCTAAACAATTTATTTGAGTGCGAATATATTCAGCATTGGCTCTAAACAATTTATTTGAGTGCGAATATATTATCAATGCATTTGTGTTCCTTTCTATGCAGACTAAGGTTATTTCTTTTCTATGAACATTTATATGTGTGTGCGAGTTTGTATATTACTTTGCATACTTATGTGTCTTGATGACCTATGGTGTGCTCAAAATCCATTTTTTTGCTATTGTGACTCCCGCTACTGTAATGCCCTTTGGGGCGCTGTAGGAAATAAATAAATAAATAAATAACATTTCGTTATAACGAAGGATTACTGTACTTGCGCTTGTTAATCTTCAGTAATGCTCTTCAAAATGCAACTACAATCGCTAAAACTCCGCAGCACAAGGAATGTCGATAAAATTGAAGTGAAACAATACGCAGAGCCAGAAACATCGGATTAGATTGTGATGGCCAAACACCGCTGGATTCCAACAGTTGCAAGGCGAAAACTCTTCCAAATACCAATTCGTTTGGAGATTCGTTCGCTTTGGCACAATTTTTTCCTTTGGGCGCAGTAAGGAGCAGGCAAGCGGGAATTTATCAAAATGGCATAAAAAACACAACTAGACCACCCCCGATTTTTTCTATTTTTTTTTTTTAAATATTGTTTGGCGGTTAAGGAACGACTGACCTACACATTTCATGCTTATGCGTCTCCTGAGGATGGTTGGCTCTATCGAGCTTCCAGTTGGAAAGAGCTTTGTTGACTGAATAACCGAGGGCAGGAGGAGCATGCCTGTAAAGCCACATTTCTTTGTTACTTTCGTTTTTACTCTAAAACATGGGCTCTCAAACTGCGCCTGTAGGAACGGGGGTTCCCCAGAGTCCCTGCCTCTAATTAAAGTGGTTTTCTCGCTAGAGCAGCACTTTAGTACCTAGTTCTGAGGCACTTACTGATGATTAATTATGTGCAAAATACTCTCCAGTGCGTGTAATAATGTCTCCAACACCTATAGGTTCCTGTACTGCTTTACTGCATCAATACCAGGGCTGGGAGGGCTCTCTCGGCTGCCATCCGAGACAGGTAAAAGCACCTTGAGATCAAAGAGTTTCGAGTTTTCAGACTTTATTATTATAACCAAAGGGATAAATAAATGAATGATCCGAATTTATAGCTGAAGGCTCGTGTAAAATTCATCATAAATTAAAGTAACGGGAAAATTTATAATTCGAGACACGCGCGATAAAGAAAATAAAAAGAAACCAAATTTATTTTGGTTACTGCAATAAAGAACATTCCCCAAAAAATGACAATTTGAACTGATTAGATTGCACATTTGGTAGTGAGTTTTCGATCTGACAACCATTTGTAAATGGTAGGCGACGACGTCCACCTACCGAGTTTCTGCAGCGTGCGAAGGTGGGAAGCCAGCTTCTTGTCCAGAGGCACCTGCTCAGCTGCTCTGCACAGCGCAGAGCAGTACGTCTCCGCATAGCTCCACTCCAGGCTGCCTTCCAGCTGTCCTTCGGTCCTCATCTGCAACCGGCCATTAGCGCCACATCAGCAGCCACGCTAGAATCAGTACTTTGAAAACACTAATAGTGCTCTCAGGCATAACCGCTTCATGAGTCGTCTTCGGTTGATTAGCCACACAGATGATTCACTGTCCATGCGACAACCATGCGGGAAACAAGCTCTCGTCTTCCTATGGCCAGCAATCACACAGGGCATCTTTCGCGGGAATTTAAAAAAAGTAAGTTGCGAAACACTGAGGTTTTTGACAGATCCGACTGGTCGGCGCAACTTTCCCTCCTTGCCACTGCTTTCCTGAAATAGATGTCGCCGAAGCCCCGGGTGGTGCCATAACAACATAAATATAAGCTCCACACGTAAAATCTAGACATATACCGCATGACCCCAAGTCAAGATAAAAAAAGCTAATGGTGCTCCAAAAATTGCGTGACCCTGATCGTTGGAACCGCTCTCAAATCTAGGCCCAATGTGCGTCTGAACGCAATTCCGCTACGTTCCATTTAGCCTCCATTCCTATTTCTTGCTGTCTCTTGGTGGCAAATAAAGATGCTAAGAAAAATCGTGGGAAAGCTTGTATCCTCATGGACTGCCTCCGGTCCGTGTGACAATGGAAACCATGAGGCCTCTCGTGTTTCTGCAAGTTTCATTCCGCTATGTTTAGGACAATGATGCAGACAAGAAATGTGCATGGTGCTAATGTCACTGGTACCCTACAACTGCTCAACGTGTTACGCAGAACGATGGCTAGCCAAAACCACGAGGAGACGCCGCAGCTTGAGAGAGCAGTGCCGGCGACTTCTGCCACCAGTCAGGCTCGAGCATTGAAGATACCGCACGTGACGATAGTGAAGACCACGATAAAGGGGTTTCGGATTGGTGGATCCAACTGCAAGTATGACTGCTTCTCAATGGATATTCATAGTGACTGCACTTAAATTCGTCTAGGCCTGCAACTAAAAAAATCCACCACCAAATCCAAGAAGAATTTAATCTTACGGATAAAGTCCGGAGATACAAAATGCGTAGCATTTTTTTTGTAAGCTTTTTTTTATTTCGGAACACACAATGCACATGATGGGCAGCATTGCACACAATGTGCAGCGCTGTACATAACATGCGGATAGAAGAATATTATTTATTAATAATAACCGAGTAATAAATATTGCAATTAATTATTGAAAATTAATTCATGTTTTCTCGGTAACTATGGTTTGTCGTGACTGTTTCATAATGTTAAAGGGGTCACGATAATTTTCCAACTACCTTCCCCTCGGTTTTCCTCCTCAACTCCAAAGCCCCAACTAATTAATCGCGCAGTTGTGACATCATATTTGTCCGGAACTGGCGGGGTTAGCTATCCGTGTTCTCTGGTTTGGGGCAATCGTCGATAAATGTTGAGCCAGGTACAGCAACAACCGTCCCGGCCTTCTTACCGACATGGTTGGCATTCCACGACTGGCCAGTGTGATTCATTTTGCTTTCCTCGGCAGGAATAAGAGTAATATCAGACTGTCAACTTCAACGGTGTAGGTCTCTTCAATCGTGCTTTTTACGCACACCAGCACTGAACTGACTGAAAATATTGAAACTTTAGCCAAGTTTGAATGAAAACAAAGTACCCTACGTTTTGGGACCGGCTTGGTCCCTTTATTCTTTAATCAGAGAACTCGTGCGGCACCTAGAAGGCATTGTTGCAGGGGGGAAGGTAGTTGGAAATGGGTCATGGCTGACTATGGGTTGGGCGAATCTTCTTCATCTATATCATCTTAATGATCTTCAACCTCATCTTCATCAAGAATATCCAGCGTTAAAGCCCGGTTCGGAAGTTTTTTTTGTTTGAAAATGTCTTTGATAATAATAAGATGAAACACCAGGGCCAGGTCAGCTGGGCTTAAGCCGTCGGTGCTGTGCTGGGGTGGGGGATTGGGATTAAAGAAAGTGAGTCAGGTGAGCTTCCTTAATGAACCGAAGGAGGGAGTCAAATAATTCTTTTCGGTGCTTGCGCGAGCCAGATGATCTGGTCCATTCCGCCAAGCTCTTGAGTCTTTGATTCTCGGGAATGGTCTGCCAAATTTCTTCTTTGCGCCCGTGTTTTTCCGTGAAGCTACAAAGCCCAACCCATAGTCACCCGTGACCAAGGGACCGAGCTGGTCCCGAAACGTAAAGTATTTTGTTTTTATTCAAACTTGGTTACAGTTAAAATTTTTTCAGTCAGTCTATTTCATTTCATTTCATTTATTTGTACCTCACAAGCGCCCCAAGGGGGCATACATGAGGGGGGAAATTCAACAGTATACAAGAAAAACAGAACAGTGAAAATATGAACACACATCATGCAAAAATAACAATATAATGAAAACACGTGGAAAACATACATTTCAATTTACGCAGTATTGAGCACACGCATTTTTAAATTCGTCGACATTTGCTAAAGTTACAATGTTGGCTGGAAGTTTGTTCCAGTCGGAAATTGCCAACTGTAGAGGTGACGTCTGGAAAAGTTTAGTATGTGATGTTTGTAGTAATACCTTATGCTGATGGTCAAATCGAGGAAAAATACGGTGTGGCGGCTTTAATAGTTTAAGCTTGAGGAGTGGGTTATTATAATAGATGTTATGGACGAAGGTTAGCCTAGAAAGTTTTCTTCTGATAGAGAGGAGTGGCAAGTCAGCTTTTTCTTTCAGTTGAGATACGCTGGAGTGTCGAGAGTAATCTTTGTAAATAAATCTGCTTGCCCTATTCTGAATTGACTCTATTTGTTGAATAAGGTAGTCTTGACAAGGATTCCATATGATAGAGGCATACTCTAATTGAGACCGAACATATGACTTGTAAGCGAGTAAACGAACGTCCGGAGGTGCCAGATATAAATTTCGTCTTAGAAAACCTAATGACCTACTAGCCTTGCTAGCCACATAATTTACATGGTCCTGCCAGTGTAGGTTCTCGCTCAAAATAACTCCTAGATATTTGTACTTATTTACTTTCTCAATTGATAAATGTCCTATTGAGTAGTTGAAACTTACAGTGGATTTTTTTGTGGAGAAGCTCATAAATTTAGATTTTGAGGTATTGATGTTCATTTGCCAGCGGTCGCACCATAAAGAGAGGGCGTCTAAGTCATGCTGTAGTGAGAGACAGTCGGTCTGGTTTTTTACAGTTCTATAAATAACGCAGTCGTCTGCAAAGAGTCTGACTGTAGAGGAAATGCTAGTGGCAATATCATTAATATAGATAAGGAATAACAAGGGGCCCAAAACCGATCCCTGAGGAACTCCAGACTTCACATTAATACTAGAAGAAACATTACAATGAAAAGAAACTGCCTGTGTTCTGTTGGTCAAAAATTCCCGAATCCAGTTAATTAAAGAACTATCAATATTAAGACACTCGAGTTTTTTAAGTAGGCGTTTATGTGGCACGCGGTCGAACGCCTTAGAAAAATCAATAAAAATAGTGTCAGTTTGAAAGCGCGAATGTATGTTTGTGTGTAGATCTGTTAATAATTCAAAAAGTTGGGTTTCGCAAGACCGGTTCTTCTGAAAGCCATGCTGATTTATGAAAATGAAACCTCTATCCTCTAACCAGACAGATCTCCTCCAATATCCTCTAACCAGACAGATCTCTGCCAATATGTTTTCATTCAGCACTGAACTGGTCGTTTGCAACTGATGACAAGTAGATGGGATCAGAATTTGTGATGTCATGAAGAGAGACAACAGAAGAGAGCACCAGCGAAAGTGCAAGCGTAGCAGGAGCTACAAAGGCGACCTCTGGGCCGTCCCATGCAAGCACTGCGCTTGTGCAGTGCCAGAATCGTTTGGGGCCCGTGACTGTAGCTTCAGCTTCACTCAAACATAAAGTGGAGATAACTACAGCATGTACACCGCGCGACACTCTTAGCGCGAACAAGCAATCACCAGTTTTCTGTTTTTCTCCTAGAACTGCAAGGCTGTCATCGAAGACATTGTTGTCATAGAAAGAGCTCATCTAGGGCTCTAATATAAGGGGTAAAATTGTGTGCCCACTAATACTCTCTCCTAATAAAATGCGAAAAGGTGCCAATGTCGTGCTCGCGCTAACAGTGTCGCGATGTGTACACCAACGCTTCAAACCCTCTTTAGAAGGTCCGCGAAACTAGGTTTTTTGGTGTATGATCGGGACTTTCTATAGGGGTGCAGCTAGGTGGTGGAAGCTTAGAGTGAAAATACCAACGTATGAACTGAAAAAGAAAGTCCTGCATTAGTCCATAGCAGAGTCAGAGTGATAGCTGCAACACCAAGTCGTTGGTTCAATTGGCTTCGTTCTCACGAGTATGCACCTCACAGTTCTCTCTGCGACCAATGACAAGATGCGTCTGTGAGCGTCTCGCAACAAGCGCGACGCCAAGACGTCTGCTGCTTTGTGCCATACTCTCGTTGAGTTTCAGCACATTTGCCGTTTGGTGCTACTCAGGGATCCAATAACAATGACGTAAATAGCAGGCCCTTCTTTTAAGTGCTATTGGATGGACCGATACGGCTGAATTTATTGGGCGGCGGCTCGTGCCACCTAGCCGAAGCTTTTAATTTCAACAATTAACTCCGATTAAATTTGGAGTTACCGTATTTTCCGGATTATAGTCCGCACCCGGTGTAGAGTCCGCAGGGGTAAATTTGGGGTCAAAAATAAAAGGTTTTGCTTAGATAGCCCGCACCCGGTGCATAGCCCTCAACCGGTGCATAGCCTGCACCGGGTGCATAGTCCGCACCTGGTGCTTAGTCGACACGAAAATCTTCTCATAGACGGCGCACGTTTACAAGTGTCTGCTTTTTAGCTCACAATAAAGCCTATAATGTGCATAAATCATCATTAACATACACTTTCGTGCTCAAAATTCGTCACGTCTCAACATAATGAACGATCTTGAAAAACATAATTCCTGTATAGTCCGCACGCGTAGATAGTCCGCACAGCCAGAAATTTCAACTTTTAAACATGTATAGTTCGCGGACTATAGCCCGGAAAATACGGTAATTGAGAATAACGAAGAATTTTGTATCGCGGAGTAGCAGCAACTGTGGCCATCAAGCGGGCACTACTCGAGACTTGTATTCCAGTTTGTTTTAGAGAAAGCGTATAATAAAGCGGATATTGCCAATGCTGCGTCATAGCTCCATGACGACGCGCCCGCTTCACACGCAACGGACTTAAGTTTGATTTTGAAGAGCGCGGGCAATCTTTTTTCGAGCAGTTGGCAATAATGTGAAGGACGCCGTACGCCCTATTAGGCCAACTACAACATCAACAACTACTACGACGACAACAGACATCCCTTCCAGTGCTGGAAGGAGCCCATCACAGCTATCGCAGTAAAAAGAAACGAGAAAAACCTGTTTTGGGCTATTCCGACAGCATTTGCAGGCGGCATAATGACTGCGCTCGCCTAGCTGTATGTGCTGCCGAAAGATGGCACAATGCGAGAACAAAAATATACAGTGCCTCGATTGATCCCCTCCCTACCAAAAATGAAGAGCAACGAGTGATTAAAATCCCGGTTGTAATACTCAGTTTATTATTATTATTTTTTTTTTAATAAATAAATTACCACATTTTTAAAATTTACATTAGAGATGCATAGTGAAAAGTTTCTTAGCTAAGCTAGGGGCACCCTCGACGCTTCCAACATCCATCGGGGGTGTCGTCTGTGAATGCCGCTGCAGATGCCTGAAACAGGTTTTTCTTTTTTGATGGAGTTAAGTTGTTGATATTTTCACACCAAGTTTCCGCCACCTATACTCCGTTTCATACATAGCGTGCAACGCAGTCAAAGCTAGCACACCGGTTTGCACTGCCGACGGCCTACGTTCGCCCCATAAAATAGCGCTGCTCCTGCAAAAAGAAAAAAATAAAAGTCGTAAATTGTGCATTTTTGGAGCTAGTAACTGATAGTGGCGTTATGATTTCGACGGAACACCGATCTTTTTTTCAATAAAAAGAAAAAGATAATGTAAACTACTCCAAAGTCCAAATTGCTTTCCGTTTTCGTCCGTGCGGCAGTCGCTTCGGGTTTTCGGGTTGTGCGGCTTCCCCTGCCTTGCCGGTTTTGAGAAGATGGTGTCTTATGCAGGAAGCTTTCCTCTCCTGCTCGGATATTTTCAGAGATTCGTTGTGTGAAGATCTCGAAAAAGTGCAAGCAGGTGATCGCCAACGTGTACGCGAGTTCAAGAACGCGTTTACCGGAGACGTCGGTCCGTGAAGTCCTGGAGACGGTCAGTAACGACACCGGAGTGTCTGGCAAGGTGGCATCCCCGAAGCGAGGACCTCGCAACGTGAAAGTTTCGAGCACGCAGACCGTGTTGTGGACTGCCTTCTGTTATATCTGGAGTTAAAAGCGGCCTTGTGGCTTCAAAGTGAAACAAGCCTCAAGAAGGAACCGTGTCGATGATGAATCGTGCCTACAGCTTCGTCTTGACCGGCTAAGCGGACGATGCCCGTGGTTGCATTCCAAAGCATCTGGGTTCGTTTGCCTGCGGGACCGTAACCTCGGTCAGCTCCGTCTGCCTGAGGCACCTTAACCTTGGTCGGCTAAGTGGACGACGCACATGACCGTGCCTGTATTCCGAGGCCCCTGCTTTCCTCGGAAAAGGAAACAACACTCGGTCCTGATCTCGAGTGCCGTGTGTTGTGTACACGTCTATTGTGAATCACTCCCGGTTCATGGGGGCGCCGGCACCAGAGCAGAGAGATACTGCCGTCTGGATGACTTCCATACACCGGCGAGTATTTGGACTCTGAAGGAAACTCCCATGAAGTCACATCACGCGAGGGAATGCCAAGCCGTCTGACCAATGGCAGTGCGGTCCCCTCATTCCAGCATTCATTGTATAAAGGACCGTCCACCGCACTCTCAGGGTACTCTCTAATTTTCACGCTACCATGTAAATAAACGGCTTTAAATAGAGACGCCCTGGATCTCGACCGTTCTTCCGTTTTGACGAGGCCGGCGCGGGGTTCAAACGGAACACCAGCCCCTAGTCTACCCCCTTATAAATAAAAAGCAACAAGAAAATAGGATTTGAAATATACACTTCTGCAATGCGCACAATGTTTGCACAAAAAATACGTCGCGGGAAAAAAAAAAAAAAACTTTGCGCCCGAAGTGGATTCGAACCACAGCCACCGAGACGTCGGTATCGCCAGAGCAGCGCCTTGTACCACTCGTCCACGAAACGCGCGGAGTAACACATTTTTTTTGTTTTTTCATGCGCACTACTTCAGTACCTTTCCCAGCGTTGCACGCTATGTTTGAAACGGAGTATAGCCGTACCTCCGTAGCAAATTGCAGCGCAATACATTGAGAAACCAATTTTTTCCAACCATCTAAAAACGTAGATGCTGTTTTACAGAAGGTGCATGACCCTGGACATTGTTAGAATTTGTAATTTTCGTCACGCGCTCATTGGTCAATGTGAACTCAAACATTCACTGACAAATCTGTTGACGAGCGCAATCTGTGTGGCAGTTCTTGTATCTGATAATTGAACTGGATTCAGCTAACGTGCCTGGGCACTGCGGAAACCTTTTCGAACGATAAGTAAGAAATATTCCGCATTTATTTTCGAAATTTTGTACCGAAAAGCTGGCTTTTGGCTTTCTACCCTCGTGCACTAGTTTCTTTTTGACCCACTAAACAATACTCGGTTTATAGAGTCCCATATTTATCTATCCCAATCCTAAATTTGTTTCATGGTCCTTTGAAACTTGCATCATAAAAACAGACCCCATTCTGCGTTAAAAAAGTGTGGGACTGGCGCGCATTTATAACATATTTTAGCCTTCGACCTTGGTAATTATGCGCAGTTAAATGTTGAAAACCTTACTTCGCCGCTTAATAGACGCTTTTCAAAAGCCCATTAAGCAACATTGGCGGTCACCATTGCTTGGGTGCAAAGCGCGCAAGTGGATCCCATTCCTCGTCGAAAGCTGACGCAGAACTCATTTTCCATTTGAGCTGAACCAAGCTCGCGCCAAACGCCGATAGAAGCTCTCAAGTCCAATACGTGCCCAGAGAGCCTGACGAAACAATGGCCGGTTATTTGGCACAGCAGCTACTAGATGGCGTGCACTTCTGAAAAGGGTCTATGCGGAGCGCAAGTTTGCCTGCTTCTTGCAAGGGGTTGCAATGATGTCAGAATGCCAAGCTCTTATTGGCCGACTGAAAAAATTAGTGGGTAGACCTCAAGGTCAATCTAACGAGCTCATATTGGCTCAATCAAAGTCAATCGGAGCTCGTTCCGACGTCACCGCAACCCCTTGGCAAGAAGCAGACGACTCGCTCTCCGCATTGCACTCGCGAGTTGCCTCTGCAAGAAGAACTGCAGGGAACACTGTCGAGAAACTGAGAGACCCGGTGGTATGAACAGACCGATTGATGTGAGGTAGAGTTGGTACCTTCTCTATCTCGAGGACGCAACGCAGCGCCGTGGGAATGTTGTCCCTCTGGAGCATGGCCCCGGCAAAGGCGTTGAGTAGCCTCGCCTTCTCGCCGGCCCCGCTCTGCCCGAGAGACTTGACCAGGAAGCAGCTGAGGGCAGAGATGTCCCTCCATCATTCCAAACAGCATTCTTCGGCCGATAAAGAGAGAAGTCTCTCAAGATTGCACAAGAAACCGAGACAAACAACTGTTTTCAAACAGAATGTGAATCCACCAGAAATGGCTCATCGGGAAGGTCTCAGTACATAAACTACCCTTCCTCAAACTCTCGAAATGATTGCCCGACACTTTATTGAGAAGGTTAATTGCAGAAATGTGCCTCGAAATTTGATTTTGGAACGTGGCCACATTATTCCCAGTTTTAATTGTCGAACCGTACCCGATTGTTTCTGCGGTACAGCTCGACATGCGCAACTAGCCTTCATTGCCATGTCTGAAGCACCCGCTGCAGGAGCGCTCGTACCACGTGATCGTAAGCAATTGCACTAGCTCGCACTTTTAGCACATGTGGTTCAGTGAATTCACCAGCCGACTTCCCTTTTATTGCTCAAGTGTCGTGCGTTGCCTTGAGTCTTTGCATCTCGTTCCGTGACACGCCGGTGTTCATCTTTGCTCGTTCTTGCTGAGAAAAACAAATCTGGTGCCTGTTTCAAAGGGTATGCGCTTAGCAACAACCACAATGACAGATGATACGACGTCAGTGCGAGCCATGCACGGCGGGATGTAATAAAGGCATAAAATTAGTGTAGCAATGTTCAAGTACACAAACAACTGTTAAAGGCGTTTAGGTAGGGGGAAGATACTCGGTTTGTAGAGTCCCATATTTAGCAGAACATTTGCATAGTAAGAGCTAACAGTTAATTTTTTTTTTTTTAAGTCCTAAATTTACATTAGATGATCATGCTGATCAAAACTGGGGGAATCTGTTAAGCTGCCATACACAAGAAATGTGTGGGTTGCACAAGCTCTCCGATTGTGACGGGGGACGCATGTGCGCAGAACTAGGGCAACCACACATTTCGTGCATATGGTAGCTCGACAGGTTCTGTGTCCCTCGGTTTTTGTCAGCACGATCGAGCTAGCGTAAATTTTTTTTAACAATAGAAATGTAGTGAAGGTTTTTCCCAGACAGCCAACTTCACTAGAAACAAGTTCCATAGCAAAATATTTATAAGGAAAAAAAGGATGAAACGAAAAAATTGTTAGTAGTTGATCTACCACCTGCAGCACCCCCACAAACTGAAGAAGGTGACTTTCGAGAGGTTCCGTAAGCAAATGCCGGTGCACTCTTCCGACTCACAGCTTCAAACCGAGGCACAGCTGTTGCCTGGAAAGTTCCGACAACGTACCGATTCGAAATGACGTCGTTCCACAGCAACACGGAGTCGGCGTTACTTGGCACACGCAACCGCCACTTGCTGAGCAGACGATCCACATCGTCCTCCGTGCCTGCAGAGGTGGCCACCCATTGTGACATGTCAGATGCTGCTAAGCACAGAACTGATTTTCTTTAGCCAATCCAATCCATCCTAAAGGGGTCCGTCTGACAACTCCAAAAAGCGAATTTTTTCGTGCACTCGATTATGATGTTGAGACACCGCCCACTTAATTCTTTGCTGCTTAGTTCCAATTCTACTAAAAAAAACAACTCAAACCGAAACCAGCGAACCAGCGCGGAGCATCGTAACGTCAAAGAGTTCGGAAATCGCTCGGGTCGTTTCAATCCCCAGAACCATGTGCCAAAATTTTCTTTCAATGACAATGTTTTTGGTGTCTCTGTGGTCCTAAAAATTATGTTCTGTGACTTCTGTTATTTTTATTGAAAAACGTCTGCAGGTAATTAGTTTGCTAATTATCACTTTTAATTCATATCCCGCTGTGCACCAAGGCCCACAACATTATCCCGAAGGAATAATTTCTTTACTTCTGAAATCTATACACAGTGCAACCCACTTATAACGATAATAAGGAAGCACAAAATTTCAATCGTTATAACCGATTATCATTGCATTGGGACTAGAAACTGATCATTTTCAGTCTAGAAACTCTAGAAAATGATTGTTATAAGTGGCACATCGTTATATGTGGCATTGTTATAAGTGGGTTGCACTGTATTTAAATTATTTTCAGTCGTTGGCAAGGCTGTGTGAATATCCAAATAAAAGTTTTGAATATTATGCTATTCAATATTGACTGAGATTTTTCAAAGGTTTAGACAACCCTATGAAAAAATTTAATATAACCTCTTTTTTACGGTTACATAAATCTGGATGCTTACCATGTGCATGTGAGCTTACGCAGCATAGATCTTCTATAAAATATCTCGGCTTATCCTTTGACAGTGACCTAACCTCTCATCTTGCTCATGTAAGAAAGAAAATTTGTACAGAGTCTTGTTTGTTATACAACACTAGATATTTTATGCCACTATCCGTTCGAAACATTGTTGAACATGCTCTAGTCTACAGTGTGCTTCGTTACGGCATTACAGTGTATAGTTATTAATTACCCTCTAATTTAAAAACAAAACACAAGTTCAAGAAAGTCCCGAGAAATGTTAGCTTTTTTCATTCTAATTTCTTTGAATGGATTTTATTTTACACGTTTCCTTTTTCTGCGGCTGGTTTCACTGATCGTAAGATGCTGCCAGTTAAGCCCAATGTCGCTTTGGCAGGTCAGACTTCCCATTAGCTTTGTTTGTTTTCAATAAAATTTATTATAATTATCATTAGGTGAGCAGCAATATTCATAATGTTCTAAATGATTGCAGAAAGCTTGCCCCCTTGAGTGCGCTTCTCACCGAGCACCAGTGCACTGCAGAGAAGCAGTACCCACAAAGCTCGCTTCGCCACAGTGCAGGGCATGCTTAGAAGAAAAGTACACCTTTAAAGTGCAATGATGCATGTGCCCGCCTATCGTATTTAAAGAAACAAAAATGTTATATTCCTGGCTAGCATGTAGCGCCACAAGGTCCCCTGGTGGCCTGATGTCTGGAAGTGCGGCTCTATATTAAACAGGGGGCCACACGGCTCCCTCAGTTAGTGTTGTGTTGGAACCGAACTGCGTCTGTCATGCTTCCGCTTCTTGCCGCCGACGCACGTTGGCCGGTTGGACGCGAGTTCGGTTTACACTTGTAGCAGTGGCGAAGAGGGACGCCGGGGAGATTTGCCAGACCAGCTCCGGCAGCGCCGCGTTCGAAACGCATCGAGTCACGACACCTACGGGGGGCGTCACCTGCTACCGCTGCGGAGACGGACACCTCGCGTCTGGCTGCAAGCACGTCAAGAATACGTGCAACTACTGCCGAAAGCGAGGACATCTATCGAAAGTGTGCAATTCGAAGCAGAGGGACGCCCAGTCACTCAGGAAAAGTTCTACCAGGCACCGCTTTCTGGCGCAAGCGTGCCCGGCCCCAGCAACGGAGACGCATCCAGTGAATGTCGTCCATGACAACGGTGAGGACGACGGCACATCTTCCGAGGTTTTCGAGATGTGGCAAGTTGACAGCGTCGCGCCGTCACCGCCGTTCACAGTCACCGTCTACGTGTGTGGCAAGCCACTCTGCATGGAGGTGGACACGGGCGCAAGTGTCTCTGTCATCGCCAAGAAACGTCTGCAGGCGCTAGTGCCTGCGATACGAGTCATGCCATCCGGCGTGTTGCTGCGAAGCTATTCCGGTGAACTGACCCAAGTTCAAGGCAGGGTGGACGTCAGCGTGCAGTTCCATGACAAGAAGGCCGTGCTGCCATTGTTCGTCACCGGAGATGGGTCGCCTACACTACTTGGACGCAACTGGATTCGGGAGCTGGGCCTCAACTTCTCTGATGTGGAGGTAACTGTTCATTCTCTTTCTGACGTCAGAAGTCTTGTTCAAGAGTTTTCTGCTGTGTTCGAGGAACGGCTGGGTGCTTTCAAGGGGCTCAAAGCCAGTATTCATGTTCCGGAAAACGCTCCACCGAAGTTTTTTAAGCCGCGTCCACTACCTTTCGCACTCAAAGATGGAGTTGCACAGGAGCTTCAACGTCTAGAAAGGGAGGGCATTATTGTACCAGTCAAGACGTCCGCCTGGGCTGCACCCATTGTTCCTGTTGCGAAGAAGGATGGACGTGTGAGGATTTGTGGCGATTTCAAGGTAACCGTGAATCCGGTGGCCACCCTGGAAAAGTACCCGATTCCCAGAATCGAAGATCTGTGGGCCACGCTGTCTGGGGGTAAGAAGTTCACCAAGTTGGATCTGAGGGATGCTTACCAGCAAGTGATTCTTGAGCAGGACTCTAGAAAGTATGTCACCATTTCCACACATATGGGGTTGTTCCAGTACACCCGCCTTCCTTTCGGAGTGTTGTCCGCTCCGGCTATCTTCCAACGGGAGATGGAAAACTTGTTCCGAGGGCTGCCGCACGTCGCTGTGTATTTTGATGACATCCTGGTCACCGGCGCGACTGACTCGGATCATCTGCACAACCTTCGTTCCGTTCTCAAGCGCCTTTTTGATGTCGGACTGAAGTTGAAGTTCGACAAGTGTCATTTTTTTGTGCCGCAGGTTGAATACCTTGGGCACATTATCAACCAGAAAGGGTTGTCTCCAGGCCTGGGCAAAGTCACGGCCATACTTCATGCTCCTGCTCCTCGCGACGTCAAGCAGCTTCAGAGCTTCCTAGGATTGATTAATTTCTACAGACGTTTCCTTCCTAACCTGTCTGAACGCCTGCGGCCACTGCACTTGCTTCTTACTGACAAGAAGAAGTGGGAGTGGGGAAAAGACCAAGAAGAGGCTTTTACCACAAGCAAGCACTTGATGACGTCCGCTCCGGTTCTAGCTCATTTCAATCCAGAGAAGCCGGTGTGTCTAACTTGTGATGCATCACCATACGGGATCGGTGCAGTTCTGGCGCACCGTGAAGCCGATGGCCAAGAGCGACCCATTGCTTTTGCATCAAGGAGTTTGTCCCGAGCAGAACAAAACTACAGTCAACTTGACAAAGAGGCATTAGGCTTGGTCTACGGGGTGGAACGGTTCCACCAGTACTTGTGGGGGACCCCTTTTCAAGCTTTCACAGACCACAAGCCGCTGCTGGGATTGCTGAGTGCTGACAAGCCAGTTCCTGTCCACACGTCACCTCGACTTGTCAGGTGGGCTCTCAAGCTTTCAGCGTACAAGTACCAGCTGACCTACAAACCAGGAAGGAATTTAGGTCATGCTGACGCACTCAGTAGACTTCCATTACCTGGGAGCAACGTTGAAGAGAACGTGCCGGCCGACGTCTTCATGCTACAGCACGCATATCCGAATCTTCTTTCACCCTCCGTTGTGGCTCAAGCCACAAAGAATGACCCTGTTCTGGGACATGTCGTTCTCGCTGTTCTCAGAGGAGAGAACCTTGCACTAGCATCAGAAACGAGCCCTTTTTGCGCAAGGAGTTCAGAGCTTAGCCTGCATGAGGGTTGTTTCCTCTGGGGAGCACGCGTGGTGATCCCAAAAGTGCTGCAGGCTCGAGTCCTGGGTCTGCTTCATTCCAGCCACCCAGGCATCGAGAAGAGCAAAATGATCGCCAGAAGTCACGTCTGGTGGCCGGGTATCGATAACGACATAACCCACCATGTGAAGAGCTGCTCGATTTGCCAAGCTCATCAGCGGGCTCCACAACCAGTTCAACAGACGCCCTGGCCGTTCCCCCGGAAGCCTTGGTCCAGGCTTCACATTGATTTTGGAGGGCCATTTATGGGGCATACTTTTTTGGTCATTGTTGATGCTTTTTAAAAATGGGTTGAAGTGTTTCCTGTCTCGTCAACTTCTGCAGAGGCTACCATAACAGCCCTGCGAATGGCCTTCGCTCAGCACGGTCTACCAGATCTGATTGTGTCAGACAATGGGCCTGCATTTGCAAGTGAGCAGTACTTGGACTTTCTAACATGCAACGGGATACGCCGCATGCTCGTGCCGCCATATCATCCAGCGTCAAACGGGGCAGCGGAGCGTGTTGTACAAACCGTGAAGAACAAACTCAAGAAAAGTGGCTCTGGGGATTTTTAGACTCGGATTTCCAGATTCCTGTTTCATTACAGGACTACTCCGCACGAGGTCACGGGCAGAGCACCATGCGAGTTGTTGACAGGAAGGATGTTCAAGACGCCGTTGGATGTCCTGCGTCCCAGCCTCCAATCATCAGTGCTGCTCAAGCAGCTAAAACAGAAACTGTATACTGATAAAGGCTGCCGACAGGGACCGCCGCTCAACCCTGAGGAGAACGTGTTCGCCAGGAACTTCTGCCAGGGTATGCCCTGGGTGCCTGCTCAAATCGTCGGCGCCACAAGTCAATCTTCAGCGCAAGTCTGCCTTGAAGATGGCACACTGTGGCATCGGCACGGTGATCACCTGCGTTCCAGACTGACCGACGCCCCTACAGCAGCTACGACCGAGGCAGAGACGTGTCAACCTGTTGGTGCTG